AAAGGGTTAATCATAAAGATTATTTTTCCTAAATAACATAGCATTCAATACCATCAAACAAACAAGTGATGTATGTGGAACACTTGATGATTTATATCTCTTGATGATGGAATGTGTCAAAAACGAACCACAGCGACAATAGCTTTAATCCCTGCTAAGATTTAATAAGCTAGACATCGGGGTCTTCCAAATGGATAATTTTGGGAGAAGCTATATCTGATGCAGCTAAGCTGCTATGTGATATGGTGAGGCATGTGAAATAGTACCGTAATTTTAATTATTTTAAATCAAGTTTTAATTTTCTGCTTCAATATGTGCTTATAAAGATTAAGATTCAATAAGACTAACGTGTCCGTTTTGGACAAAAGTACTTTATAAATACAGTAGACCCGCGCTAATCCGACATACGTTTTGCAGGCCGATGTCGGATTATCGAATTTTTCGGGTTACTGACTACTGTCTAAGAACCACTCTCTATAGTCCGGATTTTTTGGAATAAGAGTACCTTGTAATCCGACAAATTACAAATCTAAAAATCTTATTTCAATTGATTTTATGTGCAAATCAACAGTGATAAGCGTGTCGGGGGCGCCGGATTAGACGGGGTCCGGATTACCGCGGCTCTACTGTAAATAGAAAAAAATAGTATTAGAAAAAAAGTTTATGAACATCACTTCCATACATCTGGCATTGGCTGGGTCCAACGACTAAATTAACTATGTTGGATTAGGTATTCAATCGTTGCAAGGAAACAATAGTATATTGTAGAGGTTCCTAAAGGTTTTCGCCCGCGGAACCCTTTTTGTTATTTCTGGATGTATTTAATAGTAATAAAAAAAATCGCGGAACCCCTGTTTCTTATTTTTTGTTGTAAGTACACAGGTCTAACTTATTGACAATATAAAAATATGTTGATAACCTTTTAATTTCTGCACCAGACAGCTAACACAGCATATTACAATATTTTATTTATACACATATATTTAAAATAAGTTATCAAAGCAAACAGAGATCTCGTGTTGAGAATGCAAGTCATCGTGTCACATGGTAGATATAGATGTATGTGCTTACAAACTTGTATAGCAAATATAATATATTGAGCTATGCTGTCAGACAATGCAAACAGCCAGATCGTTTTATGTAGTCTTATCTATCGTACATGTGATGGAAATGATGATGTGTTATGCTTATCGTACGCTGGTAACAGGCTAGCAGCGTTCGACACATACAATATGTATTGGAAGTATTAATTTCAAAGATTAAAGGCTTTGTCAAACAGAACGCGTACTTAGCGCGCGTCAGTGCGTTAGGACGCTTTAATGTCGGGCGTTGTATTTTTTTACAAATATCATTTTAGCGTCCGGGTAAATATGTGTTAAAGTACTGCATAATGACCAAAAATTTGATAGCATTAGTTAGGAAATACCCATGCTTATATAATACGAAGAATAGTTTGTATAAAAATATATCAGTCAAGTCATGCACCCATACTGTTTTTCTCTGTGACTGTGATAAAGCATATAAAAGTAACTAATATTTCTCCACATCTGAATCACTCGACATCTCCATAACAAACAAACTTTTCACACTCTGCTATCGATCTTTACTACGCTTTGGCGAATGATACGTCACGTCACGGTAATATGGATAATATTACCGTGGCTACGTTAAGGAGCGTTGGGCTAATCTAGACAATTTGTGTCACATGAAATGAGCGACGTTAAAACGCTACGCTATAACGCTACTACGCCGCGCTAAGTACGCCTTCTGTTTGACAAAGCCTTTGATGATAACATTCACGAGCAATAACTCCGGTTGCTTCTCTATATTTGTAGAATGAAAACTTAATAAATATCATATTTTTTCAGTTTTAGAAATCGTAAATGAACGCTAACGTAGGGTAATGAGTCTTAGATCTCCTCGAGTATCATGCTACCGTGAAAGCTTTGCAACCCCAAATAGGCAGACTCGTCTTTCCCAGTGGGCACTATGGGCAAGTGCCCAGGGCCCCGCGATCGATAGGGGGGCCCCTCAAATCAAATACAATGTCCCTAGTTCCAGTTAAATCACCAAACGGAAGTCATAGGGCCCCATTATCCTAATATGCCCAGGGCCTCCAATAAGTTAAAGACGGCACTGCAAATAGATATTGTTATAGCTGACATGCAACCATAACTATTCTCTCCTAATGAAATGGGTTAGGTTTAAAGACCGTTTCGGATCCTTTCCAGGCTCCGTGAGTAACAAGACTCTGGTATTGATCAACTGTATAGACGTATCTCGATTATGACTTGAAAAACGTGTCGTAACCGTTTTTAAAATTTTCATTAATTTAATGGTAGGCATGCGTCCGATATATCAAAACGAATCCAAAATCCGATTTCAAACACAAATCGATACCGAACGATTTCTCAACAAGAAAATCCGATTTCAGAAATCTAACCGAACCAAAACGCTAGCGATCTAATACCATAAGTATCCAAATGTAAATCGGATTCGAAATTCGTGCTTTCGTTTTCGGAAGTCAGATTTCGTGCTCGGAAGTCCGATTTCGATTTGCTGTTTACGGAAATCTATTGCTCATCTCTGAGGCGGGATTATTTATCACTGAAAAGATATGTCGTCTAAAAACATCAAAAGTCGAGCAACTTACATTTTTGGACGCTAACCTGAAGTAATTAGGTTTGATTTTGTAAATGGTTTGAAAAATAATAAAAACAAACAGAAAAACAAAAAAAAAATACTAAAAAAATATGTAAAAAGAAATCATTGTATATAAGTCGATTTTTAAATGCGCCGCAAAAGTTTTACTCTTAACCGTAAACATAACTTTTCTGCTAGTCCTAAGCGAAAATCTACGAGTATTCTTGCTTCCTACAATTAATTGTTTGTGATTGTCGTTAGCTAATAAAACCAAATCATAACACAAACTAGTGAATTGGCTAAGTTTGGCACATCTGAAATCGGATATCTAAAAACGGATTTTAAAATCGATTTTGAAATCTGAAATCCGATAAATATCCGTTTGCGTTCAAAACCAAAAACGCCCATGTCTATTTAATGGGGAGTCTTATACACGTGATACGTCATTGTCTAGGGCTCGTTCAGTAGGATATGAATATTGTTACGTTTCGGGATGGGGTTCGAAATTATGATGCCAGATCACACATGATAGTTCAGACGACCTCCGTGGCCGAGTGGTTTGAACGCCGGGTTTCATGGTGTCGCCGACTCGAGAGGTCCCGGGTTCGAATCCCGGTGGGGGCAGATGTTTGTGTGATGAATACGAGCATTTGTACTCCAGTCATGGATGTTTAATATGTATTACTATATGAATATACTTATATATGTACAGTATATGTATTCTATCCGTTACCCTAGTATCCCATAACACAAGCCTTACAGTGCTTACTTTGGGGCTAGGCTAATTGGTGTGAGTGTTGGAAACATTTATTTATTTATAACTATACTGTCCCTGCCCGGAGCCAAGCGCCCTTATCCGTAAATGGAATGCTCTGCCCGCTCACGTGTTCCCTCCCTCTTACAACCTGGGATCCTTTAAAAGAGGCGTGAAGAAGCAACATGCACCCCGGCAGGGTGAGGATGGCTGGTGTGGCAGGTAGAACTGCTGTATCAGCTATATTTGCGTCTGGACTTCACCTTCACTTAATATCAGGTGGTGGTGGGTGCAGTCATTTGTCAGACCTATCCATAAAAAAAGGGTAGCGTTGACAGCTGTCATTATTAAACAATTTTTGCTACGTGGTCTATCTCAAATCGAAACTAGTTAAGAATGTGAAAGTTTGGTTTGTGCCACATGCACAATACATACCAAAACTTCAATATCAAAATCTGTATTTTAACAACAAATACTGAAAACGCCGATTCGTAACGTACTTTGTAAGTTGTGATAAAAACAAATGATTTTTCCTTTCGCGGTATAATGCGAACTCCTATGTAGATATCGCTATAGCTCGGAAAGGAACTATTTCATGACTCAGTGATATTAGGTAGGTTCAATAACAGGATTATTTCACTGCATGGGACCCTAATAGAGCGATACTAGACTCGCGCTTGGCCAGGTTTATGTTTAAATCAGTTTTCTGTCGAGATGGTCCTAGGTATATTAATTAGGTGAAGATCTGTTGAGTCAAACGAGGAAACTCTTGAATTATTACAGTACCTATATTCTGTTTCGTAATTTTAAGAAAAATAAAACAGGTTATGCATTCCAGCTAGGATACCATATACCTATATATATCAGAAATCGATATCGATTATTCTTATTTTACCATTAGGGAATATAAAATAAAATAGAAAAATAACTACAATGTAACTGTTGAAATGTAAATAAAGAATAGCGATACTAAAACGAACTAGTATCAAGAAATTAATTGCAACTCACTCGTTGAGGTTATGTTAGGTTAGGTTCTTTGGTCTTTTTTCATAAGAACCGACTAAATTTGTTCTTTGGCAGATTTATTATGACTTTTTATTTAATTAATAACTTCTTCGACTCCAATTTTCTCTCTTTTATTCGCTCCACAAACAAAAAAAAAATATAAAAATGTTCTTCAAACGAGAGATTCTTGCATGGCATGACATTTTTGAATGACGTTTGAAAAGGGCTGCCAGATCAAGTTCTTCTGGTGTGACCAGATTATTGACTCAGCAAAGTTATCGTGGTTCGACTTTATATAAACTAACATACAGTATCACACACCTATGTAGAATAAAGCGATGACAGATGAGGTGTTCTATTCTTGTTTATCATGTGTTTTTGTTGTTTACGAATTTCCCTACAAGAATAATCCAAAGAGATCAAAATACAAATAATTTGGCAAGCGTATCCAAGAGTCGATTCCGCTGGCCGATCTACTAATAGAATAGCATAAACAAAAATCTCCGACTTATCACCGAAAGAACTGTTGAACTATATGGAATATAATTTCCCTTTAGTTCTACTATATTATATGAATGAAAGATCAATGCTATTACAGGAAGCAGTGTCATACGGTTGGCAAGTGCCACAGTTGGAAAGCGTGAAGATAGACTGGGCGGCGCTCACGCAGTCCGTGCAGAACCACGTCAAGTCCGTAAACTGGGTGACGCGGGTGGATTTGAGGGACAAGAAAATCGAGTACATCAACGGTTTGGGGGAGTTCAAAGACCCGCACACGATAATAGCGACGATGAAGAATGGTTCCAAGAAGGAGCTGACGGCTAAGCATGTGGTGATCGCGGTGGGTGGCAGGCCGCACTACCCCGATATACCGGGCGCGGTGGAGTTCTGCATCAGCAGCGACGACATCTTCAGTCTGAGCCACCCGCCAGGGAAGACGCTCGTCGTCGGCGCTGGATGTATCCTTTCCATAGCATGATTGACTATGAGCCTTTTCATATAATATACTAGCGGCCCGCCCTCGCTTCGCTTCGGTGTAGAGCTGAAGTGTAGACTACAGTTTTTGTTCTCAGGCTTGTATTAAACACAATGACATTCATCTATGATTCTTCTTATACCTGCATGCAAAGTCTCAGCCCGATCGGTTTAAAATTGACAAATTTTCATACAAACTTTCCCTATTTTATCCCCTTGGGGGTAGAATTGATCAAAATCCTTTCTTAGCGGATGCCTTCGTCATAACATCTACCTGCATGCATTACTGCATTTCAGGCCGGTTTGCGCTGTGCGTTGATAGATCGTTGATATGTCAGTCAGTCACCTTTGAGTTTTATATATATAGATAACACGGTATAGTAAACAGCTTAATTTTAATTTTCCCCCAATAGTTTTTCTTTATTCGTTCGTGTGTGGGGCACAGACACATGCATGTACCAAATTTCAATTTGATCCGTCCAGTAGATTTCGAGCAAATCGACTGTGACAGACTGACGATCGATTGATCCTACAAGGGTTCCGTTTTTGCTAATTGAGGTGCTGAATCTTAGACAAAACACAATCGAGTTTTTGTGACCTAAAAAATAAAGCGACAGCTCTGAACCACTTATACCGCCTTATTAGGAAAAGTTAAACTCGGTCTAGAAATGATGCCGTCATCTTTGTTGTTAAATATAAGACCAGACACATAATTAAATTAGGTTTAAACAATTTCTGAAGGAGACCGTTCATAGGAGATGGTTCAAAAGACCCGTTTCCTCAGGACTCAAACCTACGTTTTCCGCTGTCCGGGTGGATACACTGACGGTAACAGTAGTATAGCGGTAAGTGCATCAGGGGGCTATTCGCCTAACGGAAATGCTTTGGAAAACGCTAACGCTTACGATTTCATTTTGTTATTTCTAGCCGCCTGAGGTTTTCAAATGCCTCGCGCTCTTTTTTTTCTTTTGCATTGGTAATAATAATATTAAAAAAATGAGCGCGAGGTATTAGAAAACCTTCGGCGGTCAGAAATAACAAAATAAAATCGAAAGAGTTAGCGTTTTCCATAGCATTTCCGTTAGGCGAATGGCCCCCTGCCCGGACAACGGAAGTCGCAGGTTCGGGTCCTGCCTGAAACCTTGACCGAGTCGATTTTTTTCTAGTAAAACTTCTTTAGATGACATGTGACATAATCATAAAATAAATAAAAACTACACTACAACTACATAAAACAAGCTTTCAAATGATATTCGTTTTACCGCTGCCGGAAACCGACTACCACTTTTGAACCGTCTCCTTTACTACAAGTATCGTAATCGGACGGAATGTGTCGCAGTACAGTAGATGCATAAGGCCGTTAAAGCTAATTTTAGTTGTCTTGGGAAAGTTGGTTTAGTTCATCGTTTTACTTAAAACTTTTCATTAAGTTAAAAATGTAATTCGGATCGCTGAGTTAAAGCAGCACTAATTTTTCAAATGTATCTTAAAATTTAAATAAGTTTTTAAGCACATAACATTGCTAATTTAGCTGTACTTGAAAATAATTGCTGTGAAAATGAAGGCGTACATACGTGTTCATTTGCACAAGAAAATCTTTATGAGAAATAATGCCTTTGTTTCTTAATCTAGAATTTCACACGGGTGCTCGTAGTGTAACAGTTTGAGAATAATTAATGTATTTTATTATGAGTTATCGTATTTAATTGCATCTAAGTTTAACAAAATCGTAACATCAATTTTTATTCGATAATTATTTATTTATAATTTTTTATTGGTAAAAAAATATCATTTATTAATGACAAATTATCTACTATATAAAAATAAGTCGGGTTTTCCTTCCTGACGCTATAAGTCCAGAACGCACGAACGGATTTCCACGGTTTTGCATTCGTTGGAAAGGTCTCGGGCTCCGTGGGGTTTATAGCAAAGAAAATTCAGGAAAAATTATAAAAGAAATGTTACATAAAAAGAAGCCATCTGGTGGCGAAACGGAGTTCGCCGGGTTTGCTCGTTAGATAATAAGAATAGAAATATCACTAAAATTATGTTGTGTTTCACTGCAATTTTCATACTTTAAATAGCTCCGGTCGATAATAAACGCTATTAAAGTATTTCGGACTCTTTTCCATCAGCGATTAGATATAATATGATAAACTTGTATCTATCTAATATAATTTGTTACAATAATATTTAAGTTTAATAATAAGCAAAATGTGTGTTAATAACCGCATAGTATGTTTAAATTTACTTCGATTTAAACAGCATTATTTATTTATAAGTAGGAAGGAAAGTGGTTTGCGGTTTAGTTATACTATACAGGTCATCGATTGGATTTACATTTAAAATAATCGCAATTATAATATATTCACATTGTTTGCTAGGTACATTTACAGGCTAATGTACCTACCTACAGGTAGTAGGTAGGTACGTTATCCTTTTAACTAATATTCTGAGAAAAGATACGAGGAGCTGGCGAACAAAACGGTATAATTACGCATCTTGGCAAACTATTTTTTTACAGTCTGGAGGTTTCGGGCCCGTTGAATTTGAATCTCAAATAATATTCAATCAAAACCGCCTAAAACAGTGTTAAAATTACTAAATTTTTAAATTAAAAACCATGCCAAAACCTCACTGTAGGTATGTCATTCAGTTTTATACAGCTCCTGTAAAATTAAATTTTATATAATTATACCGTTTTGTTCGCCAGCTCCTCATATTATTAAGTATTATTCGCACTAAAGGCGTGGCTACGGGGTGGGGCGACAATCCGCGCCGCACGGTGTGAGTGCCAACACAGATTACTACAGTATAGCACCTACCCACACAGTAGCAATTGATAGTGCTTTATCCCGGACGGCAAGGGTATTGTTATTAATTTCCTTGTAGATACTAAAGTCTTTCAAACAAATGATTTTACGAAAACTATAAAAAAAAAGAGAAACAGTATTTCTTAACCAAACTAACAGACATCGGGTTAGAATGCGCCGGGTTTCTGAACTCGATGGGCTACCCGGCCACAGTGTTGGTGCGGTCAGTGCCCCTGCGCGGGTTTGACCAACAGATGGCGGCCGCCGTCACCAACGAGATGGAGGAGAAGGGAGTCAAGTTCCACCACCGCTGCGTCCCCTTAGGGGTGGAGAAACTGCCTACGGGACAGCTGAAAGCCAGTTGGTTGAACACCGAAACTAAGGAACAGTGAGTAGGAAATATTATCTACTGTAGCCGGGTTTCTGGGTTCGACTAGCAGATGCTGCTACCGTCGCCAACATGATGGAGGTGAAGGGTGTCAAGTTCCACCACCGCTGCGTCCCCTTAGGAGTGGAGAAACTGCCCTCGGGATAGCTGAAGGCCAGTTTGTTGAACACCGAAACTAAGGAACAGTGAGTAGGACATATTCTGACATATCTACTGTAGCCGGGTTTCTGGGTTCGACTAGCAGATGGTGCTACTATCACCAACGTGATGGAAGTGAAAGGAGTCAAATTCCACCACCGCTGCGTCCCCTTAGGGGTGGAGAAACTGCCCTCGGGACAGCTATATGCCAGTTAATTGAACACGGAGACTAAGGAACAGTGAGTAGCACATATTATCTGCTGTAGCTGAGTATCTGGGTTCGACTAGCAGATGGCGACGCCGTCACCAACGAGATGGAGGTGAAAGGAGTCCAGTTCCAATCCCCTTAGGGCTGCAGTAACAAGCCACTAACAATTTAAAATGTAATGCAAGCTGTTAGACCTGTATCTAATTTGTTATTGTTTGAACATAAAAAATATATGCGGTTTATTATAAAAAAACCAGGTAACCCAATATCATGCAGCTCTGTGAGGTGTACTTTGTCATGTTACCATGTTAAAATTCATGTCTTGCTGAGGTTAAGTCGTGTGTCGTATTTCTCTTCCAGGTTCGAGGATGTATTCGACACAGTGCTTCTGGCCACGGGCCGGTATGCTCTCACAAAAGCTCTCAATCTAGAAGCCGCTGGCGTCAGTGTAAGTTACTGAATAGATTAAGTCACTTTTACTGTATATTTTGTTGAAAGTTGGTTTTTGCACTTGACCCTGAGTAGGTATCGTGATTCAAGTACTTATTAAATAAAATCATTTCTTATCTATTAGACGAGTCCGTCTGTCCGTGGTGCTGTTTCAGCGGCCAAACCGTAAGAGATAGATAAAGAGAATATTTAAGTTATAAGTTAAGAATAGTCTGATAAGACATACCGGATTTGAGTAACGTAGCACTTCCGGTTTTCGAGAAATCAGGTTTTGGTGAACATTTGGTTCACTGGTTTGCTAGTTTGTTATATTTTTTGCCTAACACACAGTACTTTTTACGTTATTGTGAGGGTAGTAAAAAACCGTTAACACCTTTTTTTTGACAAGCTCTTAAATATTTTTATATAAAAAATAAAATACACAATAATTCTGGTTAAATAAGTGAAGAATAGTATGTGCTAATAGTCAGTAGTACCTACAGCTCTCATCTCCTCTCCAATACACCTGGTAATTTCACAACACTGCACTTTAAACTATACATTAAACACTCACTGCAGAATGGATAACATTAAGAGCACTATTGAATCTCTGGCGCAAACATTCTCTGAGCGTATGACGGCATTTGAAAATGAGCTCAAAAAGACAAGTACACCGCTGGAACCATCAGTCTCGAGTTTATCAGTGGACTTTGAAGCCTTTCGAGCCTTCGTAATTGCGACTTTCAAGCACCTCGGGTAACAAGTCACAATGCTATCAAGTTAAAAGCTATTTCCTTTCCGTTTCTTAAATTCATTTAGCATCCCATTTCTTTGCTTCTCTTGAATATTTATGTAAGGATTATCTCCTGTATTTACTTTTGCACCCCTTTATGTTTATCTATATTATTATTCCTCTTCCACCATAGGTTGCCTGGAAGAGATTACTGTTTAGCAATAAGGCCGCCTATTGTACTCTTTCTTCTGTTTTATTTGTTTATGTCTTGTGTCCTTTGTTGTGTGCAATAAAGAATATTTACTTATTTATTATTTATTTATTACTTTATTAGAAAAATGATTAAGGGACTTGGATTAAATAAAAAAGAGAAGATACGGTACGCCTTGACTTACGTCATATAAAAAATAACTACATAAGCAACTCACACACGCACACCCATAAATAAACATTCAATCGAGCGAGCAAGAAAGAACGATATGCTTCAACGCAGGGAGTGTGTGACGACGATGCCGCGTCCTTAGCAACCGACTGAGCTTTCTTTTCTCTGCAAACGGCTGACCTGTTTTGTTGTCCTTTTCTTGATAAAAAATTGCGAATTTAAGCGAATAACGTTCATGACAAATAGTGAGTTTTGAGAAAAAAAAAAAGATTTTGACGTGACAACGTCTTAAATTAGGTTGCGGCTGGGAGTCACTTATGAAAAAGTGTAACGCTCGGTAACGTTACGATGAGTCTCTCGTGTTAAGTTTAAGTTTACATGTACAATGTTTTAGTAAACAAAATATATTTCTATAGTTAAAATTTGTGCAATTCTTATTTTCATTCAATTCCTTGTTCCTATTGTGCAATTTAATTATATTCATATCAATAAATATTCTACCGAGAAAAAGACGTTGTCACGTAAAATCTTCGCCCGTAAAACCGACTTTTTTATTTATTTACGAATGAAAAATGATGCCATTGAATATGTGTTCTTTAACTATTTGTGTACCTACTTTATAAAAGCATCGAATGTATTGTTTTATCATTTTAACACAGCGTATCCGCAATATTGTTGTTTTGAGTGAAATTTGCACTTAATTTAAGCGGTGCTCTTTTGAGACATGAACGCCGTATTCTGATTTAATCTAAGTTTAAGGATATACAGAATGCCTGTAAATTACCGCTGTAACTTCTTCTGGTATTGTTACAACATTTTAGTATATTTAAAAACTTCCGATTATTCTTATATCAATAACATTTTCAAAACACATTAGCTAAGTTACTTAATTGACTATTATTTTTCAGACGTTGTCGGAGAACGGCAAAATCGTCGCGAACACGGAACAGACGAACGTTCCCCACATCTACGCAGTAGGCGACGTACTGGAGGGCCGGCCCGAGCTAACGCCCGTCGCAATACACGCGGGCCGCTTACTGGCACGAAGGATATTCGCATCTGGCACGCACTATATGGACTACGAAAACGTCGCCACTACAATTTTCACGCCGCTGGAGTACGGCTGCGTGGGGCTCAGCGAGGAGAGGGCGTTAGACAGGTAAGAAAGAGGTCTTCACATTCCTCAAGTTGTTTGTAGGATTGTTTACTGGCACGAAGGATATTCGCCTCTGGCACGCAGTATATGGACTACGACAACGACGCGACCACAGTGTTCATGTCTCTCGAGTACGGCTGCGTGGGGCTCAGCGAGGAGAGAGCGTTAGACAGGTAAGAAAATGGTCTTCACATTCCTCAAGTTGTTTGTAGGATTTTTTACTGGCACGCAGGATATTCGCCTCTGGCACGCAGTATGTGGACTACGAAAACGTCGCCACTACAGTGTTCATGCCGCCCGAGTACGGTTGCGTAGGGCTCAGCGAGGAGAGAGCGTTAGACACGTAAGAAAATGGTCTTCACATTCCTCAAGTTGTTTGTAGGATTTTTTACTGGCACGCAGGATATTCGCCTCTGGCACGCAGTATATGGACTACGAAAACGTCGCCACTACAGTGTTCATGCCGCTCGAGTACGGCTGCGTGGGGCTCAGCGAGGAGAGGGCGTTAGACAGGAAAGAAAGAGGTCTTCACATCCCTTAAATGGTTGTAGGCGAGGTACTAGAGGAATGTTTACTCGCACGAAGGATATTCGCCTCTGGCACGCAGTATATGGACTACGAAAACGTCGCCACTACAGTGTTCATGCCGCCCGAGTACGGCTGCGTGGGGCTCAGCGAGGAGAGAGCGTTAGACAGGTAAGAAAGAGATCTTCACATTCTTTAAATGTTTGTAGGCGAGGTACTAGAGGAATGTTTACTCGCACGAAGGATATTCGCCTCTGGCACGCAGTATATGGACTACGAGAACGTCGCCACTGATTTTCACGCCGCTGGAGTACGGCTGCGTGGGGCTCAGCGAGGAGAGGGCGTTAGACAGGTAAGAAAGAGGTCTTCCTTAAATATTTGTAGGCGAAGTACTAGAGGATTGTTTACTCGCACGAAGGATATTCGCCTCTGGCACGCAGTATATGGACTACGAGAACGTCGCCACTGATTTTCACGCCGCTGGAGTACGGCTGCGTGGGGCTCAACGAGGAGAGGGCGTTAGACAGGTAAGAAAGAGGTCTTCCTTAAATATTTGTAGGCGAAGTACAAGAGGATTGTTTACTGGTACGAAGGATATTCGCCTCTGGCACGCAGTATATGGACTACGAGAACGTCGCCACTACAATTTTCACGCCGCTCGACTACGGCTGCGTGGGGCTCAGCGAGGAGAGGGCGTTAGACAGGTAAGAAAGAGGTCTTCACATTCCTCAAGTGGTCCGTGGGGGATGGAATAAATGACTGTTTACTAGCATGAATTATATGGACTACGAGAACGTCGCCACTACAGTGTTCATGCCGCCCGAGTACGGCTGCGTGGGGCTCAGCGAGGAGAGAGCGTTAGACAGGTAAGAAAGAGATCTTCACATTCTTTAAATGTTTGTAGGCGAAGTACTAGAGGATTGTTTACTGGTACGAAGGATATTCGCCTCTGGAACGCAGTATATGGACTACGAGAACGTCGCCACTACAATTTTCACGCCGCTCGAGTACGGCTGCGATGGGCTCAGCGAGGAGAGGGCGTTAGACAGGCAAGAAAGATGTTGTCACATTCCATTCCATTTTCCGTTTCGCTTACCTTTACCGCGAAGGTTGTCTGGAAGAGATCGCTTTTAGCGATAAGACCGCCTTTGCCCACATTATTGTCATAAGTATTATTTGTACCTATGTCGTTTTGTATGTGAGCAATAAAGTGTTTATTATTTATTATATGTAGATTTCCTTTATCTTAACTATTATCTCGCAATATTTAGTATTTACATCGTTCCCAGTGAGGAGCTCGATAGCGTGGGTGGTTATCGCGTTCGGCTGCGATCGTTAAAGTTGAGCAATTTTCGCAGTGGTCCGTCATTGGATGGGTTACCAAAAATCTTCTATTTCGTGTTCTTCTGTGCTTCGGAAGGCACGTTAAGCCGTTGGTCCCGGCTGCATCTGCAGTCGTTAGCACCGCCAACCCGCACTGGGCTCGCGTGGTGGATCATGACCCAATCTCCCTATTCCATCCCCAGTGAAGACCTGTGCCCCAGCAGTGGGGACATTAATAGGCTGATGATGATGATGACATCGTTCCCAGGTACGGAGCGGAGCACATCGAAGTGTACCACGCTTACTACAAGCCTACGGAGTTCTTCATCCCGCAGCGAAACATCAAGAACTGCTACTTAAAGGCGGTCGCTCTACGCGAGGCGCCGCAGAAGGTGCTCGGGCTGCATTTCGTGGGCCCCGTCGCGGGGGAGGTCATCCAGGGCTTCGCGGCCGCTGTCAAGTGAGTAGAGTCGTTGGAAGTAGCGACATAAAGTACTGTTTTTTTTGCTCTGGTTTTATACAGGGTGTAAAAAAATCTTTGACTAAGTCGAAGGTAACGTATTTTCCACATCATGACGATCATTTTTTTCTTCTGGACTATCCTCCTGGGAAATTTATGGTTATGGAGATATTGAAGGTCAAAGTCACAATTTTTTTCAAGATTAATACATTAATATTTTCAAAACGTTGTTTAGAAACTTTTTTATCGACGCACTTACACACGCTTCATATGGCGTAATGGAAAAAAATAAAAAAAATAAAAGTTACAGATGAATCCCACATATAACATTTTGTAATATAACTTGTTTGGGTGTAAAGAATGCGTAGTTTCATTCTTTGTCATAGGTTTTTTTACACCCTATATTAATATGCTATTTCATAGTATGAATTAAGGCATGTGTATTTAACATGAGTACGGGAGCGATTTCACTATTGACAAAAAAAAATGTTAATAATATTACTAAAAATCATCATGAAATAGCAAAGCATTTTTTGATCTATGCTCACGGACCGAAAACGCCTGGGATTGGCGAAGACAACAATGGCGTCACACGCTAGTAAACTTCCGGCTAAAGTGACATTACGTTGTATCGCTTGACGTTTTAATGACAGTCTTGTGACGTCACTTACCATAGACGCCATAATGTCCAGAGAAACGTTTTCGCTACAACTTGAAATTTCGTGGGATACTCTGAATCAGGCGAACTACTCTTGCTTAATCACAACCTTGATTTTTTATATGAACAAGCTATCTTTTTTCCAGATGCGGCATCACTATGGAACAGCTGATAAATACTGTAGGCATTCACCCCACAGTAGCGGAAGAGTTTACCCGCCTCAACATCACCAAGCGGTCCGGAAGAGACCCCAACCCTGCTTCCTGCTGCAGCTAAATAAATATCTACCACTCCCCTTCATCTTGCCGGGATAGTAATCTAAAACCCGTCAAATAACCATAAACCCTTAACCCCTTATTTACACGAAGAATAAGCATGGATTAGTTACACAGTTAGGGGCCATTCAAGTATTACGTAAGCACTATAGGGGGGCAGGGGGGTCTTTGCATTGCTTATTTTTGATGACATGGGGGTGGGGGGGCGGGGGGTCGAGATAGTGATTACGTAAGCATCATGGATTCAGGTGTCATGGACTGAAGACTATATACATATACCAAAAAATCGAAAGAAACTTGTTCGTAATAGTACCTTATTCTATGTTGAATACTGTGTCAATAAAGTTTGTTTAAATGAATAATAAGTGCGTTGAAGCCCTCTATCCTAAGCCTATTTCAGTATTGCTGCTCATGAAAGCTCATGAATCAATAAAAAAACAGAATACATTAAAGGAAAAATGCATGTAGGTACCAATGTTTACGTAAGCACGTGAGGGGGGGAGTAAGAGCTTTGCTTACTTTTGCTGACAAGGGGGAGGAGGGGGTAAATTATTGTAATAAATCTGCTTACGTAATACTTGAACGGCCCCTTACAGTTACGTTGCAAAGTTTTTTGCAATGTGGGCCCCCACATCGTAACATTCCCCACATCAGAAAATACTACCCACCCACATCGTGAAAGTATTAGTATATCATTCTGAAAATCTTTTCTCTACCTACCAGGGGGCCAATCGCCTAACGATATCGCCATCCCTTCCAATTTCAACTTTTAATTTCTGACCGCCTAACGTTTTCAAATATCTCACGCTCATTTTTTATAACGTTGTTATTACCAATGCAAAAAAAAGTGTGAGGCTTTTGAAAATCTTCGGCGGTCAGTAACAACTATATGGAATCGTAAGCGATAGCCATAGCAATCCCGTTAAGTGATCAGGAGGCTGGTAGCAACCCAAACATTAATAATATGCTGAAACTATAGGACCACTAGCCCGCCCCCACATCATAGTGTATTTACTAATTACAATTGTAAAAAAATGGCCGTAGTACTTTTGCTTATATATACAATCTGTTCTAAAAGTATTACACACTCGTCCAGGTAAAATACTTAAAGAGCTGTGTAGAAATATGAAGTTAAAGTTCCAAACTTAAGCCATTTAATATGACATCACAAATATCTTCGTTAGTAACCAATTCCTTCCGATTTGTTGAGTATATTCCGGCTTGGTCTACTTCGAACACATTAAAATACTCTATCAACTTGGTGTACAGACATATTGGTGTTGACCAACTTGATATTTGTTGTTGTAGTGTATTTATATAAATATATTTGGTGCTTGCACGAATTTTAAAAATTCCTTCTCGTCTCGGTGTTAACATGTTTTTAGAGTACAAAATTTAATTCATTAATGAGAACTAAAATATACTTTTATCTATGTATACCTATTGTTGTCTCAAATAAGTGAACTGAGTACTTGTTGTAATTTTATTAATTTTGGGTCCGTGTTTATACGCACACAGTATTATTTGTTACTTAACCGGAATCGTTTTTCACAATTGACATTCCGAGAGCACTTCTTTAAGAACATAAATGTTTCTCCACTTCTGTTTTTATAATTAGAACTTGAATAAAGTGATATATTTTTAATGATGCTATCGTTTTTTTGTACCTTTTCAAATTACGTCATTCAGTATAAAACTGAGATCAAAGATAGAAAGAACACCAGGAAAGATGCTCTTACGATCTTGGCTACAGGCACGTACAGCTTAGGGTTGTCAGTTGCTGGATTATCAATAGGGATGATGATTTTTTTTCTTCGTTTATCAGGTAGATTATCAAAAAGTATTAGTATAAAAAAAACATGTTTTTTATATCATTGTTTTTATGTAGCCATTAATATCGACATTGTGATTATGGTGAGAAATTAAGGTTATTATTATTATTATTGGACACTTTTTTCAGATAATATAAACATCGCAGAGATATATTGATTTGAAAAGTCGCATGACGTCACGTTTTACAATTAAACAAGTACAATTTTCATTCAAAGGTGACGTCACGAGCCCCTACTCCCAAACTTTGACGTGCTATAACTTTGTCATTTTTTGGTTGATTTCCCCAAGGAAAAACTACGTGTCCATTATTTTATGATCATCTAACTGACGGACTAAATAGAATTTCGTTTGATGTACCCCGTCATCACCCCTATTCTGGGACATCCCGCCCCGAAATAAAACATCACATAAAGATATAGGTCAGTAATGAATGCCTTTATATGGCATGCTTCTGTCGGCCCTCGCAGGTAGGTGTGGGTATAGTAATATTGTGAAAAAATGGTTGCCTGTAAAGTCGGTTTTACGGGCGAAGATTTTACGTGACAACGTCTTTTTCTCGGTAGAATATTTATTGATATGAATATAATTAAATTGCACAATAGGAACAAGGAATTGAATGAAAATAAGAATTGCACAAATTTTAACTATAGAAATATATTTTGTTTACTAAAACATTGTACATGTAAACTTAAACTTAACACGAGAGACTCATCGTAACGTTACCGAGCGTTACACTTTTTCATAAGTGACTCCCAGCCGCAACCTAATTTAAGACGTTGTCACGTCAAAAACCTGGTGTTTGGGGATTCTGGGACAATAAGGTCTAATTACTGGACACGGTACAATACGCAAAATTCCGGGACAATCCCGGATTTCCCGGCCATCTGGCAACCCTGGTACAGCTGCAGCCGCGTTCGCAATGTACATACATATTCAGCGTTGGTATAATTCGCGCGTCTTCTTTTTATCTCAGGAGGAATATGTAACTTACGTTGCCGAGATAAGGGTGAATTTGCTTTGTTACGTTTCTGATTGGCGCTTAGATGCTCTTTGACTCTGCGCCTTCGCACCTGCACCACAGCTCCGCCTGTCACTGCCTTAAATCCGGCCCAGGAGGCTTACACTAATTCAACTAAAAACGAAATTTGGATCGAATCTTCACACTTTCCTTTCTATGTTTCTGGTTCGTTTTTAATTATAATAATATTCGTCATCGGAATATAGATTGAGGTGTAGATTTTCTAAGCCGACTCAAAGAAAGCTCTAATTTGATAGTTTATCGTTCAAATTAAGTATAACCTTAAATTGACGAAATTAAATTTCGTTATCGAAAGTTCGTTTCGGAGAAAGAGAGTAGACCCCCTGGCTGTATGCTATTATATGTAATGATTTTATACTTTGCAAAGAAAAAGAGATTAGCTGATGTCACTGGCCATAGAAATATTTCAACTTGCTTTGCGGAAAGGGCACAAAATATTGCATGAAAAAAACGTCAATCAAGGGCGCTAAAAGAGGCTATCTCGCTCTACCCTATCAAGGTGTAAGATGAAACGCATAACCTCTTTTTTAATACCTTTAATTTAAAATCATTATTACTTAACACAATTACCATCTTTTTACAAAACGTGAACTAAAGTAAGACGTGGTTTATAATTAAAACTAAATAGTCTTTGTATTATCTTTAGCAAAAAAGGGTGACGGGTGGTTTAACTTTAGTAAACGTTTCGTAATAAAGGCGGTTAGTGTCTAAGGCTCATCGTTGGTGAAGTAATGAGCCATGTCCGGGGAGTTCCCGCACGGGAACCAGGCCTGCGCAGTAGGCACCGGGTAGTACTCGTGCGCCTGCACCAACGCGTTGTCGAACCGCCAGAACCGTGGGCCTCGGAAGAAAAACGTGTCTGTCAATGTAAACAGAAAGGTTAACAAAATTCTTTGTTACAAAAATAATGGTAGTAGCTCGAAGGACCAAGATTATTGATAAGTGTCATTAATAGCAGTATTTCGTTTGCTGTATGCTGTATGTAAAGAACATCATCATGATCATCAGCTTATTAATGTCTCTACTGTTGTGGCAGAGGCCTTCCCTATGGATGGAAAAGGCAGATTGGGCAATGACCCACACACGGGCCCAGTGCGGATTGATGGGTGCTAACGCCTGCAGATGCAGCCGGGACCAACGGCTTAACGTGCCTTCCGAAGCACGGAGGAGCTCGAGATAGTAAATTTTTGGTCACCCATCCAATGACCGACCACTGCGAAAGTTGCTTAAATGCAACGATCGCAGCCGAATGCGCTAGCCACTATCGAGCTCCTCGATCTCGCTCTTCACATATCTGATTTATTTAAAACTATCTATAATAAAAGATGATATAGATTTCTAAGATAATATGTGCACTATTTTCAGACGAATAACTCTGAAAGCGATTTCTGTCAATACCACCAACAGAATTGTGCGGACTCACAGAAAGTCTTGTCTTTTTGACTTTAAGCTAAGCAGATTCTATATGGTTTTCGGCGACCTCTATGGTTGAGTGGTAATGGTATGTACAACAGTTTTCAAGGAGTCGCCTACTCCGAGGTCCTGGGCTCGAATCCCGTTGGGGCCTTAGAACTTTTGTGGATGCTGTAAGCGTAGAATGAAAACGCGCCGCGTATTGTTGCGTTCGCTGCTTACTACACAGCTGCAATCAAGTTTGAATCGCTCAATTTTTTTTTATTGTGAAGTAAGCCAACATCTCTGAGCGACTTTAAACTGGTGGCCGTTGGAGCCGGAAAGTTCTTGAGTGGAGACCACGACTCGGTAAACGTAGTGTAGGACGCCCTGAGACAAGATGGGATGATGATATTCGTAGGCTGGCTGGAGTGGGGTGGTTGAGAGTAGCACAAAATCGGGAGCAGTGGCGTGCATTAGGGGAGATCTATGTCCAGCCGTGGACGAACATGGGTTGATGATAAAACCAACCTCCTTTCCAAATAATCGCCGCGTCGACCGGGTAGGGCACCTGTCGCCAAGCCGACATCTCCTTCGGGTAGCCGACGTCCATGCGGCGCGCGGCCTCGTCGTACCGCCAGAACCACTCGTACTCGATGAGGTAAGTCTTATTATTGTAGTTGGACAGGAACACGGTGGTCAGTTCCGGAACTCTGCGTGGTAAGCCGTAGTCTGTCAGTCTGCCCACCTTGATTAGGCGGAATGTGGCATCGAACTCCCAGTATCTTTTACCTGGAAAATGAGTTATGGCAGTTTTACAACGATGTTGCATTTTTAAATAATAGCAATAAATATTTCCAACACATACCAAATAGCCTAGCCCCAAAGTAAGCACTGTAGGCTTGTGTTATGGGAGACTAGGATAACGGATAGAATACATTTATGATGAAACATATAAGTAATAAGTACCTATACTAGCTGTCCCAGCGAACTTCGTACCGAAATAAAAAATAGGGGTTGGTGGTAGAAGGGTGAAAATTTAGGGTTGTATGTATTTTTGTATGACGTATAATAAAAAAAAATTAAGGGTGGACCACCGTTAACATTTAGGGGGATGAAAAATAGATGTTGTCCGATTCTCGAAAAATAGACCTATTGAATATGCATATAAAATTTCACAAAAACCGGTCGAACCGTTTCGGAGTAGTGACACGAGAATTTTATATATTAGATATATATAGAAATACATATTAAACATCCATGACTAGAGTACAAATGCTCATATTCACCACATAAATATCGGCTCCCACTGGTATTCGAGCACCTCTCGAGTAGGTGACACCGGGAAACCCGTCGTACAAGCCGAGTGGCCACGGAGGTCGTCGAATTAATGTCGTTACAGTCTGTTCATTCCACTATGTTCTGTGTAGGTATTGCATGATCTTTGAGCGATTTTGCATGGTAGTCTGCGGTAACACGGGTTGATATTTAATCGCAGCTGCAGTGCGAGAACTGCATTGTAGTCGCGTGACAAAAACGACAAATTATTTGTGCAAGGCCTTTTGTATGTGACTTGCAGTCCTGTTCTTACAAGATAAATAAGGAGGTGTATGGACTATATGGTGCAGTGGTAGGCTTGGTCGATTGGAAAAAACGAGCGAACCTTACAGTAGTCGCGTATGATGTGTAACATTTGAAAGCTCACCTTATATTAGTAAAAAAAGAAATAAAACCTACTACAAAAGGAATAAGCCATTTGAACATTGTTCTAAAATCAAATCAAATAGCACGCGCTTCCCAAACTTCCTGTTACACACTTCCGTCCCACTTCACGTTATCACTCCCACAAATTGCACGAAAGCGAGAGGAAAGATGTTACACATCAATAAGAAACTATTGTATTGGCCGCCCATAGGATGGGTGATCAAAAGTTTGTATTTGAGCCTTCGTGTTTCGGTAGGTACGTTAAGTAGTTTCTCTTGGCTGTCAAGATAAACTGCTTGCTATTTAGCATCTAACAATCAGCACTGAGCGCACATGGCCTTTCTCCTTATCCAAGGTCGGCGCTCCTTCTGTGGAGACCTTAAAAAAAGGCTGATGATAACGAATCTATACTAATATTATAAAGCTGCAAAGTTTGTTTGTTTGAACGCGCTAATCTCTGGAACTACTGGTCCGATTTGAATGATTCTTTTAGTGTTGGGTAGTCCATTTATCGAGGAAGGCTATAGGCTATATCTGAATTTTTTTTTTATCTAAAATTAGGGATCCGTAATAAAATTGCTATTTTGTAACACAAGGTGTAAAATTGAAAACCTATTTTTGCGTGCGCTGCAAAAACTATTGACAATAGAACAAAATGATGTACTACGGGTTTGTAGATCCCATTAAGACCTACATAAAAGTCCGCGAGAACATATATCTAGCTATCATGGTTTAATCACAATAACCGATTTTGTGTTCAAAATAATAATTAAATCGTCTGAAGAAAAAAAACTACGTTAAATATGTATCGTAATATTAATCTTTATCGAAATTAAGCATTATGTTATCAAGAGTATTTATGTAGAAGTAAAATACTTTTTGTTTCATCTCAATCGGATATTTCGTTTAAAAGTTATCACGTGTGTAAGTTGTTAAGAGTTGGTACCTATTAATAAGTTATGAGCCATAGAGTTTTTTATCAACATAAAATTCTATAATAATCTTCTTTCGAAATATATTTGTTGATGATTGTAAACGCGGGTGAAACCGCGGGGCACGGCTAGTTTAAAGATATAACACGATACGCAGGAACATTCAGCTTACCTGAAAATATAACTATATTCCCATTCTGCTTTTCGTAAATAGTTTTGATAATGTTTATTCTCTCGGGCAACCCTTTGAACACATCGTGGAATCTTCTCGGAAATCCTTCTTGAATCACTTTGTCCTTGATGATCCACATCCACTGTGAATAAGAAAATATTATGATTAACAATGAAATGTTAGTTACATTTGTATTGAAATTCTTATGAACTAGTTAGCACCTAGCTAGCCAAACTATAATAATGCGCCCTCCATTAACTGTCTTGTCAGGCAGAGAGTTGCTTTATCTGATATTATTAGTTGGCATATTTTTTTGTTTTTTATTTAAAATTCTGTTACTTTATCGGCCGCATTTTAGCCGGGTACTCATTAGCGAGCTGTAACCGTAACATGCGTGATACAGTACGAGGTTCTAGTGTGTACGCTTGTAGCTCAGTACAGTTGTACTGCCGTCCTCAAGCTAAAACGCGGCTAAATGACAAAACGAACTTTTGAGATACGTCCAAAAAACGCCGCGTAAACTTTAAATTATTGCTATTTTGTAACCATTCATCGCATGACGGATTTTTAGACTTAAACTATGAAAGATATGAATACTTGTTAAAGACAGATCGACAGAGAATTAAAAACTGTATAAGATGCAATTTCAAGACTGAAAAATCGACCACATGTCACTTAGCCGCACCTTAGTTTGAGGACGGCAGTGTAAAAGTCGGCTCGCTGCAAACTGCACGCGTACCGTTCGCAGCAGGTTAGCGAACCACGTACACACTATGTTTTTTTGGTTACAGTGCATGCAACGGTTACGGTTACAGCTCGCTAATGAGCACGCGGCTTTACCCGAAATGCACTCTAAGGATCGCGGTTTTCAGAGTCAGTGTCGGCAGATCAGAGCAAGAGTATTGGCTGGTTTATTATGGTAAGTTGCAGCTTATTTTGTCGAGCTTCAGCATTGGCGTAGCCAGTGATTTTTCCTAGGAGGGCAGCCGTCCATTTGAACTAACTTCATTGTGAGCACTCGATGTGAGCAGAGTTTTCTAGGGTGGGCAATGTCATGCAGCGTAGATGCAGCTTCAGGATTGGATAGAGCGGGGAGTTGAGGGCTTCTCCTGGTGAGCCGTGAGGCGCCATGCCTATTCTAGTTCTATTGTGGCGGCGACATCTACATGCCCCACATATAATGAACATAGAGGAAATAGTCACTCGCCTCCATAAGAGATGGCGCTACCGGCGCTGCGTTCACAACGTATGGAAGCCTACATCGCGCAAGAGAAATTCGGAGCCAAACACTCCGTGGCCCCCGAGCTAACATCATCCAGCTCGGAGGAAGATCTTCCCCTTTGGCCTTCCTACACTATTCTTGTTAAAAGAGTAGCAAACCAGTATATGGCCCGCCTGAAGGTCAGCGGCAACATAGCCTATACACGCTTGCGATACTAAAGCTATCTCGCGCCGCTGCCTACTCTGACCCCATCCCGTACCTCGTGGAGCCCTAGAACCGTACTCATCGACAGAAACACAACACTACCAAAATGTTGTGTTATTTTACTGTGATCTTCTTTAAGATGGAGGTTACCTCCCTAGACGGGTGCTCCAATTCGACCGAATAATCTGCTATACCCTATCTCTCTTAAAAAAAACCGGCCAAGTGCGAGTCGGACTCGCGCACCGAGGGTTCCGTACAAACCTGTAGGTATATGATGTAACTAAAAATTTACGGTTTTCGCAATTTGTCCTTTATATGTTCTATAAGACGTTACTTCGTACCAAATTTCAATATTCTAAGTTCACGGGAAGTACCCTGTAGGTTTTGATTCCCGTGCGAGTTTCGATAATTTGCGGAAATTTGCGGCATAAACGGCTGTATCTTTTGATTGCTTAGGCTTAGAAGCTTGATTTTTTCACAGCTCCAAGGGACAGTAGACCTAAGTATTAGATATGAATTTCAGTTTGATACTTCCACGCGTTCCTGAGAAAAACGGTCTTGACCGACGGACTGACGGACGGACGGACAAAAAAGTGATCCTATAAGGGTACCGTTTTTTATTTTGAGGTACGGAACTCTAAAAATATGTATATAGAAATTGTTACCTCCTCCTCGAAGACGAAAAGCTTGCCCTGTATGGCCTGCAGCGTGTCGTAGTTGGTGTAGCACAGGTCGGGGATCTCGTTGTCTTCGAGCTCCTCACTGGCGGCCTTGGTGAAGCGCGGCGCCAGCGACGAGCCGCGCGCCGCCGCCGCCGGGCTCTCCGTCTCCTCTACTACTTCGTCCTTCACTAAAATAAATAATATATACTATATAATAGGTACCTACGTACCCACTTTATCTATAGCGAAGTGGTATTATGTTCACCGGTTTTCAAGGTATCTGCTACTCTGATGTTCGCTTTTTGAGCTGAAGCTGAGATGGTACGAGTATAATCAAAATACCGAGCTTTCTTTTGTTATTTAACACACTTGGTTAGTTTTTCTTGAATGATTTTGTATATTGATAAATTCTATGTATGTCTTATTAAAACAGAAATTTTCATCACGACCAAAAGGATATCATTTCATAAATCCTAAACTAAATAGTTAATTAAAGTGCCATGTCCACACATTTACAATGTTTAACAGATTTTCAAGATTTATTGTCGGTGCAAGGAAATTAATGAATATAAAATATCATGGCAGAAATTATACGAAGAACATCTGGTGTCAGAATGACCGACTATCAGCATCATCATAATTAATATCACCCGATCATGAACAACGCAGGCAAAATGCGGAGTGTTAAATGCTAAAGATTGCAGATGCAATAGTAACCAACGGCTTATAATATGGATGGATGTAGTGTTTTGTGCACATCATCTTTTGCGTGGCCATTTGTAATTTATCATGGAAGACATAAAACCCAGCGTTGCGTTAAGTCTTATTGTATTATTAAGATGGTTCAAGTAATTTTCGTAAAAAGTAAGTTTCGTAAAGTTGTAATGTTGCCATATTCAAAATCTTTAAAAAATAGGAGGGTCACGATCACGATTCATTAGTCAGACTCTAGGATCTTTCTGTATGCTGTGATACTAACAGTAATTACTAGTGATACGCCTGGGTTTACTTGGTAACCACTTACCATCAGGCAGGCGGCGTGCTTGTCACCTTAAAGTCATATAATAAAATGTCTTACTATAAAGCTCCTGCATCCCCAATATGTCGTCGATGTGGAGTTTCTCCACCGGCACTTGGTAGTAGGGGTACATGACGGAGGCCTTTACGTTGGAGTGCGACAGTCCGAGCGCGTGGCCGATCTCGTGCACGGCCACGGCGAAGAAGTCGGTGACGTCATCCGCCTCGCCGTCGTGCCCCTCACCCCAGATTTCGTCGTCGTCGAAGTGCATCGCCCCGTTAGGTGGGGGGAACGCGTGCGCAACCACGTGGCCCGGTCCGTCGAAGGGAAAGCTGGGGAATAGCTACCGATTCAATCAAGGAACTATCAAAACCCACATAAAAAAATTCAAATGATTGAATTTGTTGGGATTTGACTTGTTAAGTACGAGAAAATTAAATTAACCGTGTGGGCTCTGGTCGAAACACAAATAAGCAATTTATTATTATCGATATTAGATAAAATTTAAAAGACAGGTTTAAAGGATAGATATTTCCTCTTTTTCCGAATATTATACCTCATTTATGACAAAATGCTTACTCGTCGCCATGGTTCTCCTTTCCGAAATATACCTCGATGTCAGCACGACGATCTTGCACCGGTATGAACTGTAAGCCTCCGTGAGGTGCCCACACCGCTAATCCTTCCTCCATCAGCGCTTCTACTCTGTGCTTGGGGAGAGTACTGGAGCCGTTGATCACCCTGCAGTCAGTTATTTAGATACAGAGAAATAAGGCAAATTTAACATACTGGACCCTTCAATCACCCTTGGGGTAGTCTTTTAGAAACAGAGCAATCAGTAGGTATTTGGTAAAGTAATGTTTGAGGGGTTTGATGGAAAAAGTATCCCATATAGTTATCCCAGTTTAATATCCCACTTTAGTCTGCGTTCTCGTAAATTAAGCCACTTTCGCTATCACCGATCAGAAGATGGGTGGCGAAAGGTCTATAACGAACGAAATATCTCGAACTTGTCTTATTCTCGGAAGCATAGTCAACCAGTTTTAATAATTTGTTCTAATAGATGTGCCTCAACAGCGACTTAATTAATAGGCTGATAACTTAGTGATGAAAGTACTGCAGTCAATAATCAAATTGGCACACTTAATGAAAAAATGTTTTGTGGGGATTTGTACAATTTGGATTGAACCTATTAATGTATGGCAATCATTTAAAATTTGAGGAATAGAGTTGGGTTAATAGAGTTCTGGCCACATTGATCACCCTAGGTCAGTCTTTTCGAAATTGCCGCTTTGGCGGTCATAGAAAAAGAGAAAATTACGGCTACTACATGGAAGACTATGAAACACACTTTGAAATTTTAATGATGTGAATAAATCGTTCTGAAATTCAAATTTACCTGTAAGTGATGATCTTTTTCGTCCATCCCTGCTGCAGTATGTATCTACGACTTCTTGTCTTTATGCTGTTATCTATATCTTTGACGCCACAGCGCTTTTTCTTGAAAAGCTAAAAACAACAAAATTAATATACTTCAGTTCAGTTCACCCAGTTCTGAAATTACTTAACAATGGCATCGTAGGTACCTACATTAGAGTAGTACTTAGATCCTACTACATCTTATTTTACGAGATTGGTCTATCTTTTAAACGTGGTATGAACTTCCGGTTTGAAAGAAAGAGATTCGAAGTCAGGGCTATAATCAAATGTTTTAAAATCTTACTTGTTTTGTAGCGTAATCCACTTCACCAGTTTGTGGGAGACCAGCAAACGCTTGCATCTTGCGTACAGCCTCCGATATCGAATGAGGTGTGTACGCAAAGTCTAAGTCCCCTGAGGGCTCTGGTGCGTAGCCATACTTTCTCAGGAATAATAGCTGCATATAAATACATGATAAAGATGAAAACGTTATGTTAATATAGTAAGTAGGTAGTGTAAACTATATGATACTAGCCGAGCCAGCGAACTTCGTATCGCCATAAAGATATTATCAGTGGCAGAAGGGTAAAAATTAAGCGTTGTATGTATTTTTGTATGATGTATCACAAAAAAATGAAACAAACAATTTTGTCCAAAAAAATAATTAATGGTGGACCCTTAACATCTATGAGGATGTAAATAGATGTTGTCCGATTCTCAGACCCAGACCCCTCTTTCCCAGTGGGCACTTTGGGGCGTGCTTTGGGCAAGTGCCCAGGGCCCCGCGATCGATAGAGACCCCCATCAGATCAAATACAAAGTCCCTAGTTCCTGTTAAATCACCAAACGGGGGTCATAGGGGCCACATTATCCTAATATGCCTAGAGCCCCCAATAGGTCAAAGACGGGACTGCTCAGACCTACTGAATATGTATCTAATATTTCACGAAAACCGGACGCGCCGTTTCGGAGGAGTTCAATTACGCACACCGTGACACGAGAATTTTATATATTAGATGTAGGTAGAATTATGGCATTTTACATATAACTTTAAGTTGAAATTGTTAATAAAATAATTTTTTCTACAATAGATAGGCTATCATGCTAAGATTTTGTCCTACGGGAATGTATTACCAACAAACAAATTCAAATAAATGTCTACGCCTTTAAGAACCCTTGCTTTATTCATGGTCCTTCCAGCCGGATAATGAAATCGAACCAAACAAGTTGTTCAACTCAACTATTGTCTTTTGCTCCTTCCAGAATTTGTTTTTTTTTGTATTTGAGAGTAATAATGAGAAATAATCCTTATAAAAAAACATGAGTTTCATTAGTAATATCCGCAGACACAAAAAAACTAGGTAGGTATTACGAAGATATACCCCTAGCACGAACCAAAATCGAATTCGTAACGTTTGCGAGTCCGAAATGTCATTGTCAAATGTGTACTGATTTTTAGTTCCCATTACGTCGAAAGTGGCGCTGCTGTTCAAGTTTCCATACAAAATTTGACATTGACATTTCGCACTCGCAAACTATTCGAATTCGATAATGGTTCGTGCTAGGGGTATACGCTCATACTAGCATCAAATAAAATTTGCTCCGACTCCACTACATATTATGCAACTCTCACACACGTGCGCACGTGCGTACGTCTATAAATAAACCACATAAACATTCAATCGAGCGAGCGAGACGGAACAGTACCCTTAGCACGAAACAATATCGAATTCGAATAGTTTGCGAGTCCGAAGTGTTATTGGCAAATTTTTTATGGGAAATTGAACAGCAGCGCCATAATGGACGTAAAGAGAACTAAAAATCAGTACACATTTGACAATTATCACATTATCTCCGACGACCTCCGTGGCCGAGTGGTTTGTACGCCGGGTTTCATGGTGTCGCCGACTCGAGAAGTCCCAGGCTCGAATCCCGGTGGGGGCAGATGTTTGTGTGATGAACACGAGCATTTGTACTCCAGTCATGGATGTTTAATATGTATTTCTATATAAATATACTTATATATGTACAGTGTATGTATTCTATCCGTTACCCTAGTATCCCATAACACAAGCCTTACAGTGCTTACTTCGGGGCTAGGCTAATTGGTGTGCTAAAAAAAATATTATTATTATTACCGAACTAATATCAAATTCGTAACGTTGAATAAGATTGATTTTTATCATTTTACAAAAACAAACAATACACCTTAGAAATCTACAGCAGCAGAGAAACAACGTCTTCATTTCCTAATGAAATACCTATTAATAAAATTATTGTTTAATTTGCTAAGACATAAGTCAGCCATAAGTAAAAACTAAAAAAAGAGAGAAGGAAAAGGAATTAAGTAAAAACAATTTTGAGAAAAAGAATCAAAAACACACAAGTATGCAGTGTAGAGTGGAGACCTCGAATAACGCGACAACGTACCTAAGTATTACTTAATGATAACACTGACCTCTTCACTCGTTGGACCATTCAGTTCCAAAAATATAGTTTTACTCGATACATTGATAATTGTAATAACCGTGACAGAAATATAACAAGCTAAGTAATGACGTGCGCACATGCTCGCTGATGCACTAACAAAGAAAGCGACTGACCAACAAATGCGACAACAACAGTACTACACTTAGTTGTGTATGATGTTATGACCTTTGGCTCTAGATAAAGAATTATGAGTTGCCTGGCCGCCCTTCGGAGAAGCTATGACACGATTATGAATATTTTTTTCTACCTACATGGATAGCCTTTTGTGAGAGCCTTTAACCATAATTCGTTGTAATACTTAAACAAAATCAGTAATCTGTTCCAGATACAACTTTTAACCTAGTGACTGGTAATTTCATGAATTATCTTTGAAATAATTTTTCAACTTGACGACTTTGTCGTGTGAAACAATACAGAGAAAAAAAACAGCCCTTGTTGAGTTTCTTGCCGGTTCTTCTCAGTACAAGGTATCCCACCATAGATTTGCAAACCGATGGCGTAGCTGTAGCTTCGGCCATCACAAATAAGTGTTTGTTAAAATTTTAATAAAGCCATAAACAAACCCTTTTAAATAAATTCCTCCTTATTCATTAAACTGAAATGTAACAGTGACGCATTGGTCAAAACTGTCATAATAAAAACACTAAATGGTAGAGGATTGGTATCTACTTGGAGATAAAGGATTTTAAATTTGCAAATATATTTCGTATCCCTGAGGATACTAAAGACGATTTCAGTAAAAGATAGTGTGCGTAGAAATGGAGAACAGCTCTCATTCTATGCCCAACATGAGAAAGAACGTGAATAACGTTAAAGACGCAGACTCGCGCAAGCTCTACAGTTTATCGCTATCGGAGATCAGGAAGCACTCCAATTATGCTGAATATAATCACAAGCCATCACCGTTTGTATGTTGTTTTTTTCAATTTAAATTAAAGTGGGCATTATAAAGAAGCCATTCATTGACGATCTCCGTGGCCGAGTGGTTTGTACGCCGTGTTTCATGGTGTCGCCGACTCGAGAGGTCGCGGGTTCCATCCCGGAGGGGGCAGATGTTTGTGTGGTGAATACGAGCATACGTACTCTGGTCATGGATTTTTAATACGTATTTCTATATAAATATGGAGGATGTATCTATCCGTTACTCTAGTAAACCATAACACAAGCCTTACAGTGCCTACTTTGGGGTTAGGCTAATTGGTGTGTGTTAGAAATATTTATTGTAAAATGCAACATTGCAGAATCTTCGATGGATCAACGGTTACAACGCGAAGGTGGGCGTGATCAATCTCAACGTAAACGGCAGCACCACCGCCTTCTACGCGGCCTGCAACTGCGCAGTGCTCTACAACTGGACCACCAACCAGATGCGGATACTGCAAGGACATGTATGCCGCATATTGCAAACCAACAATCGTAAAGATTCACATTGGGGGCACAATATAAGTGCGCTGGGATGATGCGCCATTAAATACGATTTTCAAACAAATTAATAACGCATTAAAGCCTATGAAAACATTTATTAGAAAAATTCTACTTGGTCAGGGTCCAGCCAGCCTGATACCTTGGCCAAGATTGTATTTTTTGAAGAAAAAGCTAAAGTTAAATAATATAAAATAAAGTAGTTCAATGCTTTTAAATAGAAATAAAATAAAAAACTGAATTATTGTATCATATCATCATATATTACACATTATTTAATTCTAAAGTTCTTCCGTATGTACTTCAAAAGGAAGAAACTCTGTCCCGAAGTCGTTAGCATCTTATATCCGCACTGGACCAGTGTGGTGTGTATCTATGCAGGTCCAGCTCTCCCTATTCTGCCCTATTCGTTTGTGCCCCGACAGTGGGGACAGTCACGCCTCATTGACTATAAACTCAAACCAATAGGCGCCACCAATAAGTATAATAGTTAAAATCCATCGTTATATTTTCACTTACTAGTTATTATACAAATCTTTATAGCGGCATGCGGTAGCGTTCTTAGCATCAGACAGCAAGGGCAAGTGGCTGGTGACAGCGGACTCTGGTCCCGAAAACATCGTTATCATTTGGGACAGTAGGGACTACTTCCCACAGAGAACGCTGTTTTCGCCCCACAAGGAGACAAGACTGGCCAAGGTTGCTCTCAGTGCCGACGCCAAGTACCTCCTCACGCTGGGGTACAAGGGCAAAGCGGCCGTTTACTGGTGGATCTGGTCGGAACCTCTGGAGGAACCACATGGTTATTATGTTTGTAGTTTTTTGTAATGGACCAGAACGTATCGTGTCCTCGTACGATCGTTACCAATTAGGACGACGAGGATTGATACGTTGCGTGTGTCATGCATTTGAAATTGCATAAGTATACTTTCTTAAAATGTAACAAAACGGATGTTATCATTTCATGTACGTATTTAAAAAAAACTTCATATTTCAGCCAAGTTGCATGTCGATATACCCCGAGACTCAGTCGTGGCGATGGGATTCAACCCTTACGATTCTAAACAGTTTCTCCTGATGACAAAACAAGAAATTTGGATTGGCATATCACGTGTTAGTATTTATTATCAAATTATTATTAAATGCATTTCCCTTGTCTTCATGTACAAAAAAAGGCACCTTCAAATTTCTTCTAAAACACATACGTACAAAATATCATTGAGTATTTTTATTTCTTTTATTAGCATTAGTAAATAACACTTTTAAAGATTCATTAGAAACAGCTCGCTTTCGCTGGCAGTCTTTGACCAAGGAAACCGAAAAACAGTCAAACTCTACCTACAATATTGCACACAGAAAGTGTTCGTGTTCGAGCGAGGTTTATGGAAAGAGACTGATGAGTACGAGCTCAAAATCAGATGCCCTGAGAAGAACGTGGGGCCAGAAGTGGGCAGAATGACTTGCTACACCTTCGTGGAGGATACTGCGCAAGTACTCGTGGCCACGAGCAGAGGCAATGTCATCGTCTATGGACACACCATAGAACACAGGAAGCGTGTCGAAGACACCAACTATGAAAACTTGAGATACGTCAAAGTAGTAAAAATTGAGAAGGAGAAAATCAATGTCATCAAGAACGTAGATGGGTAAGTAGAATTTTATACATATATGTAATTACCTGATTAGCACTAGCGCACTTTATAGATAGGATGCGCGTTAATGTTTCAGGTTTCGGTTCCTCGTAGGGATTTGTGTTTTAGACTTATAGTAAACTCATAGACCGGGAGATGATGACACAAAATACTTGGTCATTTGTACCAGTATGGCGGTTCTTCAGGGGTCTAATTACGTAAAGGCAAAAAGGAAAATGATGGTCATAGCGCTCGCACCGGCGGCCCAATCGCGTGGGCGTTAATCGAACGCGTCGGATAAATAACGAGTGTCGAACGATTTGTTCCACAAAAATGCTTATATTTTCAGATAGTCGAAAAAAAGAAGTAGGCGGTAGCGTAATGCCATACTTCTCGGGTGTGACTTACAGCCCGCCATACCGACGCGAATACATTAATTTAAATAAAACAATTCAACCATTTGTACCAGGCTAATTTTTGCACAGCTAATCATCGTCGAGTAGCCATTCACGAAAATCACCTTGCCATACTTTTCCGACAGTTCCCAATGGCCGCCATACCGCTGCAAAGGAGTAATTTTTTTTTTTCGCCAAACGATTTGTACCAGTATTGCATTTGAATTTTTGGAAAGTATTTAAAATATGACCGTTATTATTTTTCCCATACTTCTAGTAGGGGCCATACTTGAAATACTTATTTATTTGACACGTTTTAAAAATACGACTGCAAAATACGTAAAATCATTTTTTACATCATGACATCATTGTATTCTCGTCATTTGGATGCAATTGTACGTAAAAAAATTTATTACAGATTGTAAACATGGGGCGGATGACTGTCGGACTTGAGCTAAAAGGTGAAAAAGAAAAAAAAAATTGACGATTTGTACCAGTATGGCATTTGGATTTTTGGAAATTATACGATACAATGTGACCATAGGGACACGAAAAAAGTATCGATACTTTGTGGTATCGAGTACTTTTCCTTTCGATACCGATACTTTTGTACTCGATACTTTGTATTCGATTCTTTTACTAAATGAGTACTTTTTGGCAAGTATCAATACCTTTAAAAATTTGGATAAGCGCCTCATATTGATGACAACGCCATCTTGTTAAATTATAGCAAACCTTCTAAAACGTTCCATAGGGTATTTGACAAGTTTAAGGCAACGATCTCACGTTATTGACTAATGTTTAAGGAGTCCGTAAAAAGTGGATATTCATAATTCTGTCGTGTATTTCAGTAAAAATAACCATATCAAAAACTCCATTTTCAAGTTGCCGCGAAAACGTTTCTCTGGACAATATGGCGTCTTACAAGTGTGTCACACGACTTTTTTAACGTCAAACGATACAATGTAATGGCACTTTGACCGGAAGTTTACTTGCGTGTGACGTCATTTTCGGCACCGCCAATCCCAAGCGTTTTAGGTTACGTGACAATAGATAAGAAAACTAATATCTTTTTCGTTATTTTGGCACTTTATTTTTAATACTGTCAAATTTGTATTGCCCTATTGCGTTGTTATAAAGTCAGTAACTGACATATTCAAATTCTTTCCAATCTGTGACTGTGTTTATTTTGCGTTTTGTTTCATAGTTAATTATTTAGCGACCATATTGTTAGGAACTGTGGTTGCTCATCAGGCCACAGAGGCTCCGATAAGGTCCTATGAAATGTACTCGATACTTTGAAGTATCGATACTTTTGTTTCGATACTTTTACGAGTACGATACTTTTTTACCGATACTACTCATGAGTACAGTATCGATACTTTCTATTCGATATCGTGTCCCTATGTGACCATTATTATATTTGCCATACTTGTAGTAGAGGGAAAAAGTGGCGCCATACTGGTACAAATCGTTCGAGTTACGAATAAAATCTTGGGACTTTGAAAAAATATTGTTCACATTCGCCACCTCCCACAGGTATGGCATTATCAGACTTCTATGTATGATCATACGGGGAACTGTTAAAAAAAGTTTCAGGGTAGTACAAATCGTTTGGCGAAAAAAAAAAATTTTACTCATTTGCAGCGGTATGGCGGCCATTGGGAACTGTCGGAAAAGTATGGCAAGGTGATTTTCGTGAATGGCTACTCGACGATGATTAGCTGTGCAAAAATTAGCCTGGTACAAATGGTTGAATTGTTTTATTTAAATTAATGTATTCGCGTCGGTATGGCGGGCTGTAAGTCACACCCGAGAAGTATGGCATTACGCTACCGCCTACTTCTTTTTTTCGACTATCTGAAAATATAAGCATTTTTGTGGAACAAATCGTTCGACACTCGTTATTTATCCGACGCGTTCGATTAACGCCCACGCGATTGGGCCGCCGGTGCGAGCGCTATGACCATCATTTTCCTTTTTGCCTTTACGTAATTAGACCCCTGAAGAACCGCCATACTGGTACAAATGACCAAGTATTTTGTGTCATCATCTCCCGGTCTATCAGGAATTCATATACAATACAAACCTATTTACTTTTATATTGGAAATCATCCATACGGTCGGTCCATACGGTACACAGAAATGTCTTTTTATATCTGCATTTCAAACACTTGCGACATTAAGCTGATTGATTTTTATACTAATAGTTTTGCTGTAGTGTCTACCTACTACTGTGCTACCTCCCTATCATATTCTACCCTAAACTTAATCATATTAGAAATAACAGTGGATAGGGCGTTGTAAATAACTTTAATTGTATATTTGTCATATAAGATGACTTATCACAAGATGTTTATTTATTATAGTATCCTAGGAAACGAAAGACATTAAACTTTCTTGTAATTTGATATACCTACTTCTAGTAGCATGCTAAAGAGGTTTTATCAACACCTAAGGTTCTTTAAGCGGCAGTGGCGGGGCAAGACAGATTTCGTGAGGCCCTGTTCTGTGGCGACCTGAAGACGGATTTTATAAAATAAAAAAAAAAGAAATTTGCTTTTAAGCAATGCATAACAATTTTTGAGGCGCGAGGCCCCTTGTACCGCGAGGCCGTAGGCGGTGGCCCACGTCGCCCACGCCTTACGCCGCCTCCGTTAAGCGGTACCCTGTTGTTATCGCTGTATCGAGCAACTTGCCCTTCAATTGCCACTGCAATGTTTGTCAGGTTAATAGTAACTGGCAACAAGGTCGGGGAGATCCACTTCTACGACGACCAGCTGAAGCTGCTGTACTGGATACATGGCTTCGCTGTGGACAGCGTGCGCGGTCTCAGCTTCAACATCGCGCCCCGTAGCTACCAAATATTCGACCCTCAGTGTTAGTGATTTAGTAATTAATCAAGTTTATGAGAGGTAGGGCATAGCGGATTCCACTCGAATAGGGTATTTGACAGTATTAAAAAAAAGTGCCAATTGTTAGTATCTGTGTTTAGAATGAATATTGGCAGGGGTTTTTATTATTTTTACAAAAAAAAATATCATAGTCTTACTAAAAACCCACGAAAAAGTTAATAGTTTTCTTATCTATTGTCACGTGACCCAAAACGCTTGCGATTGGCGGAGCTTAAAAGGACGTCACACGCAAGTAAACTTCCGATTAAAGTGACAGTACATTGTATCGTTTGACGTTTTAATAACAGTCATGTGACGTCACACACTAGTAAGGCGCCATATTGTCCAGAAAAACGTTTTCGCAGCAACTTGAAAATGGAGTTTTTGATTTGGTTATTTTTACTGAAATACACAACAGAATGATGAATATTCACTTTTAACGGACTCCATAAACATTAGTCAATAACGTGAGATCGTTTTCTAAAACTTGTCAAATACCCTATTGGACAAGGGCGGATCCAGCTTTGGCGCCAGGGGGGGGGGGGGTCATATAGTCGTGGTATATTAAATATTGAAAGTACTTAAATAAAATCCCCCTGGGTTTGGTCCATCTATACCCAGCCCAGGGGGGGGGGGGTCATGGTCTATTGGAGGTACCTTCTGGGGAAGTAACATCCACCGTACAGAAGACTCCAGTAATATAACACTACCTTCTGGTGGTGTTGAGTTTCTATCGATGAGTACGGTTTCAGGGCATCACGGGATATGGGATGGGGTCAGGGTAGACAACGGTGCGAGTGATATTTTTAGTAGCGCCAGCTTCTATCAGGCAGGCCATACGATTAATTGCCACCCTTTTACCTTTAAAAAAAGTAATAAAGCCACAGACAAATCAAAATTATGATAATTATCATCATCAGCCTATTAATGTACAGTAATATTGTATCTATCTAATGCCGCTTCCTATATACTAAATATAATGTTAACTATAAAATTTATTGTAACTATATATTTATATTTTAAATGATGTAATGGAAGGTGACTGAAGTCATTTTTCAACTTGACGGCTCTGTATATAAAAATACAGGGAGAAAAAACAGCCCTTGCTGAGTTCTTGCCGGTTCTTCTCAGTACAAGGTCTCCCGCCGTAGTTTTGCTAACCAATGGCGTAGCTTCTTGACCTTCACAAGTGCTTGTAACAGCCTAGACTGAATAAATGACTTTTCATTTCATTTCAATGTCCCCACTGCTGGGGCACAGGCCTTCCCTGTGGATGGAATAGGGAGATTGGGCCATGACCCACCACGCGGGCTCAGTGCGGATTGGCAGGTGCTAACGACGGCAGATGCAGCCGGGACCAACGGCTTAACGTGCCTTCCGAAGCACGGAGGAACTCGAGATAGAAGATTTTTAGTTACCCAACCAATGGCCGACCACTGCGAAAGTTGCATAACTTCAACGATCACGGCCGAACGCGCTAACCAAACGCACCATCGAGCTTCTCAGCAAATTATGATAATCAGTATTTCTATTTCCCTCAAATAAGTCATAGTTTTTCTATTATCTTACCACAGATATCACTTGTTTAGCAAAGGGGGTAGGGTGGCAACGATATTTCAACCTATTTTACCACCCAACTCGGGGAGTAAATTCGATTTAAATATTACGGAGCATCCGCATGTCGCATTTTAGTAAAGACCCGTTTTATTAGACATCATAAACCTTTAGTTCTTTTAATTCTATAGGCAAAAAGATGTGTCCTTGTTGGGAAAAGATAGTGACGGAAGTCGACCCGGAGACAAAAGCCCTCAAACAAAAGCTTCTCAAGACGAAAATTCCCAGTGACGCCACCACCGAGGGAAAACCATTGGTCGTGCGAGATTTTATTGTTTGTTAGTATTCCATCAATATCTAAAGCTGCGTACGGTAAGCGCGTTCAAATACGACGTCTAATATGATTTCGTATTGTACTCGTACATAACAAAAAGCGCGCGTTTAATATATGAATATTTCTAAGGCATGATATCCTACAATCTCAACAGGGTATATTTTAATTATAACTAGGTATATATTTAAACTTAAAATCAGTTTCTACAATACAATACAACACAGAACTCTTTATTTCACACCACAGAAAACATAAAATATGAAGTACATAATTAAAGAATACAGTGTAATAATGGGCGGCCTTATCGCTAAGAGCGATCTCTTCCAGACAACCTTAGGATGGAGAGGACAAGAAAGAAGCTGGAGAGACGCCGGTGCAATTAACTACACAAAACAACATAAAAATCAATCAAACTAATATAAACAAAATAAGTATATAAAACAATACATACATATATAAATACATACAGTGGCGGCGCTAGGCGTCGGCGACGTCGGTCATCGCCGACGGCCTCGCGCCTGAGGGGGCCTCGCAAAAATTTTTTACTAGTTACCTATTTATTTTCGTTTCTCCTGACCTGGCTTAGGTAGCCGACGCCGAACAATTCGGGCAAAAAGCTAAGCAGATGATTATGACTTTTATTATTTTCGAACACGTGCGTGATGGAAGCGAGTAGTACTTTACGGGTATTCAGAATCGTCTGTCTGGTAACACTATTTTTTGTTATTAAATTTCTATGTTTGTAATTATTTTTTGTCATCATTTGACTATCAACATTAAAACTCGTTTACTCATACGTTATTTTATAATTTGGCTCACTTAATTTAACGGTTTTTTACTGCGAAGTAAAATAGGCCTCGCGAACTTGATGTCGCCGACGTCCACATGTGGTCTAGCGCCGCCACTGGATACATGCGTAAGTCTTATTCAGTCAGCTAAGATCAACAAAAATGGAAGGATTACAAGGACATATAGTGAGATTTAACAAGGTTTTTATTTAATATCTATTTACCCAAGAATTTCACTTGACAAATATTATAGCAATATATCTCTCTCTGCTCCAGTATATGGTGCTATCAAAGCTTTATATATATGTTAAGCGACTCCATCGACCTAGTTAGTTTCATATTATAGCATAATCATTAATAAGTAAGTTGTACAAGAAGGTACATGTATCTATTTAGAAAAGCCCTCCTTAAGCAAAATGTCGCAACTTCGAGTATGTTGGCTGGCTAGCTGTATCTCGTTTCTCGTATGAACTTACCGAGTGTGAGGCATTTTCATTTACCGCTTTTGTAAAAAGAAATTGAGTAATATTAAAGTGAGGAATTTTGAAAATAATTTTAATGGAAATTACAGGTACACACAAACAAGGAGTGGGATTTGTCGACTATGCGGTAGAAAAGTTTCACCCCATCATTGAGAACAAACCATCGCATGCCCTCTCGCTCTCGGTGCACCCTGAAAAGTAAGAAATCTCATTGGCTCAAAAACTATTTACAGTTTTAAATAATACACCTACTCTTTGTTTCTATGTCGATTTGAACGTAAAAGACACTTTATATTTATTTTTGTAGCTATTATATAGTATGTAATTAAATCTATGAGCCACATGCACATTCATGTAAATAAAGTAGGTGGGAAATATGAGATAACTTTAAAAATCCATTTGAATATTAAGTACACTTATCCGTTGCCAGAAATCCGGAACAGAGCTGCAACTAATTTCCTCTTAAGGTGCTATTCCGATAATTGGCTGTATGCTGCTTAATTTTTATTCGATATGATTGAAAATACTAATCGAATATATGTGTTAATACTTTAATTTAACGGTTGATAAATACATATATTCAATAACACTACTGCAGATGCAGCTTCAGTCTAATTTGGAATGTATATATTTCATAGAAATTCATATAAACCAGTCGTGCATCGGCAGTCTGCAACGAAGATCGGAATAGCACCTTTATCATATAGCCCTATCGTATATAGCACACGGCATTGATATGTGTGGAGTCCTTGAGGTGTAACAAGCTTAACTAGGACTGGCGACAGTCGGGACTAATTTTAAACAAGACCTCCTTGATTACAAAGCTAGTAGTCACAACTGGGAATAGACGCTTCGTCCAGGCCTTTTGTATGCATCGGGTACGCCAACGGCACGGTGGAGCTGTTCAACTTCCTGCAGCACAAGGTGTTCATGCGGCTGGAGCTGCGCGAGCGGTACAAGGTGGTGGTGCCGCCCAGGGACGACTCCATCAAGGGCGACTGCGAGGTCACCACGCCCGACCTCTCCGTCACCTGCCTCCAATATTCACCTTCAGGTAGTACCTCTATGGTAATTTATTGCACTCATGTGGTTACATAGATGGTTACAAAATGCTTATAGTACCTAGCAGGAACCCTGTCAGGGTATCGCAATATACAGTCTTAAAGATAAAAATTACAAAAGATTTTAATTAATAAACAATTATGTATATGAGGAGCCTAATTTGTATTAAACCACTTAATATCACAAATCATGCATAAATGTCATCTGATTCCATTAGTTTAACAATATAACTTACTCAATTGATATTATTTACAGTAGAAATATAATAGAAATGGAAATTTATTTATAAAATTAAATTAAATTTGTCAGTAATTAAAATTAATAAATATGTCAATAAAAATCACCAGTTCAGTGAAGCCGTCGGTATAACAGACATTTAATGGCTCTTGTATTATTTTTAAGTGGTATAGCAGAGTATTATAACGCTCTACAAGATGTAGTCGGGATAGTAGCCGGGATAGTAGCCGCACAAGCGGTATCCAATAATCGTTTAAGAGCTACAAATGTGTGTGTGTGTAAGTTCACATGAACAGGCATTTGATCTAAAATAAAAAATCTAAATCCATTATAACTTTATTAATTAGGTGACCTATGTGCCCAATTTGAAGGTACAAAAGCTCTTTAGCCGGTTATGCAAATACTTTATAGCTTTTTATATAACTGAAGCCGTCGCCAGTTTCTATTAAACGGCTGTCATATCGCTGCCTTATACTCGTACAGCCAGTGTGCTAGTTGGGTGATTTATTTGTAGCGCTGCTCTTTTCTCTAACTTTTTTTGGCCTGGGAGCGAAAGAAAAGCAACTGTCCGTGATGCTCGAAGTCCAGCAACTGCTATTCCTGTGTATCATAATTAAGCTGGGAGCGTAAGCGTCAGAAAAATAATGATCCAGCAGAGCAGCTGCTATTATTCCCGTGTGATGAAAGAATAAAAGCCTCTTTTCTTTCATATTAGCCGGGGAGTATTAGATAAGGATGATATAGCAGTTGCTATTCACGTTTATTTAAATAGTTAAAGCTTCAGGGCATGCATTGTTTTTTAAATAGTTAAAGCTTCAGGGCATCACCGTCGCCCATGGACACTAGCAACACCAGGAGTATCACAAATGCGATGCCGGCCTTTAAGGAAGGAGTACGCTCATTTTTTGAAGGTTTTTGGGTTTATTTTTTTTTATTTGCGGTTGTTGTAGCTATCTCACGGTTCCCAACTTAGGGGTTTTGCCCCCAGATTTAGGGGCTAGAAGTGTTAAAACGGACTTTTTTAGGGGCTGGAATTTGTTAGGGGTTCTTTTAGGGGCTTTTTTCAAAACTTGCAATTAAATCGAAAAACACAGCGTGTTTTCTTTCGTTTTTGTGCGTAGAATGGAACGCACAACGATATGAAACGACTGAACTGACTGTGTGGCGGGTTGTTTCGAAGGCTGTATGGACTAAAGTTAAAAAATAGCTAAATAAGATTAAACAGTCTGTCAGCTCATTTTCGTTTGATTGTCCTTTCGGAAACTATTTATTCAATAAAGTAATTTACTGTAACTAAATATGTAACGTTTTAATTTATGAGCAACGAAATAATTTGGGTAATAAGTAGGTACTTAAAAAATGTATATTTAGGGGAATTTAGGGGAATTTAAAAAATACTTAGGGGAAAATTTTGGTGAGGGTTGGTAACTGAGCTATCTAGCGATTAGCGACTGAGCTGGATCCATTGAGGTGGGGTAATTTGCTGCGCCATGTTTTAAAACAAAACGTTCGAATCGTAAAATAAAAAGTGTAGTAAAGTTCTATCGACAAAGTTCTACGTAAATTTTATTTGTGTCACCTCTAGCTTTTAATCAATCAAGATTAAATTCTGTGGCGTCACCAGAAACACGTTAGTCAGTTTCAGTAAATAGTTGTTGTTCTTGGTTAAATTGTTCTTGGATTCGTTAGGCTTACACCTGGCATGCGGGCTGAACTCTGGCGAGCTGATATTCCTCGACCCCACCACCATAGCGATCCTCAACGAAACACCGTACCGTGACTCCTCGTACGAAATTAAACTCATCGATTTCAGCTACGATTCGCTCACCATGGCATACTCCGTGAGTTGTCTCTCAGTTTTAGAAAATAATAATTTGGAATTTTTAATTGAAACACTAATTAATAACAATGATTTGATTCGGTTGACAAACATCTTTTAATTATTGTAACTTTTTGATAAATGAAATAATTTCCCTATCTAAATATGCATGAGATCTGTTTAGGGCGCTTTCAAACCGTCCTGTTGTCGAGCGTTCGCGGTACCGGCGCCGCACTGTTGCCGCACCGCGCATTTTGTGTGAAAAAAAAAGGATCTTCCGTACGCTGTACGACAAACGCACCGCTTCGGCACCGCAGCAGGCCGTCAAGAAACGCATAAATTGAAAGCGCCCTTTAAAGTATCAGCAAAAGGGGTCTTAATAATAATCTATCGTGCCAAAGAATTGGTCAGGTTATTTGATTTTGAATAAAACATTCACCAAGAGATATGTCTTACTTTTAACTGAAATTTAGCATCAAAATTACCAACAATTGTTTTAATAGGATGCAGGTCGAACGGTCTGCGTGTACAAATACGAGTGCGATTCGCTGAGATGGCAGTTTGTGGGCAAACACCGTGCGCACTACAAGGACATCACGGCGCTGTTGTTCCTGCCTCAGAAGAACCCCGACGGAGAGTACAAGCTACTGTCGCTGGGCGCCGACCGGATCATGGTGCAGATTATATAGTTTACTTGTGGTTATGGAAAAACAAATGACGATAATATGATAAAATGTTACACGCACGCCGACGTATGAGAAGATGACGCGGTAGTTAATACTCGTAGTCTGCAGATCATGGGATGGGAAACTGAATATTTCAACATTGTGGGTTACCTACAATGCGAAGAGATGGCGCTGCCTTGCAGCTTAAGGCTAGGAAAATTTCGACGCGGCCATCAGGGCCGTGGTAGCATAATTGGTCGCAGTGCATTCGCCCGGATTGCGAAGGGTGCGGGTTCGAGTCCCGTCCGCTGCCTGGTCCGCGTGGATTTTTTTCTAGTAAAACTTTTCTTTAGATTTAAACATCTAGCAGTTAAAAAACATAACTGAATATTTACCACCTCGTGTTTTGGTAGGTACGTTAAACCTTTGGTCCCTTCTCTGCTGCATCAACAATGGTTAGGAACCATCAATTCCCATTGAGTCTGCGTGATGGAGACCCTGACTCAGTCTCCTTAATTCATCCATGAAGCCTATGCTATACCCAGCAATAGAGGACATTAACAGTCTGGTGGTGACGCAACTAATCACCGCCCCACCTTACAGAAAACGGCAGTCAAATAAGAGCAGGTTTTTAAATAATTTGGCGATAACTGTTGTCATCTCCCCATTTGTCCCAGTAAGGCGAATGCGTTTTCGCGTGCTTTAACTGCTTGGGGTACGCACAAGCAGTATTCATGCGGGCTATTTAAACTTTACGGCTCTAGAGATAGGTCTTTAAGCCAAGTTAATCTATGGTTAAACTTCTCAATACAAAAGTAGGATCTAACTATCACAAATAACGGCTTATAGTCCCGTAGGCAGCGCGCCCCGATGGGGGCGTGCGGTGTTTGACCGTGCGATGTATTTTTCGAGCTCGCCCCGAAGACTGAGGAGAAGACGGAGAGGGAAAGAGACTTTAAAACTTCCTTTTTGAGAGCACTAACTTCCTAAATAGGTGGAGTACGATATCGGTAGAAGCGCCGATGATTACCTGGAGGTGGCGAGCTTGGACCGCGTGGAGCAGACCGCAGTCCCGCTCACTGCCATAGCGTGGCTGCCACCCTCGCACTCTTTAGACCCCGACACGCACCATACGAATCTACCAACAATACTCATTGCCAACGACGAGGTAACCGTTTATTATTTTAGTTTTAAAATATTAACACTTATGTTTTTATTTTTTAAGCATTTAACTGCTAGATGTTTAAATCCAAAGAAAAGTTTACTAGAAAAAAATCCACGCGCACCAATGATCAGTGCATTCGCCCGGATAGCGAAGGGTGCGGGTTCGAGTCCTGTCTGCTGCCTGTTCCGCGTGAATTTTTTTCTAGTAAACTTTTCTTTAGATTTAAACATGTAGCAGTTAAAAGCTTACAAAATAAAAATATAACTATAATTGCTATTTCTTCTTTCAAATGTTTAAAACCTGTAATGGGATTTCATTTGACATTGTGGGTTACCTGCAATGCGAAGAGATGGTGCTGCCTTGCAGCCTAAGGCCAGAGAAATTTCGACGCGGCTGTCAGGGCAGCGGTAGCATAATGGTCAGTGCATTCGCCCGGATAGCAAAGGGTGCGGGTTCGAGTCCCGTCTGCTGCCTGGTCCGCTTGGTTTTTTTTCTAGTAAACTTTTCTTTATATTAACACTTTTCAGTAATGGAAACCTGTTTACAATGTTTTTCTCCATTACGAAAGTTGTCTATTAACTGTTATCTCTTGCAACTTTTTTAATTATTTTGAGCACTTTCGTGTTTAGGAAGGTACGTTGAGCCATTGGTCCTGACTGTTAAGCTGCAGGATTTGTTTTGTACCCTACTCAAATATCACTTGACCCGCGTTGTGGTGGGACATCATTACCCATTGTCCCTATTAATTCCATCAATAAGGAAGACCTATGCTCCAGAAAAAATTACCTTGATGATGAAATCAGTATAGTAGCGTCCGAGTTAACGCGTTTGCTCATAATAACAGCACAAGTACAAATTGATGAATTACGAGACGACCATGACCGTAGCGACAGTGCTGGGCCCCCGCTATGAGTACCCGGTGTGTTGGCTGAAGCTGGTGCGTGCACCGGGCGAGGGGGAAGGCGGACAATACCTGGTCTTCGCCACCAATAACGTGATAGGGCTGCAGAAACTGCCCCTCGACGGGAACCCGTGGAAACATGTCGGACTCATCGGACATCCACTGCAGGTAACGGTAGATGCAAGGGCGTCGCCAGCCTATGGACTGGGCAGGAATGGGAAGGGGCATTATAGGACAATTTCCATTTACCACTGGTGGCAGAAATGTGTTTTAAAATAAGCTTCTTATATCTGTGTTTCTGACTCTCGTGGGAATTTAGTGCAGTGGTTTCCCGTTGCCTTCTGCAACAGGACTTTTAGGGGATATTTGGGCCCCAAGGTTTCTGACGCCTCTTCCGTACAGGTTGCCCCGCCGGGAAAGCCTTCAAGAAGAAGAACGCTTCTGGTTACTGTACATTTATAGATATCAATGAAGGGTGTAAAAGTATAAAATCTGGGAAGATGAAGCTTCACACTTGTAGTGCTCTCGCTCAGTTGGGATCACATTCGCTTGTAGTTTGCAGAGCGCAGAAATATTTTTATAATGAAACTTTTTATGCACCCAAGGGCCCCGGGTTCGATCCCCAGCCGAGCAAGAACTTTGTTTTTCATTTTGTATAAATTACTAAGTGTCGGTAGCAAAATTCCGCACGCGCATTTATGGTAGGTAAAATTTTCATTTAAATGTCTAATATGGCCCGAAAAACATGTAAAGGTTAGTAAAAAAAGGTTATTACTTGCATCAAGGTTTTATTAAACCTCAGCAATTTTTATGTTCTCTTTTAGGTTAGGATTTGTTTTTGTGTGTGTTTCGGTGGTTTAACTTAATGAGTCATAGCAAAGGAGTTGGTAAAACTAAACTAAAAACTAAACTACTAAACTACGACACTCAGCCCAAGGTTGCTTATAATTTTGCCAGGGAAAGAATTGAATATTAAAGGAAAGAGAGAAAAACAAAAAAAGAGCGTAGGTGGATGCACGGTTGAAAGAGAAGAAAAAAATACACTACCCCACCTGATGTTAAGTGGTGATAAAGTCCAAACGCGAAAACAGCAGTTATAAACTGCCATACCAACCATCCTAACCTTGCCGGTCTGCAAAATTGCTTCTTCACGCCTCTCTTAAAGGACCTCAGATTGTAGGAAGGAGGAAACACGTGCGCTGGCAAAGAATTCCACTTGCGAATAGTACGACAAACAATTAGTCACCAAATTTTTTTTTGTTCGTATAAGAATAGTGGCCACAGTAAGTCGGTGGCAACGTAGGCCATCGCGCGTGGTCCTCTGAAGAAAAGGTGATGGAGGGATACGGGAGAATAACTCCTCAGAATACTCGCCGTGGTATAGTCAGGAGAATGCGCTCAATGATACCACATCGCCGCACAATTACAGAGACTCGAGTTCGTTAGTTACCTCTTCATCGCCAATGATGCGGGCAGTGCGCCGCAGCAACCTAGCCAAGGCATTGAGTAAGTACTTAGCGGAGCCATCCCAGAGGTGCGCGTAACATTCCACGCAGGGCCGCACTTGCGTTTCGTTCAACAAGTAAAGTTGATCAGACATGAAAGCGCCGCAGCTTGTTCAAGACTCCGAGTTTGCGTGAAGCTGTTTTGATCATGGTTTCGATGTAGTGCTTTGGATTCAGGTCTGAGCGAACTTCCATACCGAGCATGGTAATGTTGCTCTGTAGCGCCAGTGTTGTGCCCTGAAGAGAGGGAAGGGGAAGGAATGGCGATGTTTTTTGCCGTGAAAGCACAAACCTGGGTTTTCTTGGCATTGAACTCAACCAAGTTCCTGGTATCCCATTCGAAACTGTGGTCCAGAGTCTTAATACTAAGTGCGTTTTAGCGGATAGTATGCTGTAAGCGCTCGTAAGCCGCGCGGACTGATTAAAGGCTTTTCCGTTTCGCACCCGTGAAATTTGCGAGAGGCTAAGTGTAAGGTCCGTTCGTTGGTGTGTTCGTGGGTCTGTAAATAGAAGTTTTGCTTGTAATAAAATAATGATGAAATAACGCTTCACAAATATGATATTCGACCTATTATTGATCGATAATGTTTTGGTTAGATTATCGGTATGAGTTTCCGGGAGGACAGAAGCACACTTTTCACCATCGGAGCGAAGGACAGCTGCATGTGCCAGTGGGCCGCCAACTACAGGTAGACTACCTATATATTTTGGTCATTGATTTATTGATTGCCTGATTGATAGTTAACTCACCAGGAACCGTATATTTTTTGGAGATAATAATTTTAATTGATATCTCGCACACAGATAAACGTAACTAACAAAAATTACTTTAGTACTTTATTTGTTAATGTTTTTTTAAGTGAAAACTTCTTTAGTGTCGTTGTGACTTGAGATTCGGAAAACGGAGAAACGGTAGAAAACAAGTAGAATATAAACTCGCGCGTGAATTGCGTCATTGTACCCCTAGCACGAACCAATATCCAATTCGTATCGTTTGCGTGTCCGAAATGTCATTGTTAAATCTGTACTGATTTTTAGCTCTCGTTAAGTACTTTGTGCCGCTGCTTCAAGTTTTCATACAAAATTTGACATTGACATTTCGGTTTGCAAACTATTCGAATTCGATGTTTCGTGCTAGGGGTACTGAACTACTTCCGGGGGCGTCCCAGTGAAGTGGCGCTCACTAAGGTGCGCCGATCCTGAGACGCCCCCATATAGGCGTAGGAGGGTACCGGTAGTTTTTAGTGGGTAGGACCGGCGTTGTTCCGCGCCGGGGAGTCCCACACACGCCGCGCGCCCAGCCAGCGCGCGGTACGGTGCGTAAATGCATTTTCCATCGTCAACAAAAAAAAACAGAGTACTGAACTACTGGTAATCTGGTAGGTACCTGTTGGAATTTAAATAACAAGAGACATCTAGAGAGCTGAAAATTAAATAAACTTTGTATGGACTCTCATAAAATTTAGTATCCTATGCTAGGTACCTAGTCCTTTTGCATAAGCAGAACATTCATTATTTTTAACAACAAAAACAGTTTTCAAGTATGCCGAAAACGAATGCAGAATATTGTAGTGATAATCGAAGAAGAAACAATACTGCCGTCCTTAAGCTAAAACGCGGCTAAATGACAAAACCATGTTTTGAGATATGGCCGAAAAACGGCGCATTAACTTTAAATCATTTCTATTTTGTAACCATTCATCACGTGACGGTTCTTTAGACTTAACCTATAAAAGATATGAATACTTATTGAAGACAGATCGATAGAGAATTAAATACTGTATAAGATGCAATTTGATACTGAAAAATCGACCACATGTTTTTTTTTTTTTTTTGTTTCCTCCCAGGCTGGGGAGCGGGTGAGAAATCCTCATGGATACCCTGCAGCCGGCTGCAGGGTTATGTCAGACTTTTACTGACTAAAAAACACCCGTTGGGACTGCCTCTGGCCGGGAAGGCCTTTAAGGCTTCATCGGATGCGATCGTCCCCTGAGAAGGGGACGATGCAGCTACCACATGTCACTAGCCGCACTTTAGTCTGAGGACGGCAGAATAATAATTATTATCATTATTATACATTATTTTATGTTCCTGCTTTTTTACGATTAATTGTGTATAAGTCTAAGAGGAGCTCGTAGGCGCAAGTGGTTAGCGCGTTCGGCTGCGATAGTTGAACTTAAGCAACTTTCGCAGTGGTCGGTCATTGGATGTGTGACCAAAAATTACTATCTCGAGCTCCTCCGTGCTTCGGAAGGCACGTTAAGCCTCTGGTCCCGGCTGCATCTGCAGTCGTTAGCACCCACCAATCCGCACTGGGCCCGCGTGGTGGGTCATGGCCCAATCTCCCTATTCCATCCATAGGGAAGGCCTGTGCCCCAGCAGTGGGGACATTAATAGGCTGATGATGATGATGATGTGTATAAGTAAGGAAGGTTAGTAATACTTAGTTATCTATGATATTAGTGCGGTAAATTGGTTATTACAAACGAGCAGACGAATGTAAGCCCGAGACGAAGTCGAGGGTTTACCTTATTCACGAGTTTGTAATACCATACCGCACGAATGTCATACAACGTTTTTCAACACTATAGATATTAACGGGATTGTTACCATGTACCTTGTTTTTTATGAGTCTCCGATATTTCGGCACTGTTTCAAGATAATGTTAGTGACTATGAAAGTTTAAAACAATATATCGTTTTTCAACACATTTTCGTGAAAATAGTATAAAATATTAGTATAAAATAAACTAGTATTCATATATTTTTAACTAACGCAGCAAACTTTTGTAAGACGAAAATGACGAAAAAAGAGGAAACGCATTTCCTCATGGAGCCACTTGCTAGTGGTAAAAAATTAGAACTACATCTTTCGGCTCTTTTTTAGTATTAAAGTGAGCCAAACGTATAGATCAAAAGCGATTCCAAGGAGGTTCGATAGAAATAAAAATAAAACCGTTTAGGATACGCACGGTGCCATATACCGAGGCGTTCGGTAAAATTTTACCGAACGCTCTGTTGTGTGCTGCATCATTTTGAACTTTCGAACAATGTATACAACCTCCGTAAATGCATTTTTTAAGCTAATGTGTTGAAAATATCATTTTCTTTCTTTCTAATGATGTAAGTATGTATAGATGTACGGACCCGTGTGCGAGTCCGAATCACACTTGGCTGGTTTTTGTAGGTTTCACTTTTACCTCCATCGCATGTGAACAGCACATTTCCGTTATTTTTCTATTTTTTCTTTGTTTTTGCCCGTTTTTCTTCACATTCGTATCGGGTATTAAAATAAATAAATAATACCCACACTCACACCAATTAGCCTTGCCACAAAGTGAGCACTGTAATTCTTGTGTTATGGGATACTAGAGTAACGGATAGAATACATATATAAGTATATTTATATAGAAATACATATTAAACATCCATTTACACTGACTGACTGGCGTACAAATGCTCGTATTCATCACACAAACATCTGCCCCACCGAGATTCGAACCCGGGACCTCTCGCGTCGGCGACACCATGAAACCCGGCGTACAAACCACTCGGCCACGGAGGTCGTCAGAAAGTATTAAAATTTATTGACGATTCAAAAAATTGAATTTCATAATGTTGATTGAATGTTGTGTACCTACGGCTTATAAAGGGTGTGGGCAATATGTTTGGTACCTATTTCCTAACGAAGCTTGATTTTCCACCCTCGTACCTAGTTAAATAAAAGAAATGATAAGCTATTCCATCTCTCGAACTTTCATAGATCAGTAGAAATGACTACAAAGCGAGGAGGAGTCGACTTGGATCCCTACTACTGTCTGATCGAAAACGGACGCCCTGGCTGGCTGTTCCAAGAGATCCGGGACCTGTTCTACTATATCCAGATCCTGTGTCAAGGCACTTTCTCGCCGGCGATGCGGCGCGTCAAAGACTTCATTCCAGTCGACTCGCTGCCAGATCTAATGAGGGTTTTGGGGTTTTTTCCTACTGAATACGAGGTAAATAAATAAATATTTCCAACACTCACACCAATTAGCCTAGCCCCAAAGTAAGCACTGTAAGGCTTGTGTTATGGGATACTAGGGTAACGGATAGAATACATATACTGTACATATATAAGTATATTTATATAGAAAATACATATTAAACATCCACGACTGGAGTACAAATGCTCGTATTCATCACACAAACATCTGCCCCCACCGGGATTCGACCCGGGACCTCTCGAGTCGGCGACACCATGAAACCCGGCGTACAAACCACTCGGCCACGGAGGTCGTCGGAGATAATGTGTAAGGTAGGAAAACAATATAAATCCCATTATACAAGTGCAGTTTGCACTAAGTTAGGTTTAAGTCCAACTCAATACGACCCAAAAACCTTCAAAAAAAGAGCGTACTCCTTCCTTAAAGGCCGGCATCGCATTTGTGATACTCCTGGTGTTGCAAGTGTCCATGGGCGACGGTGATCACTTACCATCAGGTGAGCCGTCTGCTCGTATGCCCCCTATAACATAAAAAAATCGCGCTGGTCCGGTTTTTATCTTGATAAGAAGATGATAGATATAAGTGAGGATGGCCGATGCGGCAGGTAAAACTACTAAAAGTGCCACCGCCAATTATCATCGGGTGGGGACGTAGGGTGGAATCATTGTCTCAAGGCTCGGACCTTCATATAAAAAATATAGGTAAGGTAGATATAAGGATATCGAGGAGCTCGGTGACTGCGATCGTTGAAGTTAAGCAACTTTCGCAGTGGTCGGACATTGGATGGGTGACCAAAAATCTCCAATCTCGAGTTCCTCCGTACTTCGGAAGGCACGTTAATTGCCCCGGCTGCATTTTCAGTCGTTAGCACCCGCCATGTGCCCGTGGTGGGTCATGGCCCAATCTCCCTATTCCATCCATAGTTAAGGCCTGTGCCCCAGCAGTGGGGACATTAATAGGTTGATGATGATGAAGGTAGTGAATGCAGATCAAAAGTGAAACAAATCTAAATTGATGAAAATAATGCACTGCTTTTCCTTATCAGACATTTTGCGGAAGGAAACAGTATATACAAACAATTTTTATCTTCAGGGCTTCAGTGAAAAATTAGTGCTTTAAATTAAATCTTTATTAATATGCCTTTTGCCTTCCACCCGGCTATGCTTACAACTGATAAAAGGCAAAGTGCCATAGAGTGTGTATACATAATACATGTACGCTATCTAACGACCTTGTTGCTATATTGTATATACAGGGTGTCCCAAAAAGTAGTGTATATACAGGGTACATCCTGTATATGTATCCCCCTCTCGGGGGTTGATCGCTTCAGATGAAGCTTGTAAGGCCCTTCTGGCCATAAGCATGAATAAAGGATGTTTTTTAGTCAGTAAGAGTCTGACATAACCTTACAGCCGGCTGTAGGGTATCCATGAGGATTTCTCACCCTCTCCCCCGCCTGGGAGGAAACAAAAAAAATATATATATATACATATATATATTTAACATACACCAATTAGTTTAGCCCCAAAGTAAGCACTGTTAGGCTTGTATTATGAGATACTGGGGTACAATGCATTCATACAAACAATCGCCTCGCCGCCGCCGGGACTCGAACCCGGACCTCTGAGTAAGCGACACCTTGAAACCCGGCGTATATACCACTCGGCTACGCAGCACGTCGTCAATATTACAGTACAATACAAAACACTTTATTGCACACCACAGAAAACATTACAATAAATACAGAGCCATTTAAATCAAGTGTTACAATGGGCGGCCTTATCGCTAAAAGCGATCTCTTCCAGACAACCATTGTATGGAGAGGATTAGAAGGAAGTGGGAGAGACGGTGGCGTAAATTTCAATGTAATTTATTTATATATACATATACATATAAAAACAAATACACTTATATTGTAGGACACAATATTGTAGGAAAAGAAAAGCTATTACGATTAAAATTTATTAAGTGTTAAAAGAAATAATAGGTATTTAAATAAATGAGAAGTGCCTTAAAGCAAATTAAGATTGGTTTCGGATGGTACTCATGCTATGACAATAAAAATCTATAATCATGGACCTAATAATATAAAGAACATAGAAATATCTGCCAAATTCAACAATCAATTAAAATCATATTTAATCCAAAAATGTTTTTATAATTTAAAATATTTTTTTGACCACAAATGTAATTAATTTTTAAAGTTGACATTTTCATTATTATTATTGCTTATTGACATTGTTAAATATATTTCATAAATTTTAAAAAATTTAATTATTTTTAATTATTGTTGTTTATAGACAATGGTGTCGATTCTAGCATGATTCTGTAAACCTAAACTTGAATTTGACAGCAGTATATCCTTGTCGTTCTCTATACAGAATGAAAAGGAGAGACTGAATGTTAAGAGAATCATGCTAGAATCGACACCATTGTCAAATCTATTTTATAAAATTTAATCGTTGTGTAAAAATGAAATGTGAGCAAAGTATTATAATATAGTTATTTAACAAGCCCTCTGGTTTGATATTTGCTATGCCCTTGCAGGGCGTCACATATTTACCCTGCATAATATTTAATGTACCATCATGAATGTAATGTGACATGCAATAAATAAATAAATAAATTCCAGGTAGAGAATCTCTTAACTGAGGCTAAATACAAAGTGTACCAGAAGCAGCCTTCATCGGAGGTGGATTTCGAGGAGTTCGTGAAGTTGTATCTGAACCATCGGCCGGCGTTCGGCGACAGTTATGCGCGCATACGCAGCGCTTTCCACCACTTTGCTCTGGAACGGGAGAACCATGTGATGACGCGCGACGAATTCATCGACGTTCTATCCAATTATGGTTATTTACTAATCCAAAACATCATTGCCTGTCTTATCGCCAATTTTCTTTCGGTTCATTGTAATACATTTATTTGTTTTACTTTTAGAGCCTGTGCGGAAAGAGAATGGGCGTGGCGAATAACGGAACTAACATTAGGATTTTTATTTGGCAATCAAACCCAGCAATCTGTAAAAGTCAAAGTTTTGTATTGATACATTTGTTTGTTGTTGTTAATTCTTGCGGTTTTTTGTATTTAATCATGTCTAAAAGGGGTAAAACCTTACAAACACGGTAGAAAAGCACTACAGCGCCCTCCAATCTAAATCCCATTCTCTTTCCGCACAGACTCATTATGATTTCCATAGATACCGATCACGCCATTTCATCATTGAAAACTTTCTTTGTCATATCATCCAGAGAACACAGAAACAGAACATCGTTTCACACAGTTTACCTTTCCATCCATCTATTCTTTGATCTTCGTCTTCGATTGTATCTTCATTATCACCACTTCCTTCATTACACGGTCATGGATAATAATCTAACAACCCAAAATAACGGCCGCATTTTAATCTACAGCCGGACCTTGGTCGGACCTCGATAATTCTGCAGTAGAGATCAAGTTTTTCTGGTGTGACCAGATTGTTGACTCTGCAAAGTTATCGTGGTTCGACTTTATTAACTTTAATAGCTTTAGCTTGATTAAATCGAAAGAAAATTTTACTGCAAAAAATTCTACGCGCAGATTTCTCAGTTTTTTCTAGTAAAATATCCTTTAGATTCAAACAGTAGCAAGTTGTTAAAAAAGAAAAATATAACTATTAAACCTTATTTTACGATAACATTAGAAAAAGCACCGGGTGCCTTGACGAAAGGTTATTTATGACTCTAGTACCTACTATAGCTATTTCTGTAGATCTTTGAATGTTACGGGACTTAGATAATATAATTTATACTTGTGTGGTGCTTTACAAAATAATTTCTTTTTGTAGGCGAATGTTTCTCTCAATCCTTGTCGTGGTATCTGCTGTCTATACTGTCGGGGCACAGCTTTGAGGACAGAGCCTCTATGACTGAGGGCGATTTTTCTTTTCTTCCTGAGGTTAAGTATATTTTTTTTAAATTGAAACTATCGTATTTGTTGTTGATCAAGCGTAATGTGACGTAGATATAGACAGAAACACATCATGCCATTAAATTGTCGCAATAGATTATGAATCTTATTTGTAACGCCAGCCTCCGTAGCATGAGCACTACAATTTACATTATATCACGTTTTATATCGCGTCTAACTGTCAAACTCCATAGTAATTGAACGTGATAAAAACGCGTTATATATCATATCGCTGTGGTCATGCTAAGGGGGCTGGGTCGGATTTGAGGTAGGGCGTCGCGGAAGTATCCGTAAGGGTTCCCGTGGCTTTATCCAGTGCCTTGGCCTCGCCGGGCGGGGTAGAACCTGATGGTGGATCTTCTGCCCGACGAGATCGCGGCCCTACGTTGGGGTGAGGGGCATCGTCAGGTTTTTAGTGGGTAAGGCCCCCTCCTCTCGAGCGAGAGGAGAGGCGAGGAGTCCCACATAACTTCGCCGCACTCCCAGGGCGGTGGGGTATTGACGCGGAAGAATCCCTAAACGGGGATCCCGCGGCTTCGCGCTAAGCAGCTTAAAGGGTGTTCGCAGGGTTTTTTACCGGATATTATGCCGTAAAGCGCCCGTAAGGGTTACGGGGTCCTCAGTGGGCAGCCACTGCTGAGGCTCGTAAGGCTTGCGGGAGCCAGGTGTGAGGTCCGTTCGGCGGTGTGCCTCTTAAAAGCGCCGTCGTCTGTAAATAGTATTTTTTGCCTGCGTATAAAAAAAAGGGCGGTGGGGTATGCGTCAAGCATTTTCCTGACGTAAAAAAAGGATCGGATTTAAGGCAATGCAGGCGGGGAAAAAAATCAACGAGTCACCACCCAGGGGGAGGGAATGCAAATCGTAAATGGCCCGGGGTGGCAGATTTTAAATTATTAGGGGTCCTCACTCCTTCGTTGCTTTAGGGCCTCCACACCTCGAAATCCGGCCCTGTATTAAGTGATCTCAAAGTCAGTGGGAGAAATTAGTTAATTTTGGATTACGACATGTGGCTCTACTACTTAAACAATCATAATAATTATTACTAATAATCGGAAGCAGTGGATGACGCCATGTTCGCTAGGTATTCTTACTCTCACAGTTAGCTGTGAACTGCAAAAATGACCTGTCTCTTCTCTGTCCAAGGAAGAGTCCAAGCGATTAACCCCTGAGGAGGAGTTGTCGCAAAAACATATTTAATAATAGGTAAACCTATAAATACCAGTTTATAGAGGCCTCTGATAAACTTCAATTTTAAAGAGAAAGCGTATTTGTCACGATACGCCACAACACGTTAATATGTTTCTGGCATGGACTTATAAATGGTTTCTGGCTTAAATGCACTACCTCTCGTAAAATTTTGGAGTTTGCCGGAGACTCGCTACCTCCCTCCATGCTTTGAACCGTCTCCTTTCTTATAATCTGCCGCGATCAAAATAAAATGGAACTTGTCAATGTAAATCGAAATAACCGTACTAACCTAACGCAAAGTAACTCAGCAAGATTCTCCATTCGTGCTTCGCCTTGCTCGGCACGCGATAGTTTAAACTTATACAAGGCAGACGGGCATAACTTTGCTAGAACGCTACTTTCTTCGCTCAAAAACTGCCTTTTACGACCTTCTTAGACAAGGTTCCATTATATCCATACAGATCGCGTGCTAGGCGATTCTCATTCATGGCGTTCTTATTCTAATATTCATGTGCTTCGTAATTTGGATGCATTTACGGTTTCTAAAGGTACTTAAACGAAGTAATGTGTATTCAATTTGCTGAGTATTATCTTTTTAGATTTCTGACCTAAATATAATGTTTTGGACTATTATGAGATATAAATGACAACATGTATAGCGTTTTATTGATGAGGAGCTCGATGGCGTAGATGGTTAGCGCGTTCGGCTGAGAGCATTGAAGTTAAGCAACTTTCGCAGGGTCGGTCATTGGATGGGTGATCAAAAATCTTCTATCTCGAGTTCCTTCGTGCTTCGGAAGTAACGTTAAGCCGTTGGTCCCGGCTGCATCTGCACCCGCCAATCCGCACTGGGCCCGCGGGGTGGGTCGTGGCCCAATCTCCCTATTTCAGCCAGAGGGACGGCCTGTGCCCCAGCAGTGGAGACATGAATAGGCTGATGATAGTAGCGTTTTATTAAATTGGAACTACACGTAGATTTACGCGTCCAGTGTGTACTGACTGCGTAGTCACATAGAGCCTATAAGCGCTGTATTGGTCCATCATATTAACTATTAAGAAGGTTAGGATGCTTTTATCTGTTGTAGCGTTTCGTTTGGCCGATATATTTGTTCGTTCTTGGTCAAATTCGCAAAAGGACGGATTCTCATTTCGCCGGAATACAGTTAACAAGAAAAACGCTTACGAGAAATACACCAAGCTTTTTTCTACTGTAGATTTAAATATACTGAAAGAAAAGAATCAATTAAACATTGGAGAAAACTAATTAGGTATATCATAACACAATCAGATACAATTCGTCCAATTTGTTCGACTTTTGGACGTAATTTTTTATTGCAGAACGTAATTGTAATTGCGTTATAAAACCTTAGCCTTCGGCAATCTCAAAACTAAATTATAAAATTAACAAGGCATTATTTCTTTTAAATTATTGACTAGAAAAATAAATGTGTTATTACTAATATGTATATGATCCGGCGACATGAGAATCGGTTCTTTTGCGAATCCGACGAAGTTCGAACTAATGGCCGATGTTCCTTCGGGTCTTTTAGTCGCGAGGGACCATTGGTCAAAATTTTCGTCTTGCCACAGAACACCGCTTACGATTTGCACCAAAGTTTTGTAAATCAAAAGCAAATACGAGCTAAAATATGGTGGCGCGTCTTCCGTGGAATCCTCGAGAATTCCCCTAGTCTTCGACTCGTTTTTTAAGAATTCGCATTCAGTTATAATTATATCTTATTAATATGCAGGATATAACATTGAGTGACTTCACTACAACCATCATAGGCATACAAGACCTGGACAATCTATCAGAGCAGTACTCAATCAAAGACTCCTATGGATCACAGCAGACAGGGTCTTCTATGGACTCAGACGATAAATAATACAAATAGTACTTATTTACTTAAATCTGTATTTTATCATTAAATAGAAATGAATTCATTAAAAATGCTTTTATTCAATGTAATTTTTTTTATGCTTGTATTATGGAAAATTATCACTTGGAAATAAGAAACAACTTATTACGTAACGTAACGTTTTCCATGATATTACCATAATACATAATGAAATTTGTTCTAGGTGTTAAATTATTTACAATACTGTACCTATATTTAAAATACATTGAAACAAATTAAAATTATATTTCTATTGCTAAGTTAATGACAGCACAACATTTTGGTCAAACATAAATGAATTAACATCTCTGGATGCAGTCCTAATACAATGTCTTTAATTTACTATTTACAATTAAACATATAGATTATGTACAGAGTTGTAAACACATTGCAAACTATTTAAATTCTTTATGAATTCTGAGTCATTAATATCATCATTCATCTAATACAGCATAAGAATGCCCCAGCCAAGACAACAGAGACCCAAGCAGGAATTTTGACAGCTTCATAGGATAACAATCTTAAAATTTTGTAAGGAAAAAGCCATTTTGTTCTTATGTTCAGTTGGGACACTGATTAGTTATCGTAGAAACTTTGACGATGTGATATGATTACGGAGCTGTAAAATATTTATGCTTGGGCCTCAGATTAAAAATCTAGTGAGACAACCATCTGAACATGTATTAACTATTATATTTGTGGCACAATTTAAGTTATCAAATCAGGCAAAATGTAAAATTCTGCTAGGAATTTTTGGCCAAAAAGTATTTTCGAAATACAACTTTGTATTTGTAAAATTAAGTAAGTATTTTTTAATTTATTAATGTAGCACAAATGCTAAGTTCTGTTTTTCATTGGATATGAAAATTCTCTCAAGTACATTTTAAGAATGCAGATTATATCATTAAATTCACAGCACATCTGTATTAACTAAAAATATACACACTTCAACCACTAACACGGTTAGTTGTTTTGTCTTTGATATTCTTGACATTTTCACAGTATGCTCATAAAGTACAGTTTTATATGAAACACCTCAATCAGTCTTTAACCTCTTTGCAGGTGTTGTTGTACCACTACTTTGAGAATTCGAGTCTTCAGAGAAGTTCATATGAGTTGATGTAAATTCTGTAGGGCCTTGAGAATCACTCACAGTAGAAAAACCTGAAAAAAGAACCAATTTATTTAAAAATATAGAACATATTTGGTTTCGTATTGATTTGATAGATCATCGATAAAATAATTGATGATTAACTAAAAATCAACTTTATGAAATAGCCATACATGTATTAGAATCTTCAGCCATGCCAAAGTTGGAGTTAGAAGAGTCGTGCATCTTCTTTGGTGTCAAAGTATTTTCTTTATTTTCTCGTTTCGCCGCGTGTTTCTTCTTCTGCTCACTAGTTGAAATAGGAACCCATTTATATATTTTCATTGTAGTTTCACCAATAGTCACCCATTTTTTTTCCCTGAAAATAATTCAGTTAGGATTGTACTCATCTGAAATTGGTGAACAAATCAAGTTTTATCTCAAAAATTTCAATTAAAAATTTGTAATACGTACCAATGGCGAACTTTTTCCACAGCTTGCATGACTCTTTTGATATCATCTTTGACTCGGTTTCTTGTTTCGGCACGGACTGAACGGGACATGGTTAAATTATATTAATAGTCTAAAAGAAACACTATCAGCCGCTAACACAAGTTATAAGCCTTGTTCCAAAATTATCAGTAGCGAAGTCGAGAGCTCCGCGCTGAGCTTGTTTTCTGATTTTGACATTACTTCGTTTCGTTTGTCGCCGCCGCCATTATTCAACCAACTTATGAATGAAGCACATATTAATTGTGTACAACACTCTCAAATCGATTTAATAACTGAAATCTAACTGTTTTACTGAATTATTATCAAAACGTAGTAGATAGACTGTCAAAACCATTAATTGATGTTGTTTCCTGAAATGATTATTTATCAATACAAATATTATAATACAAAAGTTAGGTTAATTCTCAGCTTAATCGATATAAACATACAGAATCGGTATGAACTTTAATAAACAATTACCATGAACATAGGATTTCTTTAAGCAAATACTGATGTCTATTTGTAGAAAAACTAAAAACGTATTGTCTATGGGTACTTACATTTCATTGGTAGAAAATCTACAGGACTACTTTTTATTGGTCCTAGTTATTTCAAATAATAAAAACCAATGAAATCTAAACATTTCATGAAATGAAAACGAAAACCTGTCTATCAGACAGACGGAAATCGCAAATTTATCAATAGAAAACTAAAAAAAATTACATATGAAAAATCCATCAGTAGGTAGTTTCTGCTGAAAATAAATTATAATCAATGTAAAAATAAAAATAATGTTATTATAAAGTTCAGGTGAGTCTAAATAAATGTATTATCTATCTTCCCTTCTCGAGAAATTATCTTAAGATGTAATACAATTTTGGAATTAGATCAAAATTATTGTGCCGTAAATTTAGCGGCTGTCAGTTGTTTTACGCCTTGATAAATAAAATTCTTTGATATTTGTAATAAATGCGTAGAAGTTTCGTGCCGCCGCTGGACTGCAGGGATGTTCATCAATTGCTATGATGCAACGAGATGATAAGGTGCTTTTCTTCGTATTTCGTCTGGCTTTTTACTATATTAATTTGCTATTTTTTCACCATAGGTTATTTCCTATTTCTATTAATAGTTGTTGTGTGTACATTATAGTACAATAATACGGGCATAACCTCAACGTAAGTTTCAAAGCAATGGCAATTGTGTCAAGTCTTTAATGAATATATGATGAAGTATGTGGTTATTGAATTTCTCTGATAACCTATTTTAGTTCAGGGTTGTTGAAACACTATTCTGCCCAAGAATTGCTTAAAAACATACAGTGTCTGATCTGGACTATTATGAGCAGAAAGGGACTGGTCTCATATTTTAAATATTTATTTTTATAATGTTATACCTACATTTCTTTTTTATTTCCATATCAGCTTTCATGTGTGCATCTTATGTTCTGTTAACTGCACTTGTTTATGCCTGTTTTATTTTTGTTGCAGTTGCACCCTGCATGTTGTGTTTGAACTGTAGAAGTGGTAAAGTGACTGTATTGTTGGCATTGCCCAGCATAAGGTTCAGCTAAAGACAACAGTACATCTTTCCTTCCCGTATGGCTGCATATGTTAACCGATCAATTTCAATGATGGCTGGTGACGGGCCTCACAATGTTGCGATACTCAATAATGGCTCTGTTCGTGTCAATATGTCAAATGTGGACTCACCGCTCCAGATATTTGTGAGAGCCAAGAAGAAGATAAATGACATATTTGTTGAAATTGATGATTATGTTAAGGATGCTGTCAGTTTCATGCATGGTGAGTTAACTGTATTTTTTTTACATAATTTGTACCAAACTGATAATTATTATTAAAATCCATCTACTTTCAGTAGATAAGAAAAGGTATTGGAATATTGTTAAAAACAAATATGTTATTAAATAAACAAACAACAATTACAGATCTACAATAAACAGAGATTATTATGTAATAACTATTTCAATAAATTTACCATTTGTTATCTAGTGAGTGAATTGAGTAATGAAATGTTTCCTGTTTAAAATCATCACATTCATATTTCCAATTGAGATTAGGTACAATGAAATATTTAATACAATAATTTTTGCAATTTTTTGACTGAACATTTATAAAAATGCTATTATGAGTGTTGTTAGTGTATGACATTGACATAATTAGTTAAAACTTTACTGTACCTACACCATCATATACTTACTGTGCCTGTTGATACCAATTAATTACTTAGCAGCTATTGTAATATGAGGTTGATATGAAACTATCAAGTTATTTGCAGCAGTGTCAGGTGAGAAAGGAATTGCAACTGCTCAGGATGTGGCCAATGTGGAGGCATATGTCAGTAAGGTGCAGGCCATACGGGAGGTACTTAAACGTGATCACATGAAAGTGGCATTTTTCGGGAGGTTGGTGTAAACATTATGATGTATATTTGTTTCTTAGATTTTCACGCACATCGGTTTCAACGGGTTAGATGCACTGATTTTATTTATTTATTGATGTTTCGCACCCTAGCGTTGTCAGAATGCAAAGGCTGCGAAACGTCAATAAATAAATTAAATTATTGCATCTAACCCCTTGAAACTTGTTTTATTTATGCACTATAATTAAATTTCACATGATCTTTATGGTAAAAAATAATTTTCAGGACTAGCAATGGTAAAAGCACAGTGATAAATGCCATGCTACATGACAAAATTCTACCTAGTGGCATTGGACACACAACCAACTGCTTTCTGCAAGTCGAAGGCTCTGATACTGATGAGGCATTCCTACGAACAGATGGCTCTGAAGAAAAGCTCAATGTACAGGTTTGTAACTTTGAGGCAATAAAATAATTATAGTAGTAGTACGGGTTTTTTGGATAGTGAGTTCCTGAAATTATTTTATAATGGGAATGAAAGTTATCAGTGAAGTTATTACATTAATAATTTTTAAGAATGTCTAATGATGTGCCTTGACTTGACTTGAACTCAGTAAAAAAATTTCTAGTAACATTTCCTTAAGATTTATAAATGGAGCAGTTTGTCATGCTTAAAAATATTTTTTTTTTTAAATTTTTGATAACAATTTCACTTAGTATGTTAGTAAATTCCATTAATTGTAAATCCATTTATTCAAGAATAAATATAAATGTATTGAAGAATTACGTTAAAAAATGTAAACATGATACATATTTTTGACAATGACTGCTAGAGAAGTGTAGGCAATATGGTATAATTACACAGAGACCCTTTTTAAGGTTCCGTAGTCCAGACAAGGAACCCTTATAGTTTTGTCATGTCCGTCTGTCTGTCTGTCCCCCGTTTTGCTTGGAGACTGTTAGCACTAGAGAGCTGTAATTTTGTGGAGATATGTAAATGTTGCATATCGTTGGATAGGTCCTTTAAAGTTACTTAGGGGTTTCTAAGACTATTTTTGATTAAAGGGATCCGTTTGCGAAATATTGAAGTGCTAATTTTTGTTTGTGGAGGTAGGGTGTTTTTGTGAAAACATGCTCAGGTTCTTTTGAATTGAAATTGAAATATGTGATATGGTAACAGTCGGTGAGCCAACTCGGGCACGCATTATGCGCGTCGAGGCTGCAGGAGTGTTCACTGGTGCACGTATACTGGCCGCGTGAGCTCTGCGCGCTGCTGCGAGACGACGTGGTACTGGTGGACAGCCCCGGGGTTGATGTGACCCCCAACCTCGACGAGTGGATCGACCAGTACTGCCTCGATGCTGATGTGTTCGTCCTTGTAGCCAACGCGGAGTCCACGCTCATGGTCACTGTAAGTACTTTTCAATGTTTTATAATTTACAGCACTGGAACCTTATTTTTTAGAGAATTATTTATAGAAGGAGCTGGACTAGCGCGTTCAGCCTGCGATCGTGGAAGTTACGCAACTTTCGCAATGGTCGGTTATTGGATGCTTATTGGATAGTACTCACCAATCCGCACTTTTTACTCTCGTTTCACTCTTAGAGGGAAGATACTGCGAGGAGCTGAAAAGCTCAATGCTCAAATGCAACAGTCAAAATGGTAACCAAAAATTAATTAGCTAATCTCGAATTGTTCCGTGCCTCGGAAGCTACATTAAGATGTTGGTATCGGCTGCATCTACAGTCGAAGAATCAACCAATGCGAACCGGGTCTGTGTTCTGGGTCATGCATGGCCCAATCTCATTTGCGTTAAAAGGCTGATAATAATAGCACTAGGACATCTCCATGAAAAAGGCAATCACCAAGTCGAAAACAAAATATCAAGAAGTTTTTCAAGTTATACCTATGTTTTTATTTATTTTTAAGCATTTGACTGCTAGATGTTTAAATGTAAAGAAAAGTTTTACTAGAAAAAATCCACGCGGACCAGGCAGCGGACGGGACTCGAACCCGCACCCTTCGCAATCCGAGCGAATGCACTGACTACCACGGTCCTGATGGCCGCGTCGAAATTTTCCTAGCCTTAAGCTGCAAGGCAGCGCCATTTCTTCGCATTGTAGGTAAATCAAGTATTAAACATTTGAAAGAAGAAATAGCAATTATAGTTATGTTTTTATTTATTTTTAAGCATTTGACTGCTAGATGTTTATAAGTTATACCTATTTTATTTAACACATAAATGTAGGGTCAAGGTTTATTTGACTTTGTTCAAGGGCTGCCACCACTATTTTACTCACACTTAAGCGTCATTATTAGGTGCCTGATCAGTTTCATAATTGATTTTGTAATTGTTTCAGGAAAAAAACTTTTTTCACAAAGTTTCAACGAAAATATCGCAGCCGAACATATTCATATTGAACAATCGATGGGATGCGTCTGCATCCGAACCGGAATACTTGGAACAAGTGAGTAGCAATAACACTACCTTATATTAAACTAGCGGCCCGCCCTCGCTTCGGTTCGGTGTAGAGCTGAAGTGTAGACTACAGTTTTTGTTCTCAGGCTTGTATTATACACAATGACATTCAACTATGATTCTTCTTATACCTGCATGCAAAGTCTCAGCCCGATTGGTTTAAAATTGACAAAGTTTCATACAAACTTTCATTCCCTATTTTATACCCTTGGGGGTAGAATTGATTAAAATCCTTTCTTAGTGGATGCCAACGTCATAACATCTACCTGCATGCCAAATTTCAGCCCGATCCGTCCAGTGGTTTGGGCTGTGCGTTTATAGATCACTATGTCAGTCAGTCACCTTTGAGTTTTATATATATAGATACAAGAAGTTGTTCATATGTTCGCGTTTGTCTCTTTCGCACCACTCGCTCTTTCTCTCTCTCGTATACAATAGGGATGACCAATTTTGTTTCGTCCATCAAGTAGATTATGAAAAGATAATGGACACGTATGGTTTACTTATTCACATAGTCAAAGATATATTGTTTTTAAAATGTCGCATGACGTCACGTCTTGGTACAATTTTTACTTACTAAGGGACAAAAAAATATTCCATTCACTTCACCCCGTCATCATCCCTATTTACATTGAACATTACTGCCACACTATGAAGTGTCAATTTTAGTAAATTTCTTAATTTTATCTGTGTAGAAGTTGATTTGTTTGTAACACTGGTCGGCAAAACAAAATAAGTGCGGGAGCAAAAAGCTTACTATGTGATTTCCATTGGCTTTGATTTTGATTGATTAATTAAAATTTGTTGTGCCTGGGGAATTTTAACAATATATTGGGATTTAACGTATCCATTAATTCATTTTTTTGCTCTTATTTTGATGCCGATCAGTGTAATATACTCGTGCAGTCGGCGTGAGCCATAGCAATCAGCACTCTGTTGTGGTACATCTTATATATAAAATTCTCGTGTCATAATGTTAGTTACCATACTCCTCCGAATCGGCCTGACCGATTTTTATAAAATTTTATATGCATATTCCGTAGGTCTGAGAATCGGCTACTATCTATTTTTCATTTCTTGATTGTTATCGTTGTCCACCTGTAACGTAGTGTTCTGAAACCAATATAATGCGCCTTCGCGCCAAAATTCAAACTATTGGGTATTGTAACGTAGTGTTCTCATACGGGTTAGGAGGAATGTTATCCCAGGAAATTGATAGTACACCACGATTTTTTTATAATGTGGTACTTATTAAAAAATGCACACAACCCTAAATTTTCTCTTCTACCACCTGCCCTATTTTTATGGCGGTACGAAGTTTGCTGGGTCAGCTAGTACGTATATAAGTGTGTTTGTCTCGCTAGGTCCGCACGCAGCATGCTAACCGCTGCGTGGACTTCCTGTCGCGGGAGCTGCGCGTGTGCTCGCCCAAAGAGGCGGAGGAGCGCATCTTCTTCATCTCGGCGAAAGAGGCGCTGCTCACGCGCATGCGGGAACGAGAGAAACCAGTTTCGTGTGAGTGATCGATTCATATTCTAAACTGCATTTTTGGAGTTTACTCCTTAAGAATCGATTTGCATATATAAGGGGCCCGGTATGAGAAAAATGTGAGGAGTGAAATCTATCGATGAATGACCTCGTTACGTTTTTACTGTCTACGCTGTAGCAGCCGTAGTGCTACACCGTAGCACAGTATCGTAGCGTACCTTTATTTATGCACAGCTGAAATTTACTGTTGTAAAAAGTTTAATGTAAAATATTTCCTCGATTAGTTATAATAAATGTATATGAAATGAATAAATTTATATATGTATATTATTTTCATTAATTTGTTAATTTACCCTTTCATACAGTATCAATCTTTTTTAAGTTAAATAAACTCTTTTTGCGTCTGGTTAGACTATCGAACTTAAGAAGTAAACTCCAGTCGTGTCCAATTTCAGTATTTGAATTTGTATGGAATCTTTTAATCAATAATGTATTTAATTAATTTTTGTTTCATACCTGTTTGAATTGAGAGTGTTTTTCAATAATAGGTGCATGAAATATCAGGAACGCTTGCTTGAAGTGAGATTTATATTAGAATAGAAATATTTCATTCGGGACGAAAAAATAATTTGGTGATAGACTCCCTTTTAAAGTTATTTTCTTATGTTTATTAATAAGCAGTTTCCAATCAAACTAAAAATTGATTATCTGAAATTCTCAGCGCTTGGAATGAAAAGCATATTAAACTATTGATTCCTTGGTGATGCATTGTCTCCTCGTGTGACTCTGTCCATAGGAAGTCCTGTGCTCAGCAGTGTTACATCTTACGAATACCGAGTAACTGCGGGTTACTTTGACCTAAAATGTGCACTTTTTTTCAAATAAAATTGTAGCTTCTCTTTGTGATGAATATGTCACGTTTATATCTTTCCATTGTGAACTTTAAATTATAAGTTACAAAGTTATCATACGAAAATAGGAAAAAATAATATTTGAGGGTTCATAAATATTTTTTTAATTTTGGGCCAAAGTTGGCCTTAAAGAGGGTTACTTTAGCTCGTTGAGTTTTCTCTGAGAAAAAAACTCATTTTAAGCCATGTTGGGGTTAAGTAACCCTTATAACAGATCACCATTAGCATTTTGTATACACAAATGGATGTTTTTACCCAAAAATAATTAAGTTAAAGAAAAAATTGTAAACTTACCGAAAACCACAGTTTTCAGAAAGTTTGCGCATGAACTTGCGAACTATTTCAGTTACAAAAAATCCCGTGTTACAATGACAGGTTGATACAGGAACGATGTCGGTAAAACGACACCACACTGCGCGCATATATGGCTATCTGTGATTTTTAACTGGAACTATTACGGTCGCCCAAGAGATACTGATGGGGCGGCAAGTTCAATATTTTTTCTGATAAAGTTACCCGCCCGAGCTAAAGTAACCCTCACTTACGGTATTTAAATATGAAAGTTCGTAGGTTTGTTGAACGACGAAATCGCTTGAACGGATTTAGATGAAATTTTACACACAGACAACTTAAAACTTGGAAAGAGACATAGGATACTTTTTATCCCGGAAAATTTTTGGGTTCTCGTGGGATTACCAAAATCTAAACTTAACTCGGATGAGATCGTGAGCGGCCGCTAGTATGACTATTATAATAATAATTCCTTTTGTTTCTTTGGTTTTCACGCACATCACTCATTAAATAATACTAGTTTTAACGGGTCAAAAAAGTCTTTCGAAGGTAGCTCGACAACGTAAATAAAAAGTCATTATTCTGACGATGCAGACCTGAAAAGGCTGCGAAACGTCAATAAATAAATAAAGTTCGTGCATTAACCCGTTAAAACTAGTTTTATTTAATAATTCCCTTAGTTTGTTGGCACTCTTACCTACTGGGACAAGAACCATTGAAATATTAGGACCATTGAAATATATCTTACTCCGAGGAATAGGCCTTAAGGTGTATTGGTGTGGTGATTGTACCGTGAGATTTGTCTCCAGCTCCGACCCTGGCGGATGGGCACCAGGTGCGCTACTTCGAGTTCGTGGACTTCGAGCGCAAGTTCGAGGAGTGCATCAGCCAATCAGCAGTGAGGACCAAGTTCGCGCAACACTCGCGACGCGGCAAGAACATCGCCGCTGACGTCATGGCGGCATTAGAGCAGGTATTGTGACGTCACACACACTATCCCAATAGTTCGAGGAGTGCATCAGCCAATCAGCAGTGAGGACCAAGTTCGCGTAACACTCGCGACGAGGCAAGAACATCGCCGCTGACGTCATGGCGGCATTAGAGCAGGTATTGTGACGTCACACACACTATCCCAATAGTTCGAGGAGTGCATCAGCCAATCAGCAGTGAGGACCAAGTTCGCGCAACATTCGCGACGCGGCAAGAACATCGCCGCTGACGTCATGGCGGCATTAGAGCAGGTATTGTGACGTCACACACACTATCCCAATAGTTCGAGAAGTGCATCAGCCAATCAGCAGTGAGGACCAAGTTCGCGCAACACTCGCGACGCGGCAAGAACATCGCCGCTGACGTCATGGCGGCATTAGAGCAGGTATTGTGACGTCACACACACTATCCCAATAGTTCGAGGAGTGCATCAGCCAATCAGCAGTGAGGACCAAGTTCGCGCAACATTCGCGACGCGGCAAGAACATCGCCGCTGACGTCATGGCGGCATTAGAGCAGGTATTGTGACGTCACACACACTATCCCAATAGTTCGAGAAGTGCACAAGTGCATCAGCCAATCAGCAGTGAGGACCAAGTTCGCGCAACACTCGCGACGCGGCAAAACATCGCCGCTGACGTCATGGCGGCATTGGAGCAGGTATGGCGACGTCACACACAGTATACCCACTAGTTCGGGGAGTGCATCAGCCAATCGGCAGTGCGGACCAAATTCGCGCAACACTCGCGACGCGGCAAGAACATTGCCGCTGACGTCATGGCGGCATTAGAGCAGGTATTGTGACGTCACACACACTATCCCAATAGTTCGAGAAGTGCACAAGTGCATCAGCCTATCAGCAGTGACGACCAAGTTCGCGCAACACTCGCGACGCGGCAAAACATCGCCGCTGACGTCATGGCGGCATTGGAGCAGGTATGGCGACGTCACACACAGTATACCCACTAGTTCGGGGAGTGCATCAGCCAAACAACCAAAATGGCAAATAAAGAATTTGAATTGAATTGAATTTGAATCGGCAGTGCGGACCAAATTCGCGCAACACCCGCGACGCGGCAAGAACATCGCCGCTGACGTCATGGCGGCAGAGCAGGTATTGTGACGTCACACAAAGTATCTCCACCTATACCTATAGTATCTATGTAGTTTCGTTTTTATGACAAATATCAAATCAATGTTCTTAATTTAACGCTTAAGAAGCATATTTTGTTCTAATACTTACTACAAACTGATTTAGTAGAAAATATTTGTAATAATCAAATGCAAGAGACATATCTCTTTTCTTCGCGCTCCGTGCGATTTTTTTTTGCCAACAGCGCGTTCAGAATTACGATTGCCATAGGAATAATTAAAGACTATATTCTGCCGCCTATCTAGTAACATTTTACGAGCTTGCATTTCGAACTGTTATAACTCTTTGACTTTGTGACGTCACACAAAGTATCTCCACTAGTTCGAAGAGTGCATCAGCAAGTTGGTCGCCGCTTTTCGGTTTGGATATTGAAAATCGATGGTCGACAAAATTGAATATACATACTTTGAAAATATCTCACTGACTTTTTTTTTGTCTGTTGGGATATTACGTGATGTTTTCTAATCTACATCCCTCCCTTCAAAACGTGATTAAGAACCGATCCCAATGTGGTACGCTGACGTACATTCAAAAATTTAGTTCTCCAAACTATTTGTACGCTGTTATTGGAAGTTGAATTAATGAATTTATACTTTAATGGTGTCGATTCTGGCATGATTCTCTATATCTAAAACTATTTTTTCTCGTGTATCCTTGCCATTCTTTATAATTAATAACAAGGAGAGACTGATGTTAAATTTAGTTTTAAGTTTAAAGAATCATGACAGAGTACACCTTAATTAAATGACAATGATATTTAATATCTGTTGAGTTTCTCTCTTAGAACTCTGTTTCAAGTTTTATTATAAAAATATTGTAGGTGCACAGTGTTATAAATATATAATAATTATAAAGATTTGACCAAAAACATCTATCAGTTAAATGCTTAAAAAAAAACGAGCGAACCTTACAGGAGTCACGTATGATGTGTAACATTTGAAATTAGTAAAAAAAGAAATAAAACCTACTACAAAAGGAATAAGCCATTTGAACATTATGGTCTAAAATCAAATCAAATAGCGCGCGCTTTCGCGACTTCCTGTTACACACTTCCGTCCCATTTCACGAAATCACTCCCACAAATTGCAGGAAAGATGTTACACATCAAAAACATAAGAATTAAGATGCTCATGATTATTAGCTATAAATGTTAACTCTGCGTTTAGGTATACAATAGCGCTACGGAGCGGAAAACAACGATGGTGGAGAAGCAGAGGATCCTGCACGAACAGCTGTCGTCCATAGAGGAGCAGCTCACCACCATCACGCGCCAGATGAAGGACAAGATCAACCGCATGGTCGAGAGTGTGGAGCACAAGGTATTATATAATATTAAAAAAAAAGTGCCAATTGTTAGCATCTGTATTTATAATGAATATTGACCGGGCTGTTTGATATTTTTACGGAAAAAAATCTTCATAATTTTCCTAAAAAGGTATAAGTTTTTTAATCTAATGTCACGTGACCCAAAACGCTTGGGATTCGTGAAGCCTAAAATGACGTCACACACGCAAACTCCGGTCAAATTGCTACGATATACCTATTTTATATCCTATTTATACCACGTGCGCTCAAAATGTGTCTCTAATCCAGAATTTCTTGAAGGCACTCGAGCGTTTCTTGGTTCACACTTTCACAGTCACACGCAGACCGCTGAAAGGCCAACATGCCGCAAAGATCCGTGAAAAATGCGAAAAAAATACCTATAGTATCTATGTAGTTTCGTTTTTATGACAAATATCAAATCAATGTTGTTAATTTAACGCTTAAGAAGCATATTTTGTTCTAATACTTACTACAAACTGATTTAGTAGAAAATATTTGTAATAATCAAATGCAAGAGACATATCTCTTTTCTTCGCGCTCCGTGCGATTTTTTTTTGCCAACAGCGCGTTCAGAATTACGATTGCCATAGGAATAATTAAAGACTATATTCTGCCGCCTATCTAGTAACATTTTACGAGCTTGCATTTCGAACTGTTATAACTCTTTGACGCATGCGTTAAAATTAAGATCTTCTATGCTGTGCATTAATGGTGACTTCGAATGTTTAAATTATGCCTTATATATTTTTTTGACTACGCGATCATCCCACGGAGCTCCGTGTATCATGCAATGTACCTTTTGGACAGGTTTCGGACACCAGTTTGCTCTCCATATTGTATCTACGGTTTTTAATATCACTGTTAAACTGCTTGAAAACCCAATTTAAAATAATACATGCTTAATAAAAATGTTTATTAATATTTTTGACAGGTGTCGCTGACGCTGAGCCAAGAGATCCGTCGTTTATCTGCGCTAGTAGACGAGTACGAATCGCCGTTCCGCGCCGAACGTGCAGCCCTGGAGCACTACAAGCGGGCGCTCCACCGCCACGTGGAGTCCGGGCTCGGCTCGCGGCTCAAGAAGCGCCTCTCCAGCGACATCGGCCACGAGATGGACGAGGCGCAGAAGGAGATGGCCGGTGCGTGTGTGTTGTTGTCTCGCTCTAGCACGGGTGTAGGGGCGGCCCAGAAGCGCCTCTCCAGCGACATCGGCCACGAGATGGACGAGGCGCAGAGGGAGATGGCCGGTGCGTGTGTGTTGTTGTCTCGCTCTAGCACGGGTGTAGGGGCGGCCCAGAAGCGCCTCTCCAGCGACATCGGCCACGAGATGGACGAGGCGCAGAAGGAGATGGCCGGTGCGTGTGTGTTGCTGACTCGCTCTAGCACGGGTGTAGGGGCGGCCCAGAAGCGCCTCTCCAGCGACATCGGCCACGAGATGGACGAGGCGCAGAAGGAGATGGCCGGTGCGTGTGTGTTGCTGACTCGCTCTAGCACGGGTATAGGGGCGGCCCAGAAGCGCCTCTCCAGCGACATCGGCCACGAGATGGACGAGGCGCAGAAAGGAGATGGCCGGTGCGTGTGTGTTGTTGTCTCGCTCTCGCACGGGTGTAGGGGCAGCCGCAGCATGCTACCCTAGAGCAGTATAAGCGAACACTTTAACTGCCACTTTCTGGCTACTGGCTATTTTATATTTTGTCGCTTATTTCATTCTCTATGATTATAGGCTATTTCTCAGAATGAAAAATAAAGTTCCAAAATGTTGTCATCTATATTTAATATTAATAATAGTAGCGATTATACAATTCTTCAGAGAACACATTATTAAATGACTTTTCTTAAATATCATTTAATAAAAAAATATATTTTTGTATTCTTTGGTCACGTGACCGAAAACGCCTGAGATTGTCGAAGACTAAAATGACTTCACACGATAGTAAACTTCTGGTCAAGTGCCATTACATTGTATTGTTTGATGTTTTTTGAGAGCCGTGTGACGTCAAATACAGGTGTGACGCAATAATGTCCAGAGAAAGATTATCGCGGCAATATGAATTTAATTATTGATTTTGTTTATTAATGAAATCCACAACAGGCTGATACATAACCACTCTATGTAGAGTCCATATAACGTAAGATCGTTTTGTAAAAGTCAAATACCTATAACGCTTTTTTAAGGTTTATTGTTTGTTAATGTTATTGTATTGGTGTTATTATCTGTCTTATCTATACCCTATTGTGTGCGCAGACCGCATGTATAGCATCCTGCCGGCTCACAAACGGAGCGCGGCGGCAGCAGTAATAGTCCCACATCAGCAGCCCTTCGAGGTGCTGTACCGCCTTAACTGCGACAACCTCTGCGCCGACTTCCAGGAGGACCTCTCCTTCCGCTTCTCGTACGGCATCACCGCGCTCATACAGCGCTTCCAGGGCAAGAACACCAACCGGATCGCTCTCAAGAACCCGCCTACATACACACAGGTATCTACAATACTCGGCCAAATGTATGCCTTACAAATGTTTAAAAAGAATTCTATATCTCTTTGTCCAGGTCATAAACTACACGTGCATCAAATTTAATCGAAATCCGTGTTTTTATGTGATTGAGTAACAAATGTTTGTAAAAAAAAAATCGTTAATAAAAATGTTCGTTTTTAGACGATTTTTTTTTTTTTAAAATTGACGTAGAATAATTTTTTTTTAAACTAATGTATTTTTCTCTCCTCAACTCGAATATACGATTGAAAATTTAAAAAAATCAGTTTATTTATGTACAGAAATTATTTACAAAACTATTAACTAAAATTCGATTACAAGACTGCGTTGTATTCTATATTTCTAATTAAATTAATTTCGTCCTTTTTTCTTCCGGTTCATAATCGGAATTCTCAGGGTATATTAGTATTATATATATATATATTCAGAATAGTATATTCGAGTTGAGGAGGAGGCGAAATTTTAAATCGTCCAAAAACGAACATTTTTATTAACGATTTTTTGCTACTCGATCGATTCCTCAAAATTCTTGGTGAATCGAATCACCTGAATTTTTTTTCCCGCTGTGCGCCTTCTGGGAAAGACGGGACAGGCAAGTACTTTTTTTTCGGAGATTGAGAATTGTTGCTAAAGTTTGCGACACAGGTCGATAAATTTTACATGACTCTCTTGGGAGTGGCGTTACCCACATGATAAACTACTTTAGAAATCAAAATGTTTATTATAACATGTTGAATTGTTGCAAACGTAAAACCGACATAATTGCAATTTACTGCTAAACTAACAATCTCACGATATTTTTTCATAGAACTGATTTTGTAGAGGGCAAGCTAATGAACAACTTTGATTCAAAAAAAAATTCAAAATCCCCGTTTACAAGCAAAAAAACTCAAAAAAAAACGGTTTTTCTTTGTTTAAACAATTTTCCTGGCTACAAAACACGGGTTCTAGCGGGGACAAAATGGAAGGCATATTCGTGGGGGTCTATACTACCTAGGAAAAAATTGGCTAAGCGCTGGTGTCTTAGAATAGAAGTCGGTCCAAATTATGGCTATTCCGACTGGACTATCCGTGGATCGTTCAAAGTACCTTTCGAACAGATGTCTAATAATGGTGGATTATTAACCACTAAGTGGTTAATAATCCACCATTATTAGACACTAACATTCATAACGCGCCCGCGGCCAACTTCATGGTGTTACTATAGTGTTACAGTGATGCGCGCGCATCTCGAAATTTCACTCACATGATTTTTTCATAACGCGCCCGCGGCTAACTTCATTATGTTACTTTTGTGTTACAGTGATGCGCGCGCATCTTAAAATTTCACTCTTATAATTTTTTCATAACGCGGCTAAAGAAGTATAACTTCAAAAACCAGTGATTGAAAAAGATGCAGATTTGCCTGTTCTATGTTCTAACAGATACCACCAGCGATAAGCAACACGTCACTTCCGCCTATGGAGGTGGCTCGCAGCAGTAGTACTATCGGACCCCTGAGCGTCGAGGACTGGAGCATGATCTCGCGCTTCGCCCTCGGCACGCTCACCTCGCAGGGGACCATGGGAGGCCTACTGCTGTCCGGTCTGGTAACTATCAACGTGAATATATTGATGCCGATGGGAGTCCCTCAAGGCAGTACCATGGGCGGCCTACTGCCTATCAACATGAATATATTGAGGCCGATGGAGTCCCTCAAGGCAGTGCTATGGGCGGTCTACTGCTGTCCGGCCTGGTTACTATCAACGTGAATATATTGAGACCGATGGAGTCCCTCAAGGCAGTACTATGGGCAGCCTACTGCTGTCCGGCCTGGTAACGTGAATATATTGAGGCCGATAGAGTCCCTCAAGGCAGTGCTATGGGCGGTCTACTGCTGTCCGGCCTGGTAACTATCAACGTGAATATATTGAGGCAGATGAAGTCCCTCATGGCAGTAGTATGGGCGGCCTACTGTTCTCCGGCCTGGTAACTATCAACGTGAATATATTGAGACCGATGAAGTCCCTCAAGGCTGTACTATGGGCGGCCTACTGCTGTCCGGCCTGGTAACTATCAACGTGAATATATTGAGGCCGATGGAGTCCCTCAAGGCAGTACTATGGGCGGTCTACTGCTTTCCGGTCTGTTAACTATCAATGTGAATATATTGATGCCGATGGAGTCCGTCAAGGCAGAACTATGGGCGGCCTACTGCTGTCCGGCATGGTAACTATCGACGTGAATATATTGAGGCCAATGGAGTCCATCAAGGCAGAACTATGGGCGGCCTACTGCTATCCGGCCTGGTAACTATCAACGTGAATATATTGAGGCAGATGAAGTCCCTCATGGCAGTAGTATGGGCGGCCTACTGTTCTCCGGCCTGGTAACTATCAACGTGAATATATTGAGACCGATGAAGTCCCTCAAGGCTGTACTATGGGCGGCCTACTGCTGTCCGGCCTGGTAACTATCAACGTGAATATATTGAGGCCGTTGGAAACCCTCAAGGCTATACTATGGGCGGCCTACTGCTGTCCGGCTTGGTAACTATCAACGTAAATATACTGAGGCCGATAAAATCCCTCAAGACAGTACTATGGGCGGCCTACTGCTGTCCGGCCTGGTAACTATCAACGTGAATATATTGAGGCTGATGGAGTCCCCCAAGGCAGTACTATAGGTGGCCTACTGCTGTCCGGCTTGGTTACTATCAACGTGTATAAATTGGGACCGATGGAGACCCTCAAGGCTGTACTATGGGCGGCCTACTGCTGTCCGACCTGGTAACTATCAACGTGATTATATTGAGGCCCATGGAGTCCCTCAAGGCAGTACTATGGCGGCCTACTGCTGTCCGGCCTGGTAACTATCAACGCGAATATATAGGAGCCGATGGGGTCCCTCAAGGCTGTACTATGGGCGGCCTACTGCTGTCCGGCCTGGTAACTATCAACGTGAATATATTGAGGCCCATGGAGTCCCTCAAGGCAGTACTATGGGCGACCTACTGCTGTCCGGCCTGGTAACTATCAACGCGAGTATATTGAGGCCGATGGGGTCCCTCAAGGCAGTACTATGCTACTGCTGTCAATCAAAATCAATCTTTATTTTATTGACAGAAGTGGGCCGCCCATAGCGAAGAGGGGGCAGGGGGGGCAATATTTATTTATTTGAAAAGCGAAGTTCAGTAATAATGTTCTTTGCAGTTACTCAAGACAGTGGGATGGCGGGTGGTGGCCGTAACTGCTGCAGTTTACGGCGCTCTATACGCGTACGAGCGACTCACGTGGACGGCCAAGGCTCAAGAGAGAGTGTTCAAGAAGCAGTACGTGGCGCACGCCAGCAAGAAGCTGCGGCTCATAGTCGACCTCACCTCCGCTAACTGCAGCCATCAAGTGCAGCAGTCAGTATATATCTATACTAGTGGCCCGCCCTTGCTTCGCTTCGGTATAGAGCTGTAGTTTAGACTATAGTTATGTTTTTATTTATTTATTTTTTAAGCATTTAACTGCTTAAATCTAAAGAAAACTTTACTAGAAAAATATCCACGCGGACCAGGCAGCGGACGGGACTCGAACCCGCATCCTTCGCAATCCGGGCGAATGCACTGACCATTATGCTACCACGGCCCTATTCGCCGCGTCGCGTATTGTGGGCTACCTACAATGCGAAGAGATGGCGCTTCCTTGCAGCTTAAGGCTAGGAAAATTTCGACGCGGCGAATAGGACCATGGTAGCATAATGGTCAGTGCATTCGGCCGGATTGCGAAGGATGCGGGTTCGAGTCCCATCCGCTGCCTGGTTCGCGTGGATTTTTTTCTAGTAAACTTTTCTTTAGATTTAGACTATAGTTTTTGTTCTTAGGCTTGTATTATACACAATGACATTCTTCTAATACCTAATTACAATAGGCACGCGCCGCCAGCTCCCCGCCCTTTAGCGCCGGAACCGCTATGTCCCTGCATTTTAAATCTGTAATATCTTCGAAAATATTCATTTAAATTACATGCATTAAAGTGCCAAATTGGTCTATATTAAATGCACAATGTACTTAAGGTACTTAATTGGATAAGGATGAACTTTATATTGCTGAAAATCGCTTCGTAAATAATCTATTATTTCTCGTAAAAAGTATAGAATAAAAAATGGTTATTATGGGTTATCCCTAAGAGGTAGATATATACCATCGCGGGCTTATTTGTAGACCTATTTAAGGTGTACAATACTGTAGTACATTATTTTGATCTATCTCGTAGGGTTCAGCCAGCGTTTGCAATGTAAGCGCAAAAAAAGATTTTATTTACGACCTTACATTAAAATCATCTAAAATTATCAGTGTTTCTCTACTATATTATGCATGTATTATACATATAAACCTTACTCTTGAATCACTCTATCTATTAAAAAAAAACTGCATCTAAATCCATTGCGTAGTTTTAAAGATCTAAGCATACATAGGGACATAGGGACAGACAGTGGGAAGCGACTTTGCTTTATACTATGTAGTGATGTAGTCGCAGTAGTTAGTATGTTCGGTCTGCGATCGTGGAAGTTGGTAGAGTGGCTGGTCATAGACTAAAATTCAACAACTCTTAAGTATTCCGTGTAGGATAGGCTTTTGACACATTGGACATTATGGGCCTCTGTGGTAGGTCACTCAATCTCCCTATTCCATCCATAAAGGCCTGTGCCACAGCATTGTGGACATTAATAGGCTGACGATGATGATGATTTATTAAAAATAGACATAAACAAATTGAAACATTGTGCAGGGAGCTGTCGACGATGTTCGCCCGGCTGTGCCGGCTCGTCGACGAGGCCACCACCGAGCTCGACGCCGAGCTCTGCGAAGTGCGCGGCGCCACCACCCTGCTCGACGACGCCTCCGCCGCGGCCAAGCGGCTGCGGAACAAGGCCAACTACCTCGCGCACGAGCTCGAGCTCTTCGACGACTCCTTCCTCAAGCACCACTAGGGGGCGCGGTGAGTCACATTCACTATACAGCGCCCGCCACCACCCTGCTCGACGACGCCTCCGCCGCGGCCAAGCGGCTGCGGAACAAGGCCAACTACCTCGCGCACGAGCTCGAGCTCTTCGACGACTCCTTCCTCAAGCACCACTAGGGGGCGCGGTGAGTCACATTCACTATACAGCGCCCGCCACCACCCTGCTCGACGACGCCTCCGCCGCGGCCAAGCGGCTGCGGAACAAGGCCAACTACCTCGCGCACGAGCTCGAGCTCTTCGACGACTCCTTCCTCAAGCACCACTAGGGGGCGCGGTGAGTCACATTCACTATACAGCGCCCGCCACCACCCTGCTCGACGACGCCTCCGCCGCGGCCAAGCGGCTGCGGAACAAGGCCAACTACCTCGCGCACGAGCTCGAGCTCTTCGACGACTCCTTCCTCAAGCACCACTAGGGGGCGCGGTGAGTCACATTCACTATACAGCGCCCGCCACCACCCTGCTCGACGACGCCTCCGCCGCGGCCAAGCGGCTGCGGAACAAGGCCAACTACCTCGCGCACGAGCTCGAGCTCTTCGACGACTCCTTCCTCAAGCACCACTAGGGGGCGCGGTGAGTCACATTCACTATACAGCGCCCGCCACCACCCTGCTCGACGACGCCTCCGCCGCGGCCAAGCGGCTGCGGAACAAGGCCAACTACCTCGCGCACGAGCTCGAGCTCTTCGACGACTCCTTCCTCAAGCACCACTAGGGGGCGCGGTGAGTCACATTCACTATACAGCGCCCGCCACCACCCTGCTCGACGACGCCTCCGCCGCGGCCAAGCGGCTGCGGAACAAGGCCAACTACCTCGCGCACGAGCTCGAGCTCTTCGACGACTCCTTCCTCAAGCACCACTAGGGGGCGCGGTGAGTCACATTCACTATACAGCGCCCGCCACCACCCTGCTCGACGACGCCTCCGCCGCGGCCAAGCGGCTGCGGAACAAGGCCAACTACCTCGCGCACGAGCTCGAGCTCTTCGACGACTCCTTCCTCAAGCACCACTAGGGGGCGCGGTGAGTCACATTCACTATACAGCGCCCGCCACCACCCTGCTCGACGACGCCTCCGCCGCGGCCAAGCGGCTGCGGAACAAGGCCAACTACCTCGCGCACGAGCTCGAGCTCTTCGACGACTCCTTCCTCAAGCACCACTAGGGGGCGCGGTGAGTCACATTCACTATACAGCGCCCGCCACCACCCTGCTCGACGACGCCTCCGCCGCGGCCAAGCGGCTGCGGAACAAGGCCAACTACCTCGCGCACGAGCTCGAGCTCTTCGACGACTCCTTCCTCAAGCACCACTAGGGGGCGCGGTGAGTCACATTCACTATACAGCGCCCGCCACCACCCTGCTCGACGACGCCTCCGCCGCGGCCAAGCGGCTGCGGAACAAGGCCAACCTACCTCGCGCACGAGCTCGAGCTCTTCGACGACTCCTTCCTCAAGCACCACTAGGGGGCGCGGTGAGTCACATTCACTATACAGCGCCCGCCACCACCCTGCTCGACGACGCCTCCGCCGCGGCCAAGCGGCTGCGGAACAAGGCCAACTACCTCGCGCACGAGCTCGAGCTCTTCGACGACTCCTTCCTCAAGCACCACTAGGGGGCGCGGTGAGTCACATTCACTATACAGCGCCCGCCACCACCCTGCTCGACGACGCCTCCGCCGCGGCCAAGCGGCTGCGGAACAAGGCCAACTACCTCGCGCACGAGCTCGAGCTCTTCGACGACTCCTTCCTCAAGCACCACTAGGGGGCGCGGTGAGTCACATTCACTATACAGCGCCCGCCACCATCCTGCTCGACGATGCCTCTAGAGCACTTTGGCTAATGACAGAAACCCTTTACGAAACACGACCATCCTTCAAGTTATTTTAAAACAGTTGCTACTATCTACGCTACGATCCTTTTTAACTAGCTCTCGTTCTTGGACATGTTTATGGCGTTAGAAAATACTGGAGCAGCAAGGATGAATGGCGAAAAGAATGTTGCTATTTATTTTCAGAAACAGTTGAACTGATTTTCATTTATGGGTTTTCTTCTTTAATAATAACCAGTCCGTCCGGATAGCTAAAGGTTCAGGACAGGATTCGATCCTGTTTGATGCCCAAATCTAGCGACTATTTCTAGTTTTGCTGATTTTACATTTACGAAAGAACCATTGCGAAAACATCGTCACGACGACGGACGGCATTTCCGAATTATCTCCCCTGGTCATCACTATCACTGGTTTCGTGACGACGATTTTGAAATCGCACTGTATTAGATTTTTACTCGAATATCAATCATCATTTTGAACACATGCTCCAAAATGAAAAAAAAAAATACCTACGCTAAAATAACAACTTTTAAGCAACGGTACTTTCGTAAATGTAAAATTAATTATAAACATTTCGAAAAACGTATTTTGGTAAAAAAATAAAACAAAACAGAATAAATTTTTCTCTATGTATCAAAGGTTAAGTAAGCATTTAATCACACTTTTGATTTACTTACAGTCGTTGTAACCGTGCGGCATATCGGCATCTGTACCGGCAGCGACAACACAGGCTCCGGCAGCGATGTATTGAAATAAACTCCGGCGAGCTATTTATTTATTTGTTACTCATGCAGCGTAGCGGCCGCCTTCAAAACATAAGTCAGATATTCTTGTCTATGGGTGTATCAAGTCTGTTTCGATAGAATTTGTACAGAATGAATATTTTCATATCTTTCGTCTTGTTTAAATTTAAATCAGTTACACGAACTTTTTTTTCTCAATAATTTACTTTGTTTTAACAACTACTTCCATAACTTAAATATTATAGGTAGCGGCAGATTTCTTGAGCGAAATAAACATAGAAATAAATTTGCACAGTAGACGTTTTTGTATGTAAAATTGCTACTGCGCAGGCTTTCTTGTCTATGGTTGTTGAAGAAGTTTTGCCGGGATGTATAGCAACGACAAATACCAAACTTGTTTGCCTTCTCAACGAATTGGATTAAAACACACTCTTATAAGTTGCTTTTACAAAATCGACATTTTGTTAAGGTTTTACTATGACACCTATGATCTCTTAATAATAAGACCAAAAAAGATTCGCAGTTTTCCAATAGGGTATTTGACAACTTTAAGAAAACGATCTCACGTTATTTACTAGTGTTTATAGAGTCAGAAGTGATTTTCTTTCATTTTGTTGTGAATTTCAATAAAAATCCTAAATTAAAAAAAATACAACGATGATACAATATAATGTCACTGACTGGAAGTTTACTAGCGTGTGACGTCATTTTAGTCTTCACAAATCTCATGCGTTTTCGGTCACATGACCATAAAACAAAACGAATCATTTCTATTTAATCGCTGCTATTTACATATTAAAAACAAATGCCAACAATTAGTACTTTCATTTTCATATCAAATAGCCTATTGATTCTAGAGTGAAGACCATAATATAGCTAAAGAAGTAATCTTGTGTTTAAAGTCTGACGCTCTTATTTTCACTATATAGTGATATTGTTATATAACAAAGAGATTATGTAGGCGGTCATATGTTTATTTTATTATGTTAAGTGTTGTTAAGAAAAACTTGCCCGTTTCGATCTATTGCTGCTTGTGGTTGTCGCCACCGGCTGACATGACAATATCAGGGCTCCGACACCCTGAAGCCTCCATTGAAGGTAAACATGGTGTATATTCTTTGTTGTACCATTCGATGTACAGTAACGTGTTATTGTTAATTACCGCTTCTGTTGTTGTTTTTAAAGTTATTTATACCTTTTCAACGATGAACTTGAGTGTAGTCTGTTCGACATAGTTTTTACTGAATACATTTAGGTTTCAATGGTTCCTGAATATTTCAATTTAGGGTGTTTAACTCCTCCCCAAACAACTTGGTGCTACCGATGGGGTGTGAAAATATTCCGTAAATGTCAACTGAACAAAAATTTGAAAATTCATTTAAGTATAGCAAATGTTATTATAATGGGATTACTTATATAAATTGTTAGACACACTCTTGTGTTATTCAGTATTCATAGATGTTACGCTTTCCTTTTTTTACGTTTTAAATGCTGAATAATTTAATTTTTTACGCCAAATTTGTGCATTTTAACGAACACGTGGTACTAAGTGTCGCAACATCATCTAGTTACCAGTTGCGCTGTTGACGGAGTGCCAACTCGCGTTATTGTCGCGTTGATCTAAAGCTGTTTTACAATCATGATAATATATAATTTAATATTATACAACTGTGATAATTTATCGTTTATTTGTGAGTTGTTTTTTACACGAATGTTTCGTTTTTCATCTTATTTAACACCTATTATTGCACTCGCACAGTCAACAGTGATTAGTTTAATTACAACTAAGATTTAATTTATCTGTTGTGTATTACGTAAGAAGTGTGGCAGTCAAGCGGCACTTTAGAATCCATCTACTTTTATGGAATGAGTTTGTTATGTGCTCTAATATGAGCATTAAATAAGTTCATGGAAATTGATACCAAATTAAACTTTATTAATATTGCAACAAGTATTCATTTTGCAATAGCTATTTACTTTCAGTAATTTTTCGTCCTATTGAGAATGAAAACAATTTATTGATAAATATCACAACACTTTAATATATTTTATAAGATGGATTCTATAATGGCTTTTGAATGACAAGCTAAATAATTTAGAAGTTCACTTCTTACTTTACATAATTTTATGTAACTTGAAGTAACAATGAATTTTCAGTGACGCCAGGAGCGTATCGTTTGTATTGCTAATAAAATTAATGGCATTATGAATTGTCGGCATAAATTTAGCGATGAATTTGACATGTTAAAATTGGGAGCCATACAACCGTTTGATGTTAGATAGATTTTGTTGTCCTTTGTAATTAATTAGTTATCGCATAATTAGGTGAATTTTCTTATGTAAATAATTTAACAATTAAAGGATTCCTTTATAACGTTTTTTTATTACTTAATAAAATAACATTTATATTCTATTGTTTCTCTATTCTATTTATATTTTATTGTATATAATAAATCTAATTCATTCATCATGATGAAATCAAAAAATATTTTTTTTAAAACATACACTTGTTATAAAATGTTTCTTTTGTACGTAAAAATATCTTCAACAGTCAAACCTTTTCCTTTCAGTGAGTTTTGCTGCAGTTGATGCTGAAACAAAAAAAATATGGTGACCATAAATAAAAAATAAAATCTTAATTTTCTATACTTAATCAATATAATTAAATTTTTCATTGATAACTGTGCGGTTCAGTGGGATGAGTGATATAAATTACCAAATAGGTTATTGTTTAATATTAAAGTTCTTATTGGTGCCACCACCAGCCACCTTTCACATTAACAGTAATACGAAAGCACAAATATCTAATAAAAATAAATATATCCCCTGAGGCTTCATGAAGATATATAGAATACTAGCTGACCCAGCGAACTTCGTACCGCCCTAAAAAAATAGGGGTTGTCCAGCAGACAAAATTGTGAATCTAAACCATTCTCAGATCCCCTTGAACACACACAAAAAATTTCATCTAAATCGGTCCAGTCGTTTAAGAGAAGTTCAGTGACATACACACTCACAGAAGAATTATATATATAAAGATATCATGCTTACTTTTGGAACTTCCTTCTTAAAACTGTCCCTAGCAAATCTAACAGCATTGTTTTTGATTTCCAGTCCATAGTGCCTGCACACAGCCAATGTCTCATCCTTGTTGTTAAATCTTAACCAAGTCTGTAGTACTTCCCCAGGAACTGTTAACTGTTTGCTGTTATAACCATAGGCCAGTACTTGCAAGGCATGTCTATAGAAAACAAAGAAAAAAAAATATTCTTTCTTATAATTACAATTAGTCACCCCAAAAACAAAATGTTAAAAACTTACTTCTGTATCTCTGGAAGATATAAGAAAATGGCACAATATGTTAATGGACATAGTTTATCAATCAGTCTACATGTGTTTATAAAATCCCCTTTTATGTTTGCAACAGCTATGTTATAAGACAAGTTTAACATTGAATCTCTGAAAAAAAAAACTTTGTTAGTCCAACACTTGCTTCATGCAACACATTTTCTGCAAAAATATGCATTCATATTATGTAAACATTAATGTCCAGGTACCTCTTTAAATCTCTTGGGAGGCTCAAATATCTTAACAAAGGATGAATGTCATACAAATTGCAGAGTATATAGAGACTCTCCACTAACGTTCTATCAAATTCATTTTTATTAATGTTTAAGTTTGAGAAAGGCGCAGTGAGTTCCTCTAATTTATCTTCTCCTTTTTGATCCATGTCATCGCAGCAGCTCAGAAACCACTTCATACATTCTAGTAAATATTTTTTATTGAGCACTGGATCAAAGTCATTAATTGGTTGTTCATATAATCTGAAGTATTAAAAAAACATGAACAGTAGGTAAAAATATAAAACAACAATTGTTTCGGTGAACTTACCTATATGCAAAATACACATAAAACCTTATCATAGGCTCTAATAAACAGGCACATTGTTTTGATAATAATCTCTGTATAGTCATATCTTGTCTGATTGCTCTTAAACGATCATTAATAAAATCATACAGAACAACAGTAGGTACATCCCTCCTTTTAAGAACCCTAAAAACAGATAACAATTTCTGATTGCAAATACGGTATGTACATCAAAATATCAGACTAGTCTAAATCGACCCAGTAGAACTTACTCAAATAGTAGATACTCCAATGTTTCTTTTAATGTAGAGTAAGGACGCAGTATACGTGGTACTGCCATATTTGAGTCTGCTGCTGATCTGCAGTAACTTTTCACAAGTTTTTTTACAGGTCCTATAACTTCCAAAATGTGAACCGAATTTTCTCTTACTCGCCTAAAGAATAATTTACAACATTTCAGTGATTGTGACTTCTTTCGAAAGAAAGTTTAATAAAGATAAGTACAATTATTACACTTACAGATCAATTTCATCTTGAGGACACATGGAATAACAAGTACCAGCAATTGTGTCATTGTTTTTTGCAATATTTTTATTATAAAAGAAATCAAAGTACGACATCTTATTATTGAAAATAGAATTTATTTATGATTAATTTATCAGTAAATGTGCAAGCAAGGCAATACATATCCGATTTTCGCTCAACAGTTTCAAAACAAAAATTTGAAAATTTTGACACTGACATTTCTTAGACAGTTTCTTTTTTTTTTTGGTTCAGTTCTCCCTTTTCAGGGAAGGCAAGGGGTACAATGCCTATACAGCCTAGTCTTACGTTAAATTATTCTATTTTTCTTTTTACATTAGAATGTCGGTGTGACGCATTCTAATGTTTCTTGAAGTGTTTGGCACGAAATATATGGAGCTGGCTTTTTCGATAAGCCTCTGTGAGGTAGTCAATACTACAATAAAATTCTCACGTCCACTTGACCGGAATAGCGTATATTTTGACGATTCTACTAATTCTTCAGTTACGCAGACAGTTGTAACACAAAATCACACCAATTTTATTTCACAATATCCACTATGAACGAATTTAAGAATAATTAAAATAAGACGCCATCCACACTCGATGAAATCCCGCCAAAAACCCCCAGTTTCTTTTTTCTAAATATTTATGGCTTGGATTGAAGGCCTGTATCGGTGTTGCCAACACGGATTTTGAAAAAGGCGTAGGCCCGATGAGAAAATTACGTAGAATTAGTAAATTTTGCATATGAAAAGTACGTAGATCTACGTACTTTTTTCTGAGTGAAATGAAGAAGTTAGGTGAAACCGAATGAAACGAGTATTTTTTTATACAATTTCTGTAAAAACGGGAGATAGAACAAAGAGTTCTTGGAGTAATATGCATTGGAAGCATTAACCATGCTGTGGTGGTAGACATTTACCATCAGACACAGACACTGGTGGGTGTCGATTCTGGCGTGATTCTCTAAATTTAAAACTAAATTTAACATCAGTCTCTCCTTTTCATTCTGAATTGAGAATGACAAGGATACACTGTTGTTCAATAGGCTAGTTGACACTTTTTGGAATTATATTTTAAATTGTTAATAATTGTTCTACCAGACCGAAAAAAATGATTTTTTTTTTACCTAGAAAGCTACTAAACATTAATTTTAAAATAGATTTTGCATGGACATACACTTATCTATGCTATGACGTCAAAACATTTGTAAACCAACACTCGCATGCACGTAGGAAATAAACTTTCTGAGTTAATATTATAAAACCATGATCACATGAAAAATATAGTAGCTACCATGATACACTTGGTAAAAGACTCTAGAAAAGTTGTGGTTTAAATTGCCAAGAGAAATAAACATACTTACACATGAACACATGTTTAAAACTTGCTACATCCTGTAATTTTATCGACTGAAAGTCATTTCTTTTTGCAAAGATCAATTCGATGTAAGTACTCATTGAATAATATTTAAAGTTTAAAAATTCAACATTAAAGGTTATGAATGTACCTACTAAGTCAAAGAGTTTTGTCGTTTCTCCTTTCACAAATCCTGCGTCCAGCATTAATTTAGTCAACAAAACCACTAACGGGAACCTTTTCTACAAGATACAAGAGTTTTTAGATACATCTTTATAAGAAATAAACATTTGTATAGTTTTTAAGTAAAGTAACGGAAAATATTCTTCTTTATTCTAGTGAATTAAGATATTTTACAAATTTGAAAAAAATAAAGAAAATACGTAGATTCTGGGCCTGAAGTTAGTAGGTTTGCAGAAAAGGCCTAAAATACGTAGATCTACGTAAAAAGACGTAGAGTTGGCAACACTGGCCTGAATACCAATATCGGTTGATATTTTGTAACTTCTATTGCGTCGTTATTATCGCAGTAATGGTGTCCATTCTGGCATGATTCTCTAAATCGAAACTTCAATTTAACAGTTTAGCCTTGTCATTCTCTATACGGAGCATGGGGGTTACAGAGAAGGAGAACGATTGCTGTAGAAATTAGTGTCCCAGAAATATAGACAAAATAAATGAGGCGCTGCGATAGTTAAGCTGTCCAAAGAAGCTGTCTCAGTAAAAGCGGGCTGTTGTACGCTAATTTGAAATGCCGCGAAAAAAATTTGTACATTATTCAACTATCTTCATTTACTCGTCAGTGGCGTAGCGTAGTAGGGGCGGCAAAATTTTACAATGAATAATAAAAATATTTCAACCATTTAAATAACCGGGCGGCCGACACCCACGCTACGCCGCTGCTGTACTCATAAACAGCTAACTTCACAGATACTTATAGTTTTTTTATTTTTGAAGTTATACTTCTTTAGGCGCGTTCTGAAAAATTGTTGAGAGTGAAATTTTAAGATGCGCGCGCATCATGTAACACAAAAAATTAACACCATGAAGTTGGTCGCTTTAGCGACCACTGCCACTCGCGGTCCTAGCGCGGGAAACACGTGCCAACATCGGGAAAAGTTACGAGTTTTGAATTTAGAACAGAGACTGTTTTCATATCTAAATATATAAAAATGAAACCCGTTTTCCGTTGTCACGACATAACATGAAAACGGCTTGACCGATTTGGCTGTTTTTTTGTAGTTTTCTAATACTCTGTACAAGGTTCTTACGGAAAAAAATATAAAGAAAATCCCAAGGGGATAAAATAAGGAATGAAAGTTTGTATGAAACTTTATCAATTTTAAACCGATCGGGCTGAGACTTTGCATGCAGGTATAAGAAGAATCATAGATGAATGTCATTGTGTATAATACAAGCCTGAGAACAAAAACTGTAGTCTACACTTCAGCTCTACACCGAAGCGAAGCGAGGGCGGGCCGCTAGTTTATAATATTTATCCACATGTTTCTAGTTTGTATATTCAGAATACGTGTTTGAGTTTCATACAAGTGCAAATCACATATGTTCTAATAAATTATATTCAGTAGCGATTTTAATTGAATATTTTGATTATTTATTTATTTTTTCAAATTAAAACTGAACTTTATTGACTGTGTCCTTTTCCAGACTTTTTATTAATTTATTGTAATTAATTATTTGCATGCAATTAAAAACTAATTTTAAACGATGCCAAAGAAGGATAACTTCTCACGCGCCTACATAAGTACACGCACCCATTTTTTTTAAGTATGTAACTCCTTGATGTTCTCTGCTTGATGTGAAATCTAAAAAAAAATATCTAGAAAAAATCTACGCGGACCAGGCAGCAGACGGGACTCGAACCCGCACCTTTCGCTACCCGGGCGAATGCACTGACCAATTAAAATTAAGTCACAGGGTTTTCCTATTTTAAGTACCCACAGATCCTTAGTTTTAAAATATCCTGTGCCTGTTATTTGTAAAACCATATTGTATAAAAAATTTGGGAATAAATTATTATTATATTATTATATTATATTAATTATGAATTATGCTACCGCGGCGCTGACGATCGCGCCGAAGTTCCGAAGCTATTCTTAAGCTGCAAGGCAGCGCCATCTCTTCGCATTGTAGGTAACCCACAATGTCAAATGAATACTTTTACAAGTATTAAACATTTGAAAGGACTTTTTGGCGGGATCGGGAAACGTGAACGCGCGAAACAGTTTTGTTTTTCTTGTTAAAAATTGTGTTGTGGCGGATGCAAGTGTCTAATAATGGTGGATTATTAACCACTAAGTGTTCGAGAACATGCACAAGTGTTGGTAAGTGAAACAAAATAGCGGAAATTGTCTTTCGACGTTCCCTCAAGAAGTCCACGGGAAGGTTTAAGTAAATCCCCACACTTTTACTGAAACATAGGGAAAGGGGGATTGACTTGACTGTCACTTACCTACTTTGACTTGATTTATTACTTTGACCACGAGTGATTTAGTATTTGTAAACATATTAACACTTGACATTGGCTAAATGCACAAGCCGGGCGAAGCCATTTAGGAAAAAAGAAAAACATTAGAAATAAGAATTAGAAATAGCAATTATAGTTATAACAGTGTTATTGGTCTGTGCATTCGCCCGGATAGCGAAGGGTGCGGGTTCGAGTTCCGTCTGCTGCCTGGCCCGCGTGGAATATTGTCTAGTTATATTTTCTTTAGATTCATAGATACTACTTACCGACGGCATCGCGGCTGGTGGCTGAAAAATGAACTATATATTATACAAATTTTCAGTAACATGCGGGCTATTGCTTTAGCACGTAGCGATCGTTCTCCTTCTCTCTAACCTCCATGATACAGGAGCAGGAGAAAATTATGTTAAGTTGACTTTTAAGTTTAGAGAATCATTTCAGAATCGACACCATATTTCCTTATTTCTACAAGGCTGACTTCTGTTCTTTAAAATTTTAGTTTATTTATTTATTTAAAAAGCACTGAAACAGTATATACATTGCACTTTACATAAAACTTTTTACTTTTACCAGGTGCTTATACATATACCTTTTATAGACGTACACAACATTGGTAGCAATAGTACTGAATTATAAAAAGAAAAAAAAAAGAAAACTTACGAGTAAAACTAACAGCAATTCTAATATGTATTAAAAAACGAGCGAGCCTTACAGTAGTCGCGTATGATGTGTAACATTTGAAACCTCACCTTATATTAGTAAAAAAAGAAATAAATCCTACTACAAAAGGAATAAGTCATTTGAACATTATGTTCTAAAATCAAATCAAATAGTGCGCGCTTCCCAAACTTCCTGTTATACACTTCCATTCCACTTCACGGAATCACTCCCACAGTCCCACAAATTGCACGAAAGCGAGAGGAAAGATGTTACACATCAATAATTTACAGTATGAGTTCATCCAGTTTACATCTAAAATAAGGTAACGATAACGAGTTACGGAAGATGTCAATCATGTCAAGGTTACTGCGTAAATATGCTTTCGAACATCTTCATTCCATTCAGCCAAGGACGTATAAAAAAAGGCGGACAGAATTTCGGCTAAGACAAAAGTGAGGCACCGTAATGGCGGCGGTTATCTATGAGTGAGTGAATGCAGGGTTGCTAGGTTAGCCAATTTTTTACCAAAAAAAAGATCAAAATATTTTAATTGTTCAAAATTTTACCCGACTGCGGTGGATAATGTTTTTCGAGCGTGTATGCATGTATGTATGCCCAATAATAAGGCGCCAAAATGAAACCTTTAGAAAAAAAATGCTTATAACCCGTCAAGCGAGGTATCAAAGTAAAGGGTCTTAAAAGAATGCAGTGGATCCCCGGTAGTCCGACAAACATTTTGCAGGGCAGTGTCGAACTATCGAATTTGTCGGATTATAGAGTACTGCCTAAGACCCCCTATAGTCCGAATTTTTTTACAAAAGAGTACCTTGTAATCCGACAAATTACAGATCCAATGATAAGATTACAAAACATACTTTGTTATGTATGTCAAATTGAGTAAATTAAACAACACAATAGAAAGATTATGTTTTATTATAAAAGTAACGTCAAATGCTATAGAATTTACAAAAAAATATAAAAAACAATACCCTACGCGTCGAGCACAATTGTGATGGTGCGTACAAGTTGTAACTTGTTCAATCGTGAATTAGCGAATACTTGTATGTAATAGACGATGTCGGATTATAGGGGGTGCCGCATTAGCCAGGGGCCGGATTACCGGGGCTCCACTGTATTTAGAAAATAGGTATGCAAATCGTGTACTTAAAAAAAAAACGTGTTGCACTCGGGGACTGCCGCGGTAAAGCTATTGCATAGAATTATTTGTCAACTTATGCAATAATACTATTTATTTATGCAGTATTTTTTTTCTTTGATATTAATTCAAGTTTTTTCTCTGATATTAATAGATGGCGAGGCAGGCCTTATGATATTTTATTGGGCAAGCACAGCAAACAACAGCATTGCCCGGCGCCAAAAAACTTCCACATGCTCCACAGTTTACCACCTTTAGTCCAAAAATTATAATTATAAAGTCTAAATAAAAGGGAGACAAATAAAAATAAGAACAGGTGCTGGGGTCTAAAACAAATATATAAAAAATGGAAAAAAAATATAATAAAAAATAAAACACGAGTGCGGGATTTGAACCGACGACCGCGGTGATGCGTCGAACGTTGGTCCCGTGGCAAAAATTTAACACACTGCACCGTTTCGATCGATACTGGAAAGGCGAAAATTGTGTTCATACGCACTGTTTTTAAGTTGGCATTGATCGAAATGTTTTGTTTAAATATTATCGTTAGTAATATTATTTATCGTTGAAAATATTTTAAAACTTTTGTTTCATTGTAGGTTTTTTTAAATAATCAAAGTTAATTCAAACTATTATATATAACAAATATTGACTTTTTTTATATTCCACTTTTTTTTCAACACTGAACTTAGCGCACTTTGCTGGTGCATTTGAAAACTAATTCACGTTCCAATTAATCATCAGCATAATTCGGCATTGGTAGCCACTGAGTCGCATTATGCTCTGTAATTGGAAAACTAACATGAAGTCTGTTTTTATTATTGTATGAAAAAGTTTATATTTTCCACTTTTCATAAGCCAGAGTAAATCACCTAAATATGCCTGGCCAGGCCTGCATTCTTTTTTATATTTCTTAAATTAACAAAACATGCATTGAGTACTGTTTGTAATTGAGGAGTTCCATTGTTTCCCTCCGAAAATACTCATCAGCTCTGCACTTAATTAATACAGCCATCTCGCTAATAAACTGATTCAAACAAAAAAATAATCATCAAAATCGGTCCACGAATCTCGGAGATATGCACGAACAACAATTGAAAAAAAAAATAACAAATATGACGTATAGAACCTCTTTCTTTTTGAAGTCGGTTAAAATTTTTAATTTACCTTTTGAGGTACTGCATGCGTAACAACACGCTGGAGTCCTCTTTTAGTAGTATATAAGTCTCCAGCTTCAAAATGGATACTGCAAATGACACTATATTTATTTGGAATACATTCATCATCTCCGTTACAATTCCTAATAACTTGGATCCAGTCATTTCTCCATTCTACATTTTCTTTAGGGAATCTGATAAAAAAGAATAACAAATAATAGATTGAAGCTAATGTCACCCCAATTTCCCATATTTTAGGTAATATGGTTACGTGAACATTGACAACACTGGACTTTAGATTAATTATTTTGTGCTTAGAATGAAAATTGATTTCGATTTCTAAAAACTAGAAAAAAGTGATTATATTGTTCATTTACCTATGAAACGTGATTCCTGGATTTTTTTTCTTTCGGTCACTACGGTTTTTACACCATTTTACCACGCAAGACATCTTGTTTTAACTTATTTTTATCTCCACTTAACGTATCGGCTGCTTTGACGTTTGCACGCGTAATGGCTGACTATGGTGTGAATGTGTGTGTGCCGGCTTGTACATATAGCGACCTGGCCGACTCTGAGCGACACAGTTTGTTGTTTACCGGGACTCTGTCCGCCTTTTTTTATACGTCCATGCATTCAGCAGCCAAGGGCGCATTGCGTCCCAAATTAGTCCTTGCTGTAGGTAAGGTAAAGGTGCTCCGATAGGGTAACGTGGCAAGCGAGCCGCTGCTGAAGCAGTTCACTACACTTAATCTACCTATTGACCAGCCTGTAAAAAACATTAAGTCCTGTTTCATAAGTCTTTGACACAGAGATTTCATATTGAGGAATGCTAACCTGTGGACATAAGATGATATGTGCGATATGCCCGGGGAGATGAATGCCAGGTTTGATCTTCTTGGATGAGATCCATGTTTTGACGGGAAGATGATGTACCCTTAGCACGAACCATTACCGAATTCGAATAGTTTGCGAGTGCAAAAAAATTTAAGTTCTCGTTACGTACTTTGTGGCGCAGCTGTTCAAAAAAAATAGAAAATACTATATACTTTCCATACAAAAAAATAAAAAATACACAATGACAATGCGCACTCGCAAACTATTCGAATTCGATAATGGTTCGTGCTAGGGGTACGTCTATAAATTTTTAAGTCATCCGCGAACAGACCATAGTCGCAGTCCCTAATGTGAATGGTTATGTTGTCAATGAAAATGAGAAAAGAGTAAGTAGTTTATATGAGAACTAAAAAAATAAGTATACCTATCATAGTAAAGCTGCATAGCCTTTATTCTCATTTGTTCGATTCATTAGTTCGATCGTCGAACTAGTGAGATTTTTTCTTTCATTAGTTCGATAGTCGAACTACTGAGATTTTATTGTTCTCATTTGTTCCGTCTCGACCGTCGTCGAACTTATTTTCTTTATTTATCCATTTTCATTACCAGAACCTCTTAGTTATGTATGGTTTCCCGATACTTTTTTCTAAATAGTGATTTTTATAAATGTTTATGGATGCAATATTGACGAAGGTCGAACAAATGAGAACAATAAAATCTCAGTAGTTCGACGATCGAACTAATGAATCGAACAAATGAGAATAAAGCCTTAATAGAGGCAATGGAATGCACGGTCCCGAGAGCAGCCGCAGGGCCGATCCATTGTAAGTAGTGTTCGCATAAATAAAGCAAACGCAGGGGCTGGCCTATGGTCTATTATGTATAATATTAACCCTGCTTCAAAACGGAGGTTCTCGATTAGGTCAGTCTGTTCTTTTTTATGTATGTACACCGTTTACTCCGAGATTTAAAAGAGAAAAAAAGAGCTTATTATTAAAAAGAGCTTACTGCGTCATTACTCCAAAAATATTAATAAAATGGCTTCATGGGTTCAAAATTTTATCACAATAAATTACAAAAAATATATTAGAAAGTTTATTTCAGAAAAAAACAACACAAATACGTAAATGAAAATTTACTAACTTCATCTATTACAAACAATTCAAATATTACAGTGTAATTATAGCTTCTTTTAGTTCTTTGAGTTCTTTAGCATGCATCCATTTGATACCCGTCGCAGAAGCTGGACTTGCCGGTCTGCATATGCACCTAAACCAAAATTTAATACAAATGATTTATGTTTTCATATAAGTAGTAAAGTAAGAATTAGTATTTTAATCTAAAGAAAATTTAACTAGAAAAAATCCGCGGAAGGCAGCAGACGGCACTTGAACCCGGACCCTTCGCCATCCGGGCGAATGCACTGACCATTACGCTACCGCGGCCCTGAGAGCCGTCTCGAATCTTCTCCAGCCTTCCTTAGGGTACGGCCAGAGTGCACTCAGATTCAGATTCAGATTCCGAAAACAAGCGCGAGAAATAAACAGTGTAGTCTAAGCAGGTTGCCTGCTTTTTCTCTCACTTGTTTTCTGAGTCTGAATCTGAATCAGGAGTGCACTCTGGCCGTACCCTTCGGCTACACTGTTTATTTCTCGCGCTTGTTTTCAGAATCTGAATCTGAATCTGAATCTGAGTGCACTCTGGCCGTACCCTTAGGCTGCAAGGCAGCGCCATCTCTTCGCATTGTAGGTATAACCAACAACATTCATTAGATTTAAACATCTAGCAGATTAATGCTTAAAAAAATAACATAACTTTCTTTAGATTTAAAACATCCAGCAGTTACAATATTATAATGTAGCAGGTATGTAGTAAAAAATATCAGTAGGTACCTACCCTAAGCACGAACCAATATCGAATTCGTAACGTTTGCGAGTTTGAAATGTCATTGTTAAATGTGTACTGACTTTTAGTTCTCGTTACGTACTTTGTGGCGTTGCTGTTCAAGTTTCCATACAAAAGACATTGACATTTCGCACTCGCAAACTATTCGAATTCGATAATGGTTCGTGCTAAGGTACAGCACATGCAGCATATGATAACAATATATAACGTGATTCTGGCTTGATTTGCATTGTCAGTGAAAAGGAGACTGTTGGCAAATTTAATTAAGATTAGATAATGAGGGTAGGGTAGCATAGCATAGCAGACCGTCATAAAAGATAATGATACAAGCTATTAATAAACAAAGGAAAAGATTTTAACGATAAGTTAGCCTACGCAATACACAAATATTAATTTGCACTCTTAGATTAAAACAAAAAGGGAAGATACGGCATTCGCGGCTCAAAAGTGATCCGCTTAAATTGTGGTTCACGACCATAATTCGCTTTAGTCACAATTGAACATTCAAACACGCTGCATGTACACTCAATATAACAATATTGCGTATATTCTGTGTTATGAAGATATAACAATGCCTTCGATGCTTTTTTAAAGAACACAAATAGTTCAAAATCAAATGCCCCGGCAACACTTTTCATTCGTAAAACTGTGAACATTTTTTTCTCAAAAATCACGGTTTTCGTGAATATTATTTACGTAATCGCCATTTTGTAAGCAAGAAAAGGAAAACAATACTCTGCATTGAAGCGTATAGTTCTGTCTCGCTCGCTCGATTGATATTTATATACAGACGTGTGCGTAGCGAGAGTTGCTTATGTAGTTGAGTCGGATCATATTTTATTTGATGCTAGTATGAGCGTACCGTATCTACCCTTTTTGTTTTAATCTAAGTTTACACTCTGTTGATCAACAGAACAAGTCTTCTAGTGCTCAAGTTTTTCTAGCTAAATCTACCATCATCATCGCCATCATACGTAATAATTAGAAATGTAGATAAAAAAAGCTCAAACCCAATTTTTTTCCCAAAAAGATTCTCCAGTCGGTTTTTGCAAAACAGCCACGGGCCCTGGTTCTTGTGCTCCTCCTGGCAGAAGAACACCTTGGCCTGCTCGTACTTGCAGAACTCCCGCAGCACCAGGTCGTAGGGGAACGGGTACACTTGCTCTATGCGGCACATGGCGATCTTGTTCTCAAGCTTCTTCTCTTTGCGCAGCTCGTCGATAGTGATGGCCACTTTACCCACGCAGAAAAGTAGCTTCTTCACGTCTCGCGGGTTCCTGGACGCCGGCCCGCTTTCCGGAATAACTCTATGGGTTCGTCAAAATTATTATTGTGGATATCGTTTTAAATTTTAGCAGAGTATCGGACAGGTAAGACGTTACAACTGTAGTCTTTCTCCTCAGTAAGTTAGCAGTCAAATAACAATACTTTTTGATGGTGTTGTGTTTCTATCGTTGAGTAAGGTTTCCAAGGCTTTACCGCCAACCCCCGCATTCATACGACCGAGAGCCATGATATTTTTAGGTTTAGAGTAAAAACGACTGGCCTGGCCACACCTTCTCCCTTAGCATGAGCACAGCGATATGATATATACCGCGTTTTTATCACGCTCAATTGTCAAATTACTATAGAGTTTGTTGTTGGAATGCGGTAAGTTTGTATGTCTAATAAAAGTTTGTAATAATCATAATCAAAATCATTTATTCAGTTTAGGCTGTTACAAGCACTCATGAATGAGTGCTTGTAACAGCCTAAACTGTTAACTAACTGTTACTGCCTAACTTTCATGGTCACTAACATTATAGTAATATAAGTTATTTACGGGATTGTTACCATGTACCTTGTTTTTAGCGAGTTTACGATATTTTTTTATTTTTATGTTATTAGATATTTTCGCCGAGAACAGTTTCGAGGGAATAGTGAGAATGTGAACAGTGGTACGGGTATCGAACATAATAAAAGACTTCGTAGGAGGGTAGACCGATACGTCTGCCAATAACAGCCTACCCGCAATTACTTCAGTTACTCCGTGATCATGGCGCTTGCAACAGTGCCAAAATATCGGAAACTCGCTAAAAACTAGGTACATGGTAACAATCCCGTAAATAACTTAAATTACTATAATACTATAGACTTTGACAGGGAGACTACGGGGACAGACATTCAATCAGACTACAAAACACTTTTATCAAACGTCACGTCCGTCGTTATCATATTCCTCCCAAAAGAATAAGTACTCAGATCAAGGAGGTTTCTTTCTTATCCCTTTCATTAATCACTACATAGTATAAAACAAAGTCGCTTTCTCTGTCCCTATGTCCCTTTGTATGCTTAAATCTTTGAAACTACGCAACGAATTTTGATGCGGTTTTTTTTAATAGATAGAGTGATTCAAGAGGAAGGTTTATATGTATAATACATGCATAATATAGTAGAGAAACACTGATAATTTTAGAGGTTTTTAATATAAGGTCGTAAATAAACACATTTTTTTGCGCTTACATTGCAAACGCTGGCTGAACCCAACGAGATAGATCAAAATAATGTACTACAGTATTGTACACCTTAAAAAGTTCTACAAAAAAGTCCGCGATGGTATATGCCTATCTCTTTGGTATAACCCACAATAACCATTTTTTAATTACTTATTACGAGAAAATAATGGCTTATTCACGAACAAGCGATTTTAAGCAATACAGCATTAATCCTTATCCAATTAAGTACCTTAAATACATTGTGCGTGTAATATAGATCAATATAACCCTTTACAGCATGTAATTTAAATGAATATTTTCGAAGATATTACAGATTTAAAATGCAGGAACATAGACCGGTTCGGGCAGTACTGGCCGGGGGGCCGGCCGGCGGCGCGTGTCTTTAGTAATTAGGTATTTAAAGAAAGTCATTGTGTTTAATAGAAACCTGAGAACAAAAATATATCTAAACTACAGCTCTGCACCGAAGCGAAGCGAGGGCGGGCCACTAGTCTATATATATACAAAACTCAAAGGTGACTGACTGACATAGTGATCTATTAACGTACAGCCCAAACCACTGGACGGATCGGGCTCAAATTGTGCATGCAGGTAGATGTTATGACGTAGGTATCCGCTAAGAAAGGATTTTGATCAAGTGTACCCCCAAGAGGATAAAATAGGGAATGAAATTTTGTATCAAACTTTGTCAATTTTAAACCGATCGGGCTGAGACTTTGCATGCAGGTATAAGAAGAATCGTAGATGAATTTCATTGTGTATAATACAAGCCTGAGAACAAAAACTGTAGTCTACACTTCAGCTCTACACCGAAGCGAAGCGAGAGCGGGCCGCTAGTCTATATACATAAAACTCAAAGGTGACTGACTGACATTGTGATCTATCAACGCACAGCCCAAACCACTGGACGGATCGGGCTCAAATTGTGCATGCAGGTAGATGTTATGACGTAGGCATCCGCTAAGAAAGGATTTTGATCAATTCTACCCCGAAGCCATGCGAGGGCGGGCCACTAGTTTGCTATATAAATAAAATAAATAAATAAATAAATATTACCAACACTCACACCAATTAGCCTAGCCCTAAAGTAAGCACTGTAAGGCTTGTGTTATGGGATGTTAGGAAAGGGTAACGGATAGAATACATATACAGTACATATATAATTATATTTATATACAAATACATATTAAACATCCATGACTGGAGTACAAATGCTCGTGTTCAGCACACAAACATCTGCCCCCACCGGGATTTGAACCCGGGACCTCTCGAGTCGGCGACACCATGAAACCCGGCGTACAAACCACTCGGCCACGGAGGTCGTCAAATAATAAGAATATAATAAGAGCATTGTGCACAAATTATAAAAAAATAGAAATAGTATGCGATGCACTTGTTACTTTAAGGTCGTGACTCATTCTTTCATGATCAAGTGTTCATTGATAAACTGATATACAATTATCAGTTTATCATTCGGCTATTTTTTATTCGTTTCGATGGAGATTACAGTGGCGGCCGCGCCGAAACGACCGACTTACTTTTCCGATTATGTTTGCGATAGCACTAAGAGGATCATTATAAAATTGACACTATTTGCACCGATTTTTAATCAATTTTCCTTAGAAGTAATAATCGTATAATTTTCTCTATTAAAAAAAAATAAATAAATAATCAAAATATTCAATTAAAATCGCTACTGAATATAATTTATTAGAACATATGTGATTTGCACTTGTATGAAATTCAAACACGTATTCCGAATATACAAACTAGAAACATGTGGATAAATATTATAAATATGAATACCTATAACTGTTACTTTATTACAAAAAATAAAGATGTGGTTTTTGGTTCTACTACACCAATGGTCAAGAGATGGCGCTGTAGTCTCCTGAATCGCGCTTTGGTTCCGTTGTTCCAGATTAATAAATACTTTTGATAGGCCTTCACAATGCAGTCGTTAGCACCCACTAAATAGAGATTCTATTTCTATTTTGTTGGTAGATTTTCTTAATGTGCGGTAAACACAAAAGTAACAGCATGAATTTGGTCGCTAATTTTTGTGTTACAGTGATGCGCGCGCATCTTAAAATTTCACTCTCATCATTTTTTCATAACGCGCCTAAAGAAGTATAACTTCAAAAACGTTCATAGGTACAGCACTTCGTCTTTATAACTTTTCTTTTTATTAGCAATATAGCAATATGAGGAGCTCGATGGCGCAAGTGGTTAGCGCGTTCCGCTGCGATCGTTGAATTTAAGCAACTTTCGCAGTGGTCGGTCATTGGATGGGTGACCGAAAATTTAATATCTCGAGCTCCTCCGTGCTTAGGAAGGCACGTTAAGCCGTTGGTCCCGGCTGCATCTGCAGTCGTTAGCACCCACCAACCCGCACTGGGCCCGCGTGGTGGGTCATGGCCCAATCTCCCTATTCCACCCATAGGGAAGGCCTGTGCCCCAGCAGTGGGGACATTAACAGGCTGAAGATGATGATAGCAATATGTAGGTATGTACCACGTATGTACTTATCCTAGATACTGGGTGTATTCCGAAATATACAGCAGTATACTGGCGAGTGGTAATGACGTCTTAAATCCGACGCCATATTGTACTGGAGTTCTACCATATTTTTACCGGGAAAACGAATGTGACTTATGGCGGAGCGTGCGTTAGAAGCGTCCAAATTTTATTGAAGTTATACTTCTTTAGGCGCGTTATGAAAAAAATATGAGAGTGAAATTTTAAGATGCGCGCGCATCACTGTAACACAAAATTTGAACAGCATGAAGTTGGTCGCTTTAGCGACCAACTTCATGCTGTTACTTTTGTGTTTACCGCACATTAAGAAAATCTACCAACAAAATAGAAATAGAATCTCTATTTAGTGGGTGCTAACGATTGCATTGTGAAGGCCTATCAAAAGTATTTATTAATCTGGAACAACGGAACCAAAGCGCGATTCAGGAGACTACAGCGCCATCTCTTGACCATTGGTGTAGTAGAACCAAAAACCACATCTTTATTTTTTGTAATAAAGTAACAGTTATAGGTATTCATATTTATAATATTTATCCACATGTTTCTAGTTTGTATATTCGGATTACGTGTTTGAGTTTCATACAAGTGCAAATCACATATGTTCTAATAAATTATATTCAGTAGCGATTTTAATTGAATATTTTGATTATTTATTTATTTTTTCAAATTAAAACTGAACTTTATTGACTGTGTCCTTTTCCAGACTTTTTATTAATTTATTGTAATTAATTATTTGCATGCAATTAAAAACTAATTTTAAACGATGCCAAAGAAGGATAACTTCTCACGCGCCTACATAAGTACACGCACCCATTTTTTTCTTTTTTATTTAAAGAACAATAACGGCATCCGAATAAAAGGAATTCTTTTTAATTGATGAGGCAAATCTTCTTTAGTCACACTATTTTCACTATTTCATTGATTTATGACGTCAGTGCACTGGCCAGTATATTTCGGAAAAATGTACCAGTCACCAGTATAACGTCGATTCATGACGTCATTAGCACTAGCCAGTATACTGGTATATATTACGGAATACACCCACTATCTCCCCCAGTTTGTCTAGTGTCATCTCTGACATTTCCTAGATATAATATATAAATTAATAATAAATATTTCCAACACTCACACCAATTAGCCTAGCCCCAAAGTAAGCACTATAAGGCTTGTGTTATGGGATGCTAGGGTAACGGATAGAATACATATACTGTACATATATAAGTATATTTATATAGAAATAGATATTAACCATCCATGACTGGAGTACAAATGCTCGTATTCATCACACAAACATCTGCCCCCACCGGGATTCGAACCTGGGACCTCTCGAGTCGGCGACAACATGAAACCCGGCGTACAAACCACTCGGCCAAGGAGGTCGTCAATATAAAGATGTCATTACCGTTACAGCTTCGATCAACGTAGGCAACGGACTTTGCTCTCTGGATAAATTGTGATTGTGGGTCCTCCTATTGTGCTTCTGGTAATAAGTATTCTCGCGGGTGGATTCATCATCATCATCAGCCTTTTAATGTCCCCACTGCTGGGGCACAGGCCTTCTCTATAGATGGAATAGGGCGATTGGGTCATGACCCACCACGCGGGCCCAGTGCGGATTAGCGGGTGCTAACGACTACAGATGCAATGGGGACCAACGGCTTAACGTGTCTTCCGAAGCACGAAGGAACTCGAGATAGAAGATTTTTGGTCACCCATCCAATGACCGACCAATGCGAAAGTTGCTTAACTTCAACGATCGCAGCCGAACGCGCTGATCACCAGCACTATCGTGGGTGAATTACTCGTTAAGTATTGGCTTACCTTTGGAACTCTGTGCCGGGTAAAAAGTCGTCGAACTTGGATCGGTAGAAGGGGTGCTTCAGACCGACCTTGGGCGTCATCAGTATGAGTGGCTTGCGGAACGGCAACGCAATCTGCCGCCGAATGAGATGGAAGTAGTTCGCTGGAGATGTCACGTTAGCCACTATCCAATTGGCTGCACGGAGTTGTTTCACTGGAATAAAAGTTATTAGCACTTTGTAAAACATAGTCTCCTGCTTGTCTGTCTTTCTGTATGTCCGCGATAATCTTTATAGCTAGGTGCTGTAACGTCCGTTACGTTACAGCCTCCTTGTTTGGGTAAACTCTTTGTTCATGTAATGCCTACGGCTGGCAGTCATATTAAAAAAGATTTGAAATTGGGAATCTTCTGTCGTTTGATAGAAGGTTCCAGCAGATAGACTTCAGGCATCAAACCATACGTTGATAGATTAAGCTCAATTATTATATTCGCCTGATTTCAAATATAAAAAATATAAAATCAAAGTTGTTTCAATTATTATTACTACGCTCCCAGGGCCTACCCCTTCAGGGTAGATCGCCGCAGTACTGAACTGCTGCCGTTTTTTACTGAAGGTTTATAAATGCTATTATGTAAAAGGTCGACAACAAAACCTGTAGGCTGATGGCGGATGGGATGTATAAACCGATAGCGAGTTCGCTAGTAAATAAACCCAGCCAAGTGCGAGTCGGACTCGCGCACCGAGGGTTCCGTACAAACTCAATTTAATACCTCTACGCTTTCATTAGAAAAGAGGTAAGTAGTAACTTTATAATTTTCAAAAATATTTTTTATTATATGAAGTAACTATTACGGTTTTCGTTTTTCCCCCTTTATCTGTACTTTATGACGTTACTTCGTACTAAATTTCAAGATTCTAAGTTCGCGTGAGGTACCCTGTAGGTTTTGATTCCCGTGCGAGTTTCGAAAATTTGCGGCATAAACGGCTGTATCTTTTGATTGCTTTGGCTTAGAAGTTTGATTTTTTCACAGCTCCAAGGGACAGTAGACCTGAGTATTAGTTATGAATTTCAATTTGATAGCTCCACGCGTTCCTGAAGAAAACGCTCTTGACAGACGGACGGTCGGACAACAAAGTGATCCTCCATCCTCCATCCATAAGGGTTCCGTTTTTTCCTTTTGAGGTAGGGAACCCTAAAAATATGGCAAGTAGAACAAAGTTACCAAGGTTTCACGGTTTAAGTTACACCGATTGGATGGACAGTGGCAGTGACAACTGGATTTAAATATTTGTCAAGATTGATATGGTCAAGTATCATAAATTCAGATAACATACAGACTAAGTTCTTATCATCCAGATCTGGAATGTGATCTTCGTCGTCATCGGCTTGTTGTAAATATCGCTCAATACGCGAGGAAGAATGCTCAGGACCCTGAAAAAAATACAAAGATACTTTACATTTAGCAAAATCATTGAAACATGATAAGTATTTAAATAAGTGAACGCGCGTAGAGGTGAAGGACAAAGCTGAAAAAAAACACCTCATATTTAAACTAATTCTCATGTAGTCAGACGCTTGTGCTGCCGTGCACGATGAAGATCTGGAAGAAATACACATTTGCTTGTTCCCTGAGAACGAACAGCCTTCTCCATCTTGCTCCATACTATGGGGCATGTTTTTCATTTTTCATTTTTTTTTGTTCAAATATGGGAAAATAGTCTTCATATCGTTAGATATTATGCTTAGGTATAGCAGTCTCCCAACTAGGTGGTAACTCTGTGCAGTCTTTTCGCCGAGTGTCTGTTAAATGTATGATGATGAGTGACAGTATGGTCTGTAATTATATTGTCTCGTATGGCATGCAGGCAGGCAGGCAAGGAGCTCGATGGCGCAAGTGGTTAGCGCTTTCGGCTGCGATTGTTGAAGTTAAGCAACTTTCGTAGCGGTCGGTCATTGGATGGGTGATCAAAAATTTACTATCTTGAGCACCTCCGTGCTTCCGTAGGCACGCTAAACCGTTGGTCCCGGCTGCATCTGCAGTCGTTAGCACCCACCAATTCGCACTTGTGCCCGCGTGGTAGGACATGGCCCAAACTCCCTATTCCATCCATCCATAGGGAAAATCTATTCCCCAGCAGTGGGGACATTAATAGGCTCATCACTCACAGCGCCGTCGATGCCGTGCGGCAGCTGCACCACGATGCCGGACTGGCAGACCCACTTGCTCTCGCCGTTTACAATGAAGGTGTCGAACACCGGCTGCGCGGTGTCTGCGAAATCTCCGTACTGTGCCTCCCAGATCGATAGCAGGTGCGGGCTCGAGTACGAGTACCCCACCTCGTAACCCAACACCGCTGATGGAAAGAAAACGACCATTTGATTTTGTCAGTCAAGTTGTAATATCAGGGTAACATGCACGATCGAAAAACCCGATAAACTAAAACAACATTATAATTGTACCGTAGCGTAACAGATTTTTTAATTAGACACCACATATTGGAAGATTGTATTGCTTTTCCTTTTTTTTTAAATTTATGTATGGGGTAGGTGACAAACCGTTCGTTCTGAGCCTACCACTGCGCCATGTGGTACGACTTTACGGCCGACGCCAGCACCAATGCGCGAGTAGTTCACTTCGAGTCCCCGACGTGTAAGCAGCTATCAATAGCTCTAAAATAGTTTTCCGGTACCCGTGGCGGTGTAAGGAGCGTTTGCGGTAAGTCGCCGAACCCTTATCTTATAATACAATAATAATTTATAAATCGCCGCACGAAACTCTAGCGCTCACCGTTATTGCGCAGAAGTTATAAGATGTCTTGGAGGCAAACAGAGATGTAGCCGATTGGCTCTCCAGTCGTACCCATGCGCAGCTATCCCCCCCTCCGCGTTTTCTTCAGCGCTACAGTTACGTGCCGCGACCTGTACTTATATGTATAAGCGTGAGTTTTCAAACTCAATTTATTACGTAATATCCATTTCAGCATTAATTTTCCAGTACATGATTAGTTGATTAGAAAAACGAGATTGCTAAACGAAAATATCTAAAATTCTCACACATCTACTGAAATCGCTATATTTTGATTACGAATCATAGAGGTGATTTATACCAAATTCGCATAGCGAACTGTTGTGTAGGCTGTAGCGCGCCTGGTCCGGGTACAGCTGGTCGAGCACTCGGTACGTGGCGCCGTCCACGCCCTGATGGTGGAGTACGTGGTGCCTGTAGAACGATACACCGTAAAACACTTACACGACATTCACTTTGATACTCTAGCACAGCTATACTCTAAGTGTGTTCCGCGGAACCCTAGGGTTCCGTGATACCTCTGTCGGGGTTCCGCAAGAATTTAGAAATAAAAAAATCAAAACACCTCTCTCTGGTCGCTCCGCGGCTGTGCGGACTCCGCGGCCGCGCGGAGACAAAACGCTATGAATGTTATTTATTTATTTATTTGTATTTGTATAAGCTTGTGTTACATTAGCTGGTACAATATCTCATAAGTTTGGTCTCAACAATTTTATACTTGTACAACGCGTTCGCTCTAAGTTTGCCGGTCTGTGGAATGCGCGTACCCTCCCCCACGTGACAACAAAACTTATAATGTGTCATAGTTTTACCCAAATATCTAACGTACACAATTTTTATTGTTACAATTAAATAAAAAATTTCGAACGTCATACACTCATACCTATCGCCAGCGGCAAACTTAAAACGAGCGGGTAGTATACTTGTAAGCGCTCAGTCTCTTTGATAAAAGCCGCCTCTGAATTAGACGCTATAGTTGTCAACTAGCGACTTTCGTCTCTAACTTCAAAGGATAAAGTCGATATTGTTTACAACGCTATTTTTAAATTTCTGTTTTTATTTTTGCTTTTTGTTTATCAAAGGTGCCGACTCGAGTATTTTCGAGAATATTTGAGATCGAGTCTAGGACTAAGTATAAAAGCGGCGATCGCGCGTTGGCGTCGTCAGTTGATGATTAGCGTTCGGAGCGATAAGTTACTACCTACTTACAAGCTCGCTAGCGAGAAACTGGTGTTCATTGTTTTACTGCCTGCTGTATTCTGTTGTCTCAGTTTTATACATTTCTTCCCTGTAGGTTCTAAATTTAGTCTCTTATACGCAGTAACGATTGTGCATTATTTAAACCCCACTATCCTGACTTGTAACATTATAAATAAAGAAGAATGGAACGTTGGCTTAAAGGTGTTAAACGTGTTCCAACAACATCTTCTAATGACGCTGAATGTTCAAAAGCAATGCGCGCGGAGAATTTAGCAATCACCGATCCAGAAGATGATGCCACGAGTGCCACGACGTCAAGCTCGACGGTTTCAAAGACGAAAAAAAGGAAGTATGATGAATCTTATATCAGTTTCGGATTTGTTGATTCCAACGGCTCACCTCTCTGCATGCTCTGTAGTAAACTGCTTCCTAATAGTTCCATGGCACCTGCCAAATTGCGTCGACATTTAGAAACCGTACACCCCGAGACTAAAGACAAGAATAAAGAATTTTTTGTTCGCAAAAAAGATCAGTTATTAGAAAGTCAAAAAAATATGATGCATGTAACACAAACTACCAACGAAAAGGCCACGGAGGCATCATACTTAGTTAGCTATCGCATTGCACAAGCAGGTGAAGCGCACACTATCGCTGAGAAATTAATAAAACCATGTGTATTAGACATAACAAAATGTATGCTTGATGAAAAATCTGCAAAGCATCTTTCTACTGTTCCGCTATCAAACGATACTGTTTCACGACGAATCCATGATCTGGCAAGCTACGTCAAACAAGAACTAGTTACACGTCTACAAAATACACGATTCGCTTTGCAAATGGACGAGTCGACTGATGTCGCTGGTTTGGCTATCCTGCTGGTTATTGTGAGATATCCATATAAAAGTTCTTTTGAAGAAGACATGCTTATGTGTTCATCGCTGCTTACAAACACTACCGGGGAAGAAATTTTTAATAAAATAAATATATTTTTTGAAGAACATAATCTCAGTTGGAACAATTGCATTGACATTTGTACAGATGGGGCCAAGGCGATGACAGGTAAAACAGCAGGAGCAGTGTCACGAATGAAAAATAAAGCGCCTAATTGTAGTTCCAGTCATTGTATTCTGCATAGACAAGCACTTGCGATGAAGCAAATGCCGTCTAATCTAAAATTAGTTATGGATGAAGCGGTAAAAATAATTAATTTTATCAAATCACGACCACTACAATCCCGATTGTTCTCATTATTGTGTGAAGATTATGGCAGCAAACATAAAACACTGCTGCTCCATACAGAAGTGCGATGGCTGTCTCGGGGAAAAACTTTAACAAGGCTATTTGAACTTAGAGCCGAGTTACAAATGTTTCTTTCAGCAGATACTTCTTTTAATTTGAAGGACCGTTTGTATGATAAAACTTGGTTGTTCCGATTGTCTTTTATGGCGGATATCTTTCAAAAACTTAACGAATTAAATTTATCATTGCAAGGTAAACAGACAACAGTGTTTCAGGCCTATAATAAAATAACTACTTTTAAAAGAAAATTAGATTTTTGGATCATTTGCATTGGTAAGAAAGAAATAGAAAGTTTTACGTTACTCACTGAGTTTGTTAGCGAAAACGACTCAGAAATGTTTGAAGATAATGTGTTTGAAGAATTGGTCCAATATCTCAGTTCGATGCGCGCATCTTTTGAAAAGTATTTTCCCGAAGAACACAATACAAAAATTAAAGTGAACTCCTGGATTCATAATCCTTTTTTACCCAACTTGGAAAAGCCTGAAAACATGTCAAATGAGATATATGAATCTCTTTTAGAAATGTCATCAGACACAAGTATGGAGTCATTGTTCAAAACGACGCCTCTTAATGATTTTTGGTGCAGAATCCAAGATGAATATGCAATGCTTGGCCAAATGGCTCTGGATATTCTTCTCCCGTTCCCAACTACATATTTGTGCGAAACAGGATTCTCTACCTACGCAGCCACGAAAACAAAATATCGCAATAGACTGGACGCCGAAGCTGATATGAGACTCCAACTTTCTTCCATCAAACCTGATATCAAGCAATTGATGAAAAATAAAAAACAGTTTCATACCTCCCACTAGTTAGATTTTTTCTTTTTTAATGTTTTCTATTATTGTCCTTACCAAGTGGTGAAGTAAATAATAATTAGTAACGGATACATTGTACTTTTATTATGCTGATTAATATAGAATACACTTATAAAAATAATTGTTTTATTGTAGGGTTCCATCAAGTATTTTGCTTCCCAAAAGGGTTCCGTCATTTAAAAAGTTTGAGAACCACTGCTCTAGCACATTGATTCCCAAAGTGGTCTATATCGACCCCTAGGGGTCTATGACAACCTGCAAGGGGTCTACGTCAGCGAAAAAAAATCAATATCATGTAAGTAGGGGGTCTACCCAACACGGAAAAACATGGCAAGGGGTCTACGACACAAAAAAGTTTGGGGAACTCTGCTCTAGCAAGTGTAATCTTATGAACTACTTACTGCATTATTTAGTTAAGATGTAGGGTTACTTGAAGTCATAAAATACATATGTTGTAGTCCATGTTTTATTGAAAACTGGTAAGTCAGATCGTTCAGTACCTCTTAGACGCTTAGTCGAGAGAGGCGTAAAATGCTTTAAATTGTAAATATACCATCGAACTTTGCTGGAATGTTGCCCGTTTATGAATTACCTGTGAGCCATAGTGCCTCGTTCCACGTCTTCACCTGTGAATCGGATGTGGATTCGGTCGCGGAGTAACGAGCCGTATGCCAGGGCCTCCCCCATAGCCCAATCAGCTACGCCTGCTTTAACCTGGCAATGTTGAAAAGAACAAGTTAAGATATTTTTACATAAGCGAAATATGTTGGTTCTAATAAATTAACGGCAACAACCAGGCAAACCTCTGCCTGGTTACCAAAAACCGGACCACAGAGCAGTAACTATTCTGTGAACCAACACAAGACGGCAAGCAAATAAAAGAATCTGAATCTAGACCGAACGATGATGGTCGTCTGACTATCCCGGTGTCCTGGAGGTCTACTCTCTATCTCCGAAACGAAATTTAATTTCGTCAATTTAAGATTGTACTTAATTTGAACGATAAACTATCAATTGAATCTTTCTTTGAGTGGGCTTAAAAAATCTACACATCCATCTATATTCCATAAAAACGAACCAGAAATATATTAAGAAAAGTGCGAAGTTTCGATCGAAATTTCGTTTTTCGTTAAATAAGAGTAGTCCTGTGATCGATGCCCGGTCGTGTTAAAGTTGAAAATGAACTTTTATATTGTCTGGTAGATCCAGGCAGTTTGGATCTAAGCTATGTAGATAATACAAACAAAGAATTAATGATACCAATTTTAGTAAACACCGTGTGCGTTTGAATGCTTTCAGATATTGGGGGTCTGAGCAATATTTAGAGGGACCATTATACTTACACTGAATATCACTGAATAAATATCATGGAATATGCTGATCAATTAACCATTTTTTCCCGCTGCCCCAAGATCTTGAGAATGCCCTTGTGAACTTCGAATGCCCAAGGTTCTGGTGCTTTGCAGAAATGCTTCGAGATCGTCGATATTGTCGCGTTGTTTATGCCGGTCTCTTTGATCTTAAACGGTAACATATGGAAAAGCAATTATTTTAATCATATCGTTTTGGTAGACGGTATAGATGTCATATATATTGGCACCATTTTAATTGATAGCCCATTTAATTTCTTTCATTATCAAGTTTCTAGAATCTAGGAATGCATGAGCCGTGTCCTATAAAAGAGAATATAAATCTTACCTTCTTAGGATCTGTGGCTTCGAAAAACCCAGTCCAGGGCGTGTCGATCCAGTCCATGATGCTGAGCTTGGTGACCTTCTTGGCGAGCTCGAAGTGCTGGTTTAGAGTGTCCATGTACTCTTTCTCCCACTGTTTGACGTCTGCATCGTTCACGACGCCTTCGCTTTTGAGCTTTGCGGCGTATATTTTATCCACTACAAAATTCGTGGCGTAAATCATCTTAGTTAATTGAAACACTGAACTGTAAAATCAAATAGAAAGGATACTCAAAACTTCTTCATCATCAGCCTATTAATGTTCCCATTGCTGCCCCTTTAGCATGACCACCGAAACAGGATATGATAAAGCTTTTTATCGAGTCTCAACAGTCAAAGTCCACTGTAGTCTGACAGTTAATGCCGATGTATCGCTTTATCATATCCCGTTTCGGTGGTCATGCTAGAGGGGCTGGCGTACAGGCCTTCCATTGTATCCAGTGCGAATGCGTAGGTACTCAAAACTTACACTATACCAAGTAGGTACATTCTTTTCATTTCATTTCAAATCAGGCTTTCATGATGACAATCTCAAAACAGATATTAAAGAATTCTTAAAATCGGTTCAGTAGTTTTTGAGTTGGTTTTTTACAAAAGCAAATCTATCCTCTTCATAATATTTATAAAAAAAAAACTGCGACCGATCTCCTGTAGAAGTTTCGTTACCTGTCTCCATCTGCCTTATCTTCTTGTACATGAAGGGCTGCGTGAACATGGGCTCGTCCTCCTCGCTGTGGCCGAAGCGGCGGTAGCACACCAGGTCGAGTACCACGTCCTTCTTGAACCGGCAGCGGAACTCAATGGCTACGCGCGCCACGTAAGCCACGGCTTCCGCGTCGTCCCCGTTCACGTGCAGCACGGGTGCGTCCACGCACTTCGCGACGTCTACGTAGATCATGGGATTCGTTTTATTAAAAACTAGCTGACGTTCTGACGAATTATCAAACAATGATAATGCGTGATAATTTTTTTTTTGCTGTTAGATGCTAAATTTTTTTGTACATAGTTTCATACTTAATGTATCAAATCAAATCATCTTTATTGCGAATATAGGTTATAAAGTTGTTACATAGACACATTTTAGTACAGTACAGCCATATTCTGCCTTATCGGCATGCATTAGAACATTTATATAAATCATTAATTATTTTAATGTAAAATTAATAAATTTAACATAGTTTATTCGAAATGTCAAACGAAAATTTTTTCTATACTTAGTCTAAAAACTTTTGTCTTCCAAAAATTCACGGACCGTTTAGTAACATTTTTCTGTTAAAAAATATTGCAATTTGTTTTTCAATATATTGGTCACGGTAATTTCTCGCACATTTTCAGGTAATTTACTATAAATACAAGGAGCATTGCAAAACACACTTTTCCTAAATAGTGCCGTATTACAGGGGACTACACAAAGTTTTCCAATATGGCGTTCACGACTTCTGCCCTTAAATATTTTAATATTATTTTTAACATAGTACTTAAATTTATGTAGCAGACCTTCCTACATGAAAAAAAGGTAGTAAAAATTTGTATATTAGAAGGGAAAATCACGTCCGTATTCCCGGTGGGAGTGGACGGAGTCCTGCGATCCCTAAATCGCCGAAAGTTACTTTAGCATATTTAAAAGGGGTTAAAATTGGTTTCAAGGTTTTTGTCCAATATTCTCCAAACACAGTCAATCCTTTAGTCGACCCTTATGTGACGACTTACTTGAAAATTAAGAGTAGTTTTGTTTTTTGGAAAGCAATACCTAATGCGGTAGATTTATTCATATTGAAATAAAAACTATGATATTGATTACATATCATATTCCTCCTGTTTCCTTGCCAAAACATAAGCATAATTTCTGTCGCTTTAGATTTGTATATGATATTTTCCTGTTATATTTTTTATAAATCTAGTATAATCACTGATTTGGAGTGAATAACAAAGCTCAGCTTACATATGCGTACCGTAATACCGAAATAGAACAAAAAATTTATGCGTGTCGTGGCGTGAGTTGTCAATTGCGAAAAATGGGTTTATAATAAATTTAATTTTAAAAATACTTCTTGCTTTATTTTTTCTGTGACTTTTAAAAAAAATCTTTTATACAAATTTTGTCCTGACAAAAATGTTGATAATTACGGTTCAGTCGTTCGGAAATGATGCTCACATACTTTTTGTCGATTCATTTATGTACATTCCTATAAAGATAGACCAAGCGACCCACTCTTGCTTTGCATGCGAAAGTTTTAGCTGTTACTCGGGAATAAGGTGGTTTTCTACTGGTGAGATTTTTTCAAAATAGCTTCAGTAGGTAGTTTAGAGCTTAGTTACTTTCTACAAACAAATTTGCAACTGTTAATCTGCAATTTTAATCTAATTTTACTTCTTTTAAATTATGGTGTAATTAATAATTATATCAATGATATAATACGAGTATACATATCCATACTTCCATTCACACTAATATTATAAATGCGAAAGTGTGTGTCTTTCCGTTTGTCTACTACCTCTTCGCGCTACAACCGCTGAACACATTTAGATGAAATAGGGTAGATAGATAATTTGAGTTCCAGGGAAGGACAAAGGATAGTTTTTATCACAGAATTCATCCTTATCCAATCTTTTCACGCAGAGGAAGTCCCGGGCACCCTGTAGTAAGAAATAAGTCGTCCTATGCCAATGAATACCTACGAGACCTTAAGGTAAACATAAATTATAGCTAGAAATAGCAAATGAGAAATTAACAAGATTGCAACTATAATGTTTTAATGGAATCTCCGATGTTTTGAGAAGCAATTAAAATAGATCGATAAGCAAAAATCAATCATTTATTCAGTTTAGGCCGTTACAAGCACTTGTTAAGGTCAAGAAGCTACGCCATCGGTTCGCAAAACTACGGCGGGAGACCTTGTACTGAGAAGAACCGGCAAGAAACTCAGCAAGGGCTATATTTTTCTCCCTGCATTGTTATATACAGAGTCGTCAAGTTGAAAAATGACTTCAGAGATATTTCTGCTTTGGTTTTAAACTTACCTGAACAATATGGCGAGCTCCTGGCGAAGCGCGGGTCGGTGGTGTACCCGATCTGGTTGTTGCAGACGATGTGCAGGGAGCCGTGCGTGTCGAACTCCGGCAGGTTGCTGAGGTGCATGGTCTCGAACACAACACCTTGGCCGGTGAAGGCGGCGTCGCCGTGCATTATGATTGCCATTGCCTTATAACAGGAAGTGTATGGTCTCATCAACGCACATACTGAGCTGACATAGCGACTTACTTTGGTTCGCGCGTCATAATAGTTAATTTTATTTATATTATACATTAATTACATGAGTACGTTAAGAGCGCGAATTCGAAACAGTCAAGCAAAGAATCACCTACTATATATATTTTATCTGTATTTACGTTCGGCTGCAATAAATATACATATTTAACTTTGGTGACTTTTTTACTTGCGTACCTACTGTAACAACTATCATGTACAGTGTTGACAGGTCCGATTTTTAAAAATCGGGACGCGTTACAGTAGATGTAGGGAAAGATCTACAAGAAAAACAGTAACGACCAGCACGAATGTGTTTCTGTGACTTCTAGTTTCTAATTTTTTAGACAATAACATTTATTTTATAATTATTAAGGTTACCTACATGGCGGAAAATGCAATTCAACATGCAATTTCATAAAGAAATTCATATTCTAAAAAAACAGGAGATTCATGTAGAAAAACAGTAGAACAGGTGAAATTTCAGAAAAACAGGAGATCTCCTGTAAATCCAAATCAATTTGGAACAGGTTTACCTCCTTTTTATTAGTCTTTATAAAACCACTGTAAAATATATTTTGATGGTGTCGTGTTTCTGTCATTAAGTAAGGAATAAGAGTTCCAGGATATATGTAGGTAAGGGCGATTCCTTCGCGGACAATTGTAAACGTTTGTCGTCAGGTGCGAGGTGTAATAGTATTAAGATTTTTAGCGGGTAGTCCCCTCGCCGAGCTGTAAATGCACAAACTGAAGGCGGAGGAGGCCAAATTTTCCCCAATTTGCTACTTCCGGTGTGCCGGTCATACTTCAAGCATTTCCTAAACAATAATATAAAGTTCTAAGGGGATAGGGCGATACCCTACTCCATCCCATGCCTGCCCTGTCCATGCTGTCAACTTGCAAGTTTGTGACACTCTAGTGTCGCAAGCATACACTGGAGTATAAACATTTTGAGTCAGTCAGGTTCCAAAAGGAACACGTGTGTGACAAACAAGGAATTCCATATTTAGGCGGAGGTGCGATTTTTTTAGTGTTTAAGCATTTTTGCAGCAGTCCCATCTTGCATTTTAGGCACTGTGGTCATAACCACTAAATTCAGCCCTGCATATCAACGCTTATATCTGAAGAAGATCTTTATGTGCTGTGCTGTTATTACCTTATCTCCGTTATTGTCTCCCCTCCAATGCTGCTCGGCTTTAGTTTTCCCGACTACGACTGGCGACACGACCTCCAAATGAGATGGGTTGGCGCTCATCGACACCTTGATATACCTATTCGTTCTTCTGATGAACCGGTGAATGTATGTTCCCAAGTGATATTTGATATCACCAGAGCCCTACAAAACAATTGTCTAAGTAGATTTTGGTGGACAGGTGATTCGTAGAGCAGCTATATTATGTAATAATAATAATGTACATCTACCCATAGCCTTATAATGGTAACGAGACTTAATTAACCTTCTACGACCTAATGAACTTATACTTACAAGGACTTTAGAAAAACTTGGTTTATGGAAAAATAGTCCTAGTAACCCATTGTTTTCACTCCTATATTTGCGTTAGCAATACCTTAGCGATCGATTTAATCCTTAAAATTCTTCCACTTTCGTCTCACCCATGAATGCGGAAATTAAAAAAACTATCCCAGCAGTCTCTATCACATTCCAACTCCTCAAACAGCATCCCCTGCATCCAACATAGCTATAACAAATTTAATCATTCATCGATCCCTATCGAACAATCTCAAACAGTCAGCTCCTTTTTATGAACAGTTTTGACTCTTTGTCTTTCTCTCCCCCCGTTATCCTTAAGTCCCCAAATGTAATTCAGACATTCTTTAACAACCTCTGAACACACTGGCAAAAATGGACTAAATTATGCAGTTCGTTATGAGTCCGTTCTAATAAAAAACCTATTTCAGAGAAAGCGGGTTCGCGGCCCCTTTACAAACGGGTTGGTCTTTGGGGTTGGTTTTTTACCCACTGTTCACGCCCCGCCCTCAGCGAGGACAGTCGCCCGGTGAGCCACCTGCCAGCAGGCGGTGGACTTAAGTAGGGGCAAACAGAGTCAGTCAATTATTTGAGTAAACAGTTGTGGAGTCATATCTGGGTCAGCGAGTCTAGTTTGGAAGGCATTATACACAGATGCTGCTCGACTGCACGATAAAGGATTCATTGGAACTGCGGTATATTTTCCGACACAAAAATCATTTTGAGTTTAAGATTGCCTCCACAAACCTCAGTATTTATCGGTGAAGCTATTGCTGTTCAGGTAGCTGTTCTATTTATACAGTCTCACGGTTTGAATAACTCACTTAATTTTTCTGACTCCCGAAGACAATTACAAGCAAGCAAGTTTCTTAACTTGGTACCTACCTACTTCTGTAATCTGTAGATGTCCACAATATCGCACAACTTACCGGTTCCTTTGGTTCCATTGGCTTAAATTGTGCAAATATATCCGTCAATTGTTTGCGACACACATTGACCAGCATATTTAACCGACCTACAAAGAAGATCAGAATTTTAATAAGTATCAATTTATCAAACATCAACTTGAGCCTTCAATATTTGCCAGATGTTGCACAAACTTAGTATTAAATAAGAAAGGCTTTTGCAGCTAACCCAGTCGGACTCGAAACCGCAACTTTTTGTCATATATCCGGATTCGGACGATAGTTCTTTCTAATACCTTCCGTTAGGATTCCTACAGCAGACGAATGCACAAAGGAACAGTGGTTGTACTCTTAAAATCGTCAATTCAGGTATTCGTTCTTCGTTGTGTCGTATCGTACCGTACCTGGTATTTAAAACTATTTGGATGCATGACCAAAAACGGTTTAGCACAAGTTACGAGGTGCTGCTCTATATCATGTTCGCTAACATTGCACCAGTTAAGGGAGGGGAGGTGCGAACAATTCACAAAATATGTCAAAATAAATTGCCTCTGTGCTGCATGGCCATAACGATGGACTCGACGCCGAGCCTCGTGGCGCTGTCCACGATCTCCTCCAGCATCACAATCATACTCTCACCGCCCTCCAGGCCGAACCGCTTCTCTGCCGGCCATTTGGTTGCGAAGTATTTCTCCAGACTGAAACGCAAGTGAGGGAGAAATGACAACTACGGAGAATGAATTTGGAAATGTACCATATCTTTGGTTTCCTAGACTTATGATTTCCTTTTCTTTCGAGAAATCTTTCATTCAGCTGTCGGGCACAATATCGTGCTCTTGCATGCCCACCTTTGAAAATCATCTGATAAAAATACTCTCGAGTTACGAAAACGTCCGTGCCTTGCGCGGATACACAGGAAAAAAGTCATGACTGTTACATTGTAAATTATGTTAGGTTATAACGTCCTCACAAGACTGCCTTGGTGAGGCGGCGCATAATCAATCTCTTCTCCTCATCGCTGCGGTCCAGGGCGCCCGGCGTCTCCATTCGCTCCCGAAGAAACTGTATGCAGTCCAGGTCGTAGATGTGCATGTACTCCATGCCAATCGAACCGCAATACACCCTCTCTAAGCGGCTGATGATCTCCCTGCAACACATAGGTCAAGAAGATAACAGGAAAACAAAAGTGTAATTTTAGACCTATCATGGACAACAGCTAAGGAAAAGATCGCTGTAGAAAACAGTGACTCAGAAATAAAGACAAAATAAGTAAGGCGCTGCGATCGCTAAGTGGCCTCGATAAAAGCGGGCTGTTGTGCGCTAATTTGAAATTTGTATATTATTCAACTAACTTCATCTACTTGTACTCGTAAACAGCTAACTTCACACATACTACTTACCGACGGCAGCGCGGCTGGTGGCTGAAAAATGAACTATGAATTCTACAAATTTTCAGGGACAGATGGGCTAATGCTTTAGCACGTAGCGATCGTTCACCTTCTCTCTAACCTCCATGTCTTTGACATTTGAAAATGATTAAACTTTGGATAAAGAACATCACGTGCCTGTTATTAGGACCCTTTTTTTGTGTCTGGGAAATGCCTTACGCATCCTTCAACCACCGGGAGAGCGAGGAGAAGGTATGTGGGACTCCTCCCTGCTCATTTCAGCCAGCCCTTGGGCTGGTTAAAATGAGCAGGGCCCTACCTATAGCCCTGAACAGGGCCACTAAAAACCAGACAATGCTCCTGCACCGTTCACCCGGCACGCATTCTGGGGACCGAGGTCCCGCCAATGCGCGCCGGGAGTGCGGGCGTGGTCGTGGCACCCGATTTCCAACTGGCCACGCATGTTATTAGGACCCCCAAAAGTATTTATATTTAATCCGCAAATAAGTTGTATGAGGATATAAACGAGTAGTTACTTAGCTGAAATCAAATTAAAATTATAAACATTTAAAAGTAAGTACATCTACAATTCTACGCTAATCGAAAACCAAGTAAGTTTTTCGTAGTTTTGATGGTGTCACTAACGATATTGGGTGGCACCCTCAGATTATATTGTAGGAAGGCCAAAGGGGAAGATCTTCTTCCGAGCTGGGTGATGGTAGCTCGGGGGCCGCGGCCCGACTGATGTCGGTCGGGTATCGTATATATGAAGAGTTAGCCTCCGAATTCCATTTGCGCGATGTAGGCTTCCATACTATTATGATCGCAGTGCAGGTAACGCCATCTCTTGAGGATGGTGAGTAAAGATTTCCTCCATCCGTTGTATATATGTGGGGCATATAGATGTCGCCACCACAATATAGGTGACACCATCAAAACTACGGGACTGCACTCGCGAAAAGTATCAGTAGACCTAGCTTAATCTAGCTGGAACTAAAAGTTGGAGTACCTTAGTGTCAATGAATGCTCCTTCCCACCGATAGCTGTCCTATCTGGCAATTCGAATACCATGTCCATGTGTTTCTCACCTGTTAAGAAACCACAATGTTAGGAGAAAGAACAGTTTTCTCTACATGGTGCCTAACACAGATGTGTAACATTTGAAACCTCACCTTATATTAGTAAAATAAGAAATAAAACCTAATACAAAAGGAATAAGCTACATTGTTCTAAAATCAAATCAAATAGCGCGCACTTTCGCGACTTCCTGTTATACACTTCCGTCTCATTTCACTAAATCACTCCCACAAATTGCAGGAAAGATGTTACACATCAATAAAAGAGGTAGAAGTCTCATCGTATCGATCGATGTCTGGTTAGTGCAAAGCACTGCACGATCAATTCGATGGCTTACTGCTACGGACGGATAGGTTATTTGTTTAATTATTTTTAAACATTTAAGTGCTGGTTTTCATTAAAACTTTTGATAGTTTTCACTAAAGTTTTCTAGTAAATTAAAATCAGACTACAGATATAAGATTCACATCACAGGTCCTAAGTTAAATCTAAAGCTTTGTGAGCACAAACATCTGTTCTCGATACCCGACAATAGACAGTATGTATGTTTGGAACTTATTAAATGAAAAGGTATGACTTTTCAAGAAATATTTGACTTTTGTTTGGGCATTTGATATTACTTTAAATCCTAATCATCATTACTAACATAACACAGTTCCCAGTTCTCGGGAGACAATATTACAGTCCACGCCCTTGGTTTCGGCAGTAGGGAGGAGCTTCTTCTTCTTAATGTATTTTGCGGCTATTGTCAATCCTAAAGGATCAGTCTTGGCAAGAAGATGGCCCCTGGCCTATAATAATTATAATCAGGTGAAGGACATTCAGGTGGATAAGAATAGCGAGATCAGCAAATGAAATTAATTATATTAACGATACAAATAAATAATATTTAATTTGTATTTATTTATTTGTATTGTAGCCGGTAAGTAGATAGGTATAACTAATATCGTTGGGTATAACATAAACATAAGCTTTCTGATATTTATTTTCACGTATAAGTAATAATTGTACATTATATAATTGTGCATTTATAATAATAAACTATTGAGAACATATTCTTGAATCGAAAATGAGTATTGTGAAGGTAATAGGGAAGATGCAATATTTTTATTTTTGTTTTCATTTTAAAGAATTCCATGTAGAATAAACCACAGATATATTAAAAAATTAAAACATTGTGATTTATCGGAAAAATGCGGTTTTAAATTGACAATTTCAATTTTCGCGCGAAAACGAACCTATGGTTGCGATGACGTCACTCCTGTCTGTCACTGGTCGTAATTGTTCGTTGCTGGCTTTAAATTTTCATACTTTTGCATAGTTTTTCGACTTTCGAAATATTTTTTTGAAAAATTTATAATGGACTATCCATCAACATCATGTGATCATAACAATACCACTAATATTCCGAAAAAAAGCCGTGTTGACTCATGTTTTGTGCCAATCTACTTCAACAAAGTTCCCAAATAAATTGTTTTTGACTGGAACTTCTGATCCAAAACTGAAAGAAAAGTGGTTTCAAGCTGCGAAGAGAAATGACAATTATTCTCCAAAGACCATTATTCGATGCTGAGAAGATCACTTTGACGTAAGTTGGCGAATATACTTGTTATTTGCTTAATTAATCTGCTTGTACGTAAAAACGCATTAGTAACCTACCTAATACTTACAAAACCTGTCTATAACATATTTTTAATTTTACAGTTGGAGAATGACGTCGAAAATTAGATAAAGTTTAAAATGTGTGGCATATTCTTCTCATTGGCGGGACTGAACCAAGCTTTGCGTTTCATTTAAAATAACTATAACACGATAACCTTCTTTACGTAGTTTATGCTCCGGAGAACTCGACCTTTTACTGTACATAATTTTCCATCTCTTTTAATTTGGACATAGCCGATTGCATTATCGCCGTAAGATTTGTAGAAGCCGCTGAATAAAATACGAATAAACTACGATTTTTACATACCGTAGTAATATAGTCCCTTTCATTTCTACACTTAAAAACTCTGCACTTTGGACAAAAAAACGTTATAACCATGTCAACGCTAACTCTTGGTAAATTCCTGGAGTCTGCTTTGATAAACGCAACTTCCATTTTCATTAAATGTAAAAAAAAAAATGGTTGCCTGTAAAGTCGGTTTTACGGGCGAAGATTTTACGTGACAACGTCTTTTTCTCGGTAGAATATTTATTGATATGAATATAATTAAATTGCACAATAGGAACAAGGAATTGAATGAAAATAAGAATTGCACAAATTTTAACTATAGAAATATATTTTGTTTACTAAAACATTGTACATGTAAACTTAAACTTAACACGAGAGACTCATCGTAACGTTACCGAGCGTTACACTTTTTCATAAGTGACTCCCAGCCGCAACCTAATTTAAGACGTTGTCACGTCAAAAACGCAATAAATATTCCCATAAAATAATATTTACTTTAACAACCATAACCTCAAAGAAGTTGTCATAACAGGACTGACGTCACTAAACGTTGATTGGTGTTTTAAAATACGTTCCGTTTCAAGTATTTTTAATTCGTAATAATTGTTAAAAAACAACATTATGTAAAATAAAAACGTTGCAGTGGCATTTCTTTTATATTTTTTTAACATTTTAATCATAAAATTTTCATAAATATTATATATGCATCTTCCCTATTTAAACCCAATACAAACATGGAAATAAGCAATTTGCTTTAGAGAGAAAACTTACAAGTTTATCAACAGTACACATTTTCTGTGTTGTGTGGATAAACTAGATTGAGATCGTTAACAAACAGATTTTTTTTTCTGCAAAAAAACTAAAAATAGCAATAAAAAAACTAAGCTAAAAATATCCACCTTGCGGTAATCCCGATATATATCGGTTAATCAGTATGCCACAAAGCCAACTACAACAATTGGCCATGTGGCATGCTTTACTTGAATATATATATATCTTGCTTCAAATAATAGGGGCTATAAGGTTGGTGCAGAAATATCAAATCGGAAACAATTTTGTCACGCCCAATTGTCAAATTACTATGGAGTTTGACAGTTAGATGCGATAAAAAACGTGACATTTAATGTAAATTGTGGTGCTGATGCTACGGGAGCTGTGATACCTACACCAACATACCAAGATACGGTATAAGCAACATCGGGTAAGCCGTCGACACCGAATTTTCGTCACGCATAATCTTGTGGAAAACTATCCCTTGCAAGAATCCTGAAACAACCAGGGGGCCATTCGCCTAACGGAAATGATTTGGAAAACACTAACGCTTACGATTTCATTTTGTTATTTCTAGCCGCCTGAGGTTTTCAAATGCCTCGCGCTCGTTTTTTTCTTTAGCATTGGTAATAATAATATTAAAAAGAAGCGTGAGATATTTGAAAACCTCCGGCGGTCAGTAATAACAAAATAAAATCGAAAGCTTTAGCGTTTTCCAAAGCATTTCCGTTAGGCGAATGGCCCCCTGCACCTACTTAGACATGATCCACGGGATTAACAGGCTGTCGCTCTAGAAATTTTGATGCAACAGACTAACTAGTACTAGACACATATTTTACCTGATAACTTCTAATGAGATTTTGAACAGCTAAATGCAATTTAATTTTTTCTAACATCTCATCTTCACCCTTATCCTTAGCAGCAGGTTCTAAAATAAATTAAAACGCATCATTTAACCATTTAAAAAAAAACAGAACTCAAAACTTCGAAGTTTAATGAGACTATTAATTACTCTAAACATAGGTTACGTGTTAAAAGAACTGTATTGATAAGTAAAAAATTGCAGCGGCACCCAACGTAAGATCTTGCTGGTCAAGTACCTAAGGTTTTCGTCTTAAAACGAAATCGATCTTAATCTCACACTAGGCTGTCATATACCATTAATTATTGCTTGCATTTCCATAGCGAAATAACTCAAGAACTGTATTGATAACTTAGAATAATTCTAAGAATGATAAGTAGAAAATTGCAGCGGTACCCAACGTAACATCTTGATGGCCAAGTAAGGTTTTCGTCTAAAAACGGAATCGATCTTATTCTCACACTAAGATGTCATATACCATTATTTATAACTTGCATTTTGTTGGCGAGATACTCAGGTTCGAACTTTTTATTTACATTAGTCACTATTATGTACTAACTGACAGTTTTCGGGCTGAATTCATCTTGGAACTCTTCAATTTTCAAAGCTGGCCCGCAGGTGAGGCTATCGTAAAAATTGTCCCATGACTGGAAATAAAATAACTTCCTGTTGAATTAGAGTTTCATGAGAATCAGTTTTCATATGAGATGTATGGTTCGTCAAGTCGGTACTTAAATATAAAAAAAAAATTACATGACTTAAAAACATTTGTCGTTCCACGTTGATATAACAGACCTAAGTTTGCCATCGGACTTATATCTCAGAAAAGACCAGAAGTCAATGTACATACGAAGTGCGGTCGAGCAACGCACGTATATACTTGACGCTTATATTCAGGGTACCCCGCAAAATTAGCCGTTGCCAGTGTGGTGACTCAGTTTACTTGGCAGTCGTAATATAGTAATTAGACTTGCAACGAATATACTTAATTAATATATTTTGTTATAGAGAAATAATTAGTAAAAATTATTTATTTATAGGTACATCAACAGCATAACATACAAGACATTCGTAATATATAGAGGATGATTTTACTGTTTACATATATGTTTGCCAATTATAGATATACACAACATTTATACCATATCGTTTAATATTAATTAAAATGAAAGGAGAACAAGAACATTATCTTTAACAAATACTGCTCATTATCATTGATCATTGATTAATTAAGATTATTTTTACCAAGAACTCACAAAAAAAACTGTTAACTACTGTTACTGGGAGGCTGAAAGTGATGAAATAGTTTGTTTCTTAAAATTCGAGTAGAATCGTTGAAAATGTCAATACTGGGTACCTTCATTAACATTTCATTATACGCGTTGCATGTCCTAGCTATGGGATAATGAATACCCAAGTTTGTTTTGTGACTCGGTATATAAAACATTTTGCGTACTTTATAGCGCGGGTATCTACAGGGTACTGCAATTCCAATTACACCAAGAAGATGAATACTGTTGATGTCATTATTAAGAATTTTATGTAGAAACAGTAAATCCGCTATCGTACGTCGATTTTTTAATGAAGTAACTTGGAAAAAATCAAGTCTCAAAATTAAAAATTAAAATCGATTGATTACGTATATATGCATATTTTAATTTCTGTTATATAATCATTTAAGTAGTCATTGGTACATAACACAGGTACATAATCATCTTCTGAATTGGAAAAATGGAGGATTCTATGTATTTGAATTATTGTGGTAATCAAAATTTAGAAGGGTAAGCTTCTCATTTCTTTTATAATCATTTATTAAGTAGTCATTGGTATATAAAACAGGTACATAATTTAATTATTTTCTGTATTAAAAAAGTTAACAGTTTTTAATTCATTCAGTCATGTGATGAATGGTTACATAATAGCTATAATTTAAAGTTTACGCGCCGTTTTCGGCCATATCTCAAAAGTTGGTTTTGTCGTTTAGCCGCATTTTAGCTTGAGGACGGCAGTATAGAACAAAACAGAGGAGTGCGAAACAATCACGTCTGTACAAGTTTTTGGCGCTAAAATCCAGCCGAATACTTTTGCCTAATATTCGGCTATTCGGTCAGGGGCCTTGCCGAATATTCGGTATACTGCCGAATATACTATTCGTTGCAAGTCTAATAGTAATACCTCGCCGCTGAAATTCTCTAGTCAGCAGGCAACATCGCGCCGCTCGTGAATCTAGGACTATCATTTCTAACTCTATCTGGCTACACGCAACGCCGAGGAGTTGAACAAGCTCCTCGTCGCGTCGCGTCGTTGCGTGTGTGCATTGTGTGTGGACAAACAGGAAAGTCGTTCATTTTCATCATTTCAAAACTCACATTATCGATATTTCCTTTAGCCTTAGCCCAATCTAAGTATTGAGCCTCCAGAAAATTGGCATTCGTTCCAGTCAGAAATGACTCCGCTTTAGAGGAAACGGAAGCGTGATGACCGACGATACTCTGCAAATGATCATTTTTATGAAAAGATGTACACATTTTTAATGTTCTCTCCCTTACCCTACCCTGTACCCTTCTCTCGCTGTAATCAGTTAAGGTATACAATATGCCAGGTAAATAACGGTATCTATTTAATATGTTTTAGCTGGTTGTTCAGGTATAATAGTGACAGATCGCTGCATACAAGTTTTCGAAACTTTCTGACCTATGTAGTTAAGAAAATCAGTTGTATCATAATCTCGTCAAGTCCTATAATACCATATGATCTCAAGTGTAACTAAATGAGTGGGTGTCGATTCTGCTAAGCTAACGTAAAAATCCTGATTGAATAGTCGATACTATTTGATACAGCTCTTGTTACTAAAACATAAAATAACAAATTCAAACTTTAACAAATGAATAAGCAAATAAGTTTCTTACTTTGTGCTTTACTAACAATAATTGTTTAAAAATCAAAACTACCTATTAGACAATTTTAAGAACCACCATTGATACACCATTAAAAACATAACAGAATCGACATCCTATTCAGTTGAAGAACCAGCATATTTCAACAATAATTAAAAATAATACGTAGCATAGTCATCATTTTGGCGGTTCTGGGTTCTATTACCGGGCAAGGTCAGGCCAATTAAAATCAATCCTTACAAATGGAATTGATGGTAAAGTTAGAGTAAAATTATAAGTAATCCTCCGGAAACTTGAGTGTGGATAACTGATATAAACGACAGAAGATAATGAGGGCCAATCATGGACCACTATAGAAACTACACCACTCACAGGAGGCTTTGAAGTCAACCATGTTTTCTGAGCAGCTTTCAGTAAGCAAGGCGACCGTGCTATCAGCATAATTTAACTACTGTTAAAACTTCTAAACAAGATAAAAAAAAATTGGATTTAATAAATATTATAATATTTGATCACATTAATTTTTTGTGTTTAATAGAGAAGACACGATATAATTTTTTGGTAAAATGTAATATTTATTACGAAAAATAAAGCAGTATTGGTAATAACATTTTAAATTACTCTGAACATTGTTTGAATTATGTCACTTTCAGAAGGATCTATCAGAAACCAACCATAGACCTTAACATTACGCTACTAAAACCTTAATTTTAAATATACAGAAATAAAAGCATCAAAGCGCGGGCTCTATTACAAGGAATAAAAATAAATCTCTTATCTAATAGACAAGTCCGTCCGTCCGTCCGTGGTGCTGTTTCAGCGCCGGCCAAACCGTAAGAGATAGATATAGAGAATGTTTAAGTTATAAGTTAAGAATAGTCTGATAAGACTACAAACCGGATGTGAGTAACGTAGCACTTCCGGTTTTCGAGAAATCACGTGATTTCTATTTCAAACGAAACCACACAAAATCTCCGAAGATCTCAATTAATTAAATACATTTTTTTTTTGGTGAACATTTGGTTCACTGGTTTGCTAGTAATGTTTAACTCAGAATAAAAACTAAAGCAAGTTTGAATTTTACAAATGGGTAAGAAGGTACTTAATGTTGTTTTGAAGCTAAATTCTTTTCTAACGAGTGGGCTAGGGGGGCGGCTAAAACAAATGCCTTTATATTGCATCTGTCACCCTTATTCGCAGCCCTTGCAGCCGCCCCGGGCCTTGGCCTTCTGGCCCTATGGTAAAATAATACTCCCCTATGTTAAACCATGAACCACCGCACACAGCGCACTGGTAAGGGTAGGGCAGCAAGGAAAGCTGAGGCAGCAGAATGCAAAATTAATGTATTGTTGTGGGGTTTTTCGCCACATCTAATAAAGACCTTGGACCACCTGCGGTAGGGAGAAACATTTGGATGATTCAAAAGACTAGTCGTAAGTGCATTTAATTGGTAGAAATACAGTTAGAGTTTAGATATAGACTTCAACTGGAGTGACTCCACTGACTTAACATCAAGTGAGGTGGGTGGAGTTATTTAGCTTGACATTCTTACAAGGTATTGTATGGCATAGTGCTGATTGGAGTACTCTTTCACCCCCCTTTAGGAAGGCTTTCGGGGTTTCACTGGGAAGGAGATTGGGATCAAGCCACCAATGTGATGAGTATGGCTGAAGTGGTACCAACATTTTTCTGTTACTTCATTTGTCATCTATTCATTCTATCAAGTGGCCCCACCCCACTACAACGTTGAAGTCAGATCTGTCGTTTTTTGGTGCCGCGAAGTTTTCGTACTATATGTCTAAGAATAATAAAAAAAACACGGGTGAGCAGTCCACAATAAATTATTTTTGTTGATAATACTACCTAATTAAAAGAGAACGCAGACGAGAGCACGGAAGACAGGAATTCCAGCGGGCTCCGCCTCCGCTACCCGGGCCGTGTGAGGCGGGTCTATGAAACATACACGCGGAGCGAACGCCCGCTCCGTGCTCCGCTTAATTACGATGCGGCGTGTCTTTCGTGCTCTAGACTGCGTTCTTTTTACTAGGTAGTATGATCAACAAAAATAATCCATTATCGACTTACCATTATCACCCGCGTAATTGAAATTTTACTGGCGGCGCGCGGCGCGCGGCGCTTTTTGTCAGAGTGGCGATTCGTACGACGATGGGCGGACGAGCGTCGGAGCGGCCAAGAGAGCAAACTGTTTAAGCGCGCGGCGCGTGACCACCCCGCCCCGTTGTCTGATATAATAAATGTGTCCGGCTTTTAGGGCAAAATGTCAGGCCTTATATAGTGCGCAGTCCGGCCTTTGCATTTTATGGCCTGGCAACCCTACTCCCGCGGGTCCTACGACGACGGGTTGAACGGGTCCCGCGACTGAGGCCCGCTCCGTGCCCTGCTTAACGGTGCGCACGCTCTAATATTTTTATGTAGGTTAGGTATCAAATCAATATACATCCGATTGAGAAAATTTGGCACTGTGATGACTTCATATCAATCTGTTGCAGACTATACTTATTACCTAATAAAGAAGAATTGTGTTGGCCTATATTTCGTAGCAATAAAGTTCGCAGTGCAAGTGTAGGTATTTACTGACGTGCTCTACTTGTTAGTAAGAGACACTACTTGACACCTCCTGTGCCTGATCAGTATTTATTTTCAAAGGCCCACTTGCAGTTAATTTACTTAATCTCGATTCAACTAAAACTAAATAGGTACAATCCATAGAAAAATTACAATTTTATATCATTGTATGGGTTGAATCTAGTCTAGTTTTAGTTAAATTGAGACTTAGCGAAATTCCTGCAAGTGGGCCTAGGAGCGAAATTCTTAATTCAAACTTAATCAAATCTCATGCCATCTCTATATTTGACTAAAAACAATTAACAAAGAAGGAATGATGTACTAAACAACACGAAGCCTTCATTTGAATTATGAACTTTGGTACAAGTGGGCCCGTGAGCCTATAATAAGTTTTCAAAACTGGGGTCACCAAGTTATTAAAACGTTTTTGGATACTTTTCTGTCGACAAATCATTGCTCTATGCGACATAATAAAGATAAAGAAAGAATCGAAATACCGACTTCTCATTAAAATAATTTATAATACTGGGTAAGTTATCTTTAATATTAACTTTGTAAAAATAAAACAATAATTTACATTTTTATTAAATATTTTGCGAATTCCTTACCAATATTTTAATCATTACATAAAAAAATATTATTAGTTATTATAAAATCGTTTCGTTCAATGTTTTGAATGAAAATAATGTTTGCCTTGATGTTCGTAACCAACACATTGGTTGTTTTCCAATTACAGAGCATAATGCCACGGTAATAATATTATTCCCGTGATAATGCGACTCAGTGGCGCACAATGCCGAATTATGCTGATGCATAATTGGAACGTGAATTAGTTTTCAAATGCACCAGCAGAGTGCGCTAAGTTCAGTGTTGAAAAAAAAGTCAATGTTTGTACCTTCATCCATACTTATATTTATTTTTTTAACAGTTTGAATTAACTTTGATTATTTAAATAAAAACTATTTAATGAAACGAAAGCTTTAATAATTTTTCAACAATAAATAATATTACTTACGATAACATTTAAATTTAAACATTTAATTTTAATTTAAAACACATCAATGCCAACTTAAAGAAAAAACACTTGTTAATTTTCTGTCACTGAGTTGGTACGATTGCACGCATCACACGAAAGCATTACTTTTGAGAGTGCTAGATTGTGCGAAGCGTAGCTGTAGTTGAAACACTCAACCTTAAGCATAATGTGCTATAATGCTGTAATTGGAAAACTACCATTGTATGCATTGGTTTGCATGTTACTTGTGTTGACAAAATAGGTTTGGGAATGGATATTTAAAATAAATCAATTACGTACAAAATAATAAATGTATTTGAATGTTTTACTATTTTGACAAAATAGAAATGTTACTATAACAATTGAATCTTAAGTAGTATTTACAATTGGACGTAGTTACGCGAAAACGTTCCAACCCACAGCGACCCCATTTTGAGATAAACGCAATTTTGTGTTTTAGCGGTACACTTTTTCCCTGTAATTATTTCAGGCAAATACTATTGGTGTTACTGTGGAATGCCAAATTGGTTATTGAATGATATGCATATTTTTTGTAAATACATAATACAAGGGGCATATAAATAGGTAAAACGAGTTTGAAACGTTTTCGCTAAATTTAATTTTGTATGAACCTTGTTAAATAGCAATTATGCATAAACGTTCCAGAACGAATTTAAGTGTATTATTTTATAAATATATCTAAAATAAATATGTAAAATAATAAATAACAATGAGGAACATACAAAAACAACAAAAATTTGAAAATGTATTACAAAAAAAATAGAACGTGATCTTTTGAGCTTTGAACCTATGCCAATTTGCTGATATGGTTCCAAAAGTTATCAAAAACTTATATTATAAACATTCAATTTTCATCATCGTATTCTATGATCTCGAAGTCCGGAACTCCACCAAACCCATCAACATCATCAGTGCTTCTTCAGAACAGAAGGCAATCCACTTCCTGTGCACCTCTTCCTACCTCTCCTTCTACCAATACATAACAATGCCCAGTATCATTAGATGCACTATGGATACCACTATTGTAGAACTAAGTAAAAAAGTTAAACCTCTTCAAGTTTACAAAATGACAAAGACTGATTTTATAGTACAACTAAACTGGAAAAGAAGATTATCAATAGGAAGAAGTTTACAGACTCATCTAAAGTTAGTTGGCTACATACAAAAGAAATTAAGTTGGATAAAGATATAATTTTTTCTATTTTTATGCGGTCTACGATGGAAGACGATTTCAATGAGTTGAAAATTGATAAAAGAATAAAACGAGAACTACAATACATAAAAGAATCTGATTTTTGCTTATTGTGGCCTAACGACAAACCGATTGCTCCAGCGAAATTAGTGGACTTACAATCCATGTACCACTACATACCCGAGGATTGCCTTCAATTTTATAGAACGCTTCAAAGTTCTGAAGAAGCACTGATGATGTTGATGGGTTTGGTGGAGTTCCGGACTTCGAGATCATAGAATACGATGATGAAAATTGAATGTTTATAATATAAGTTTTTGATAACTTTTGGAACCATATCAGCAAATTTTTGGCATAGGTTCTAAACTCAAAAGATCACGTTCTATTTTTTTGTAATACATTTTCAAATATTTTTTTTGTTGTTTTTGTATGTTCCTCATTGTTATTTATTATTTTACATATTTCTTTTTGGTTTATTTTTATAAAATAATACACTTAAATTCGTTTTGGAAAGTTTATGCATAATTGCTATTTAACAAGGTTCATACAAAATTAATTTAGCAAAAACATTTCAAACTCGTTTTACCTATTTATATGCCCCTTGTATTATGTATTTACAAAAAATATGCATATCATTCAATAATCAGTTTGGCATTCCATAGTTAAACCAATAGTATTTGCCTGAAATAATTACAGGGAAAAAGTGTGTAAATTGCGTTTATCTCAAATTGGGGTTGCTGTGGGTTGGATCATTTTCTCGTTACTACGTCCAAATATACCATAGTTATTTATTTTGGTAAAAAATATCTTATTCTCTAGAACATACTTAATAGCAAAAATGGATCAAGTATATGTGGATTGTTTATAGCAAAAAATTAGAAAATAATATATTATAATAAAAGGTTTCAATTTATTTAGAACAGTGTTCGCAGCTTAAAAAAACAGTATGGATTAATCTAAAAGGTTTCAAATTACATGGAACATTTTTGCAGAAATAAAAAATGTATAAAGATTTTGCAAAAACGTTCCAACCCACATGGATCATTTAAGAAACCATTAAATGTGCGTTTTATGAATTTAGTATAATGTTCCAAGACAAGTGGAACATTATAACGATATGTTATTCTATTAAGAGTTTTTAACAATATGTTTCAGTATGCATGTAATGTTTTTACTTTATTTTGAGTACACGTCCTTGGCATAATGGTGGGTTGGAACATTTGGGTTAAACTTTATTGATGAAACTAACCTAAAAATACTAGCATCTTTGTGTGCACATGATGTAATATGTCAAAAATAGTACCCTGGTTATGGTAACTCATTTTCGAGTGACTTGTGGGTTGGAACGTTTTCGCGTAACTACGTCCAATTATCGATTATGTTGTAATAAAATTAATCCATATAATGTCAAACATAAGGATTTAAGGAAGGATTACTGGGGAATGATGAAGGTAGACTTTATCGTGTATCACATTTATCTTTATGTAGAACAATACAATGTCTTTATAAACGCTAAATATCACATCACGTACGATCACAGAGCCCACCCCCATCGCACCAAAGTGCAGGTGCTCTGTGCGTGCCATATAAAAATATTATTTTTCTAACATATAAACGCAACCTGCCGACACTATAGATACATAAATCTACATTTATGTTTTAGAAAATGCATTAGAACAATTCAACAATATTTCTTACACTTAAATCACATTTACTAAACCTTTTAAAATTCAAAATTAATAAAATTGTCAATACGTACAACTTATTATTTTAGGTGTTGTTTTTTGTACAGAGAAATAGGCACTTAACTGACAAAAATATTAAAAAGGGGCTTAAAATTTAAGTCTAGTCAATTTTCTTGGCTTTGGTCTTAGTTTTCTCACTTGTCTTTGGCTTTGCTGGATAAATAACGAATAGGGATAGCTGAACTGCGCAAAGAATAAAGGCAACGATGTTTTGCAACTGAAAAGAAACATAAAAGTATTTACATAATACGAAATACAATTTTAAAGATTGAGACAGAAGTTGAAAATGTTTCATATTTTAGACATATTCTATCTAAATGTACAGCCATAGCATTATATGAAAACAATGTTTTGTAATTTGTTCTATAAGACAAAGTTAAAATAAGACACAATATATAATTATTTTCCTAATATAGAATTGGAGCAATCGCCGGGGAAAGTAGTTGCCTCCTACTAAAGAAGGCCAAATATTTCTTTTTTTTATCGAGTGGTAATTAGTTAGGTAGCCATACCTAATTTTAAAGGGTATGGAACGGTGCTCAAGTTGATGTTGGCTGAAATTATCACTTGGTATTATATGCGAAATATAAATATTCATAAATTTTGGTTTGTACTTACGACGATGAAAGTATTCCTTAATGTGATCCCGTAAAGTAGCCACATAAAAGTGACAACAGTACCAGAAAGGATTATAGGGAAAGGCATGCCTTCGGTGCTTTTGTTCTTTATAATTTCTTTCTGAAATATTAAAAAAAATCACATCGATAAGTAGAACATTAATTACAACAAAAATTGACATTGCAAAAAGGGATGCAAAGTAATTAATTTTGTAGTTATCATTAACGCTTTGTATTGATTGATTACATTGAAACTGCGTGCCTATGTGTTATTGTAGACCACTTACCAAATCAAATAGTGGTGAAGCAATAAGATAGAACATAAATGCTGTTATAATCATTCCAAATCGGTTCTCCACTAGTTTCGGATCTTCAGCATTAGCATAAGCAATCAACGCCGCCGAAACTGCACCAGCAAGTCCCGTTTGTGCCCAGACCTTCACTTTTTGAGTGGTGTAGTTAAAGAATATTAGCAGGTACACAATATTTAATGCTAACCCAACGAAGTTGACTTGTATCATGGTGTCGTCCCGCAGAATGTACCCGAATTTTAAGTTGAGAACACTCCTAAAAACCAAAAGATGATAAATATTGAAACACAAGAAAAAAAAATATTAAATAATTATAATAAACATTGAAAACTTTGTAATTAAATAACCGCTTGCAATCAAACAAGTATTGAAAAAATATCTTGACTTGTTCCTTACATTACTAAACCACCGAGAAAAGGCATGATACCGACACCTCTCGTACTTCCTTGCTTATAGATGTCCCAGCACAGGAAACAGCCAGAAAACATCTGTCCAATAGTGACGATGGCCGCTATGGAACCAATCGTCTCCTTGAACGGCATCAAGATATCAGCTAGGGCGTCCATTTCCAATGCTGTCGAAGAAAAGAAAATATATGCACTGATTTGACACTTTATTTATTTATTAGCCTATTTAGGATTACAATTGTTTAAAATTTAAGTATATATTTATTATTAAATGGTGTTATTTGTGATCTGCGTGCTTTAATGCAAAGGCCTCCTCCAATTACTTCCATTGATCTCTTTCCCGAGCAATTCTGGTCCACGTTTTGCCAGCTGCAGCACCAAGCTAATCCTCCCATCGTTTGCGTTGCCTTCCCCTTTTTCTTTTGTTTTCCGCGGGATAACAGGTCATAACAATTTTGCTCCATTTGTGCTCTCCTCTTATTGTATGACCTGCCTATCTCCACTTTAGCAGTTTTGTCTTTAAAGCTACATCTTGGGGTTAAGTGCATTTTCTGATAAAACATATTTTGTCATTTAATCTAAGCTCTATCATACTTCTTTCCATACTGCGTTGACATGACCGAAGTTTTAATCTTTCCGATTCTTTAAGAGCCCACGTTTGACATCCGTACGTTAATACTGGGAGAATGCATGTATTGAACAACTTACTTTTCACGCTGGCGCTGATTTTATTTAGCTTCATAATTTCCTTAAAAGCCCAATATAGTTTCCATGCCTTACCTATTCCTTGTTGCAATCGCTTTATTTGTAATGTCAGTTTTTGTTATTACCTGACCAAGTTAAGTATATCCGTAGACATATTCTATAACGTTATTGTCTATATTTATAATCGTCTTGTGTTTATTTGTCATCGCTTTTGTTTTTGAGGCATTCATCATTAAGCCCACCTGTATGCTTTGCAAGTCTAGCTCTTCAAGCATGCCTTGTAGTTCTCGAAGAGATTTTGCAAATAGAATTATGTCATCCGCAAATTTTAGGGTTGTAAGGTGTTCTCCATTCATATTTATGATATATTAATCCTATCTCCTGAATAATAGATTACAAATGTAAACGGAAAACGAACTATATTCCTTTCTTGTATATTAATATTAAATTTTTCTTTGTTTAGGTACTTCTTAGTAAGTATGTACTTCATTAAAAATACGCGAGAGAGGTATTAGTATACTTTGTGTTTCTACTAGAAATTTGTTCGTTATCTTGTCAGGGTCTGGTGGCTTTATCTGTTTTCTGCAATCTTATTGTGTTTTCAACTTCGTTTTCTAGTATTGGTGGGACTCCGGTGTTATCCTTCAGTGCTATTTCATTTGCTGTGTTGGATGGAGATAAGTACTAGCCTCGATTAAATTCTGTTGCTGTATTGACAATGGTTCTTCTATCAGTTTCTGTAAATCCTTTTTTTTTTTGATGTTTTGGATACATTATTTTTTAGTTTATAGACTTTTAATACCTCCATTTTTATAGTTCCGTAGTTCTGACAAGGAAGAAGGAACCCTTATAGTTTCGTCATGTCCGTCTGTCCGTCCCCGGTTTTGCTCGAAGACTATTAGCACTATAGAGCTGTAATTTTGTGGAAATATGTATATCGATCACGCCGACAGAGATTTGAGATAGAGACGTAGTTTGACTTTGATTTAGGTATTTTAGTTGAGATACATAGATTGATATTAATTGTTTTTTCTAATTTCCTATTTAGATCATAAAGACTCCTGCTCAAATATACTATATATGTGGTAACTACAGACAACTACGGAACCCTACACTGCACGTGGCACGACTCGCCCTTGGCCGGTTTTTTGGTAATAAATTCTTCAAATATTTTTAATCTGTGTTTATTTTAAAAGAGTTGATACATTCCTTTTTAGTTCTTGATTTTTGTGAATTATTCATAATACTGGTTTTCTTTGGACAAAATCATTATCCGTATATTATATAAAAGCACTTAGCTTTCTAGTCAGGATGCATGGATAAGTATCCATCCAATCCTTGTGGGGATCCACATGGAGATCTCGACTGCACCGTAGATTCTCCAGTAGGCATATTCGCTACTGCTTTTGACAAATGGAGCAAGTTGCTCTTTAGTTACACATTGTAAATATCAAAAAAATTAGCGAATTTGACGGCAGGGCTCTCAAGTTAGAACAGCGTTGCCAGACGTCCTGATTTTGGCGGGAAGTCCCGATTTTTAAATCAAAATTTAAAGTCCCGCGCAGTCAGGGTCAATCCCGCTTTTCAAAGAAAGCGCGGGCGGGTTGCACAGACAAGTGTCGACTGGCCGCCTGCCCCTACCTACATTCTTATTGGCGGAAAATGCAACTCAACACGTAATTTAAAAAGAAAATCATATTCTAAGAAACACAGTAGATTCATGTAGAAAAACAGAAGAACAGGAGAAATTTCAAAAAACAGGAGATCTCCTGTAAAATCGGAAGACCTGGCATGGCAACCCTGCGCGTAATGGAGATAAATATTGAATAACTTTTAATAATATATGTTCTTTACTATGTCCTGTTTTCGACCAAAGAATCTCGCTTTTTTCACTAAAAAGTTCCTAAATCCCGACTTCGCAAAAAAAAACTGGCAACTGGCAACGCTGATTTAGAAAGTTCTCAGCACGACTAGGGGACACCCAAGGTCAGAATAATTGGGCTCGGGTATGTAGGTACATGTTTATATCTGGCAAAATGTTTGGATACACCTGGACCTCATTATTTTAAAGTATGTGTAATGTGAGTGAGACACACAATACAGCCAAAAACGTTTATTCGTAAATACTTGATATTGGTCAACAATAGTTAAAGATACCATTCTTAGCAGAATTCATTGGGTAATACTTCTGATAATTTAATGATAACTTTTATCTTACTAAATCTTGATAAATTTACGGTAATTATTATTTGATGTAAGTACTTAATCGTTATGTGATACGTATGAAACAATTACAGTCTCGTTATTTGATGATTTTTATAAAAAATCGATTACCTAGATAGTTTAATTTCAGCTGCTGAATCTAAAATTGATACGATATAAAAAAAAGTATGAGTAAAACATTTACTTATTGCGCATTCAAGGTAAGGTTACTAAGCTTGATAGATAGCGTTGGCGCAATGTTTAGCGAGATAAATATTCCATTGAGAAAATTTAGTAACTTTCACTAGGGTCCGTATTGGATGGCGTTAAGAACGATATCGTTGGGGGTTAATCATAATTGTTTTCATTATCAGCCTATTAATGTCCCTACTGCTGGGGCACAGGTCTTTCCTAAGGATGGAATAGGGAGAGTGGGTCATGTCAGAACACACGGGTTCAGTGCTTATTGGTGGGTTCTAATGCTAACGACTGCAGATATAACCGGGACCAACGGCTTAGCGTGCCTTCCGAAGCAGAAGGAGCTCGCGCTCGAGAAATATAATACATTTTAAGGTCATCTTTCATAACGAATAGTGTTTAAGTTTCACAATCGCAGACCATACGCGCTAGCTACTTTCTAGGCTGGCTTGCTTATTATTGCCAGCTTTTCTGCGCTTCGGAGGGCATGTTTAGCCATTACCCCATTTGCAACGCTTTATTTACTACTAATTTGCACAAAAGGCGAGTGGGTGGATTCTATTTATACCCAGATCCAGGCCATAGAGAAGGCCTGTGCCTCCGAAAGCTGGGAGTGGGAACATTAGAAAGATGATGGATTGGAAAGACGTTCACCATAAAAAGTCACGTCCATAAAGTTATACTTCTATTGAATTTTGAATAGTTCAGATGTTAATACACACAAGTGTTCTTATAATTCAGATTGTAGATTGAATTGCCACGGTCATCAATTTAGATTATATTCGCGCGACGCATCAGTCAGTTAGATGTATAGTAAAAAACTAATCACATCCTTGTGTTCTATTACAGTAAATTGCCTTTAAATTGACTCTACTGCGTCACAAACACACCCACCAGCAACGCTTATGTTATTGAAAGTCACGAATGCTATATTTTAACCTTGTTGCCAAATGTACTCGCAATTAAAGTTATCTTAAATTAAAATAAGCAGCAGTGTGAGTTGATTGTACTCGCACAGCACATTCTTCTGTAAGAACGTCACGTCTGTAAGAATTTGATCTATATTTGAAAAATACGTTTATAAAATTTAAAAAATACGTTTTTACAAGGACCCAACTTTATTTCAATTATGTTTTCATTTGTGATGTGATATCCACAATAGATATAAAAAAGAACGGGCCAAGTGCGTGTCGCGCCACGCGCAGTGTAGGGCTTCGTGCCTGTTATTACCAAAATATATTTGAGCAGGAGTCTTTATTTTCTGTATCAGATATTAATAAAATTAATTTTTAAATAGTTTTTTTATTTCTTCTAAAGAATTTTCTATAGTTAAGAAATTTTGTTTAACCGAAGTGAACGACTATATTACTATTAAAATAACAAATCTATTTTTATAATTCTCCTTAAAATTTCATGAAAAGCACTACTATCATGATGTTTTCCAGGTTTTTCAAGAGTCAATAGTATAGCTTTTAGAGGGAATGGGGGGAAGCACTACGCCCTATCTGAACAAAAATTAGTACTTAAAAATTCAATATTTCGAAAACATATCCCTAAAACAAAAAAATGATAACAATTAAATAATTTACTATTTAATTAATTGTAAGGACCTTTTCAACGATATCCCACACGATCGAACGACACGAAAAAAAACATCTCCAGGTTACATGTAGGGAAGCTACCCTAAAAAAAGTTTTAAAAAATATTGATATACATACCTACACAAAATTACAGCTCTCGAGTGCTAATAACTTTCAAGCAAAACCAGGGACGGACAGACGGACATGGCGAAACTAAAGGGTTCCTGACAGGACTATGGAACCCTACAAATATGTGAAAAGTCTATATGTCTAATTATTTCGGTTCATGAAGTACCTCCAACAAAGTTTTGGACTATTTGTAGTATTAATTACTTTATATGATATTGAACTAAGATTAAAGTTAACAGATTTAATAATTTTTTAATGTTTTTTTTCTAGTAAAATGATTATATTTATACTACGGTTTTATCTTACAAATTCTACACAGAAAAACTAAACTGTTAATTACATAATAAAAAGTAATATAGTTTAGTAGTAAACCACTACTGGCCATATAAGGATTGCTCAAGACTATTGATTGATTGGCAGAGCACTGCAATTATTTAAATAAAATAATATTAATACTCTTACTGTTTGCAGTAAATTATAAGGGACTCTTAGTAGACCCCATAATTATAAGTAAATCGATAAATTTTATATAACTAATTCTGTCTTGAACAGTCTTATTTAATACAAAGTACCACTACAAGTGTCATGCACCCTATAGTAAAAAAGATCTCTTTAAATTCATTTGTCACTTTTTTTTATTTAAGTAAATAGTTTTGTGGGCCCAACCAGCTACTTAATGCATTGATATTATTTCTCACTTATCATTAGTTGAGTATGGGTGAAATTTATTAAATATATTTCAAAAAAAATATAAGTTCAAACAAAAAAAAACTTAAGTGCATATATGTAAGTAAACTCACATCTTACAAGAAAAATTGCCAACTTTTGAAATCATTTTTTTAATTCAATAAATACATTTATTGCTTTTGTTTTAAAAGGATAAGATACTGTAACTTGACAAATTATTATGAAATTGATCCTAATGTGAATCATTATTAGTGAAAAACTAATATTTTCCAAAATTTCTTACTATATTATGGTTACCCTATTAGCATAACCTCAACTTTATTTACGTCAGTGTACTGTAATGACTATAGGCTACTTACTTAAATTTTCAGTCAGTTTAAAATTAATTTGTATGCACGATATTTTTTTGAGGCGACACAATTAAGTCCAGTTGCCTTTCCTTTTCTTGTCCACAGTCTCTGAATAGTTTGAATGAATCAAATTCACTGCAAATAATTATCCTGCATGCCTTTGTGCTGCCTACAGAAAACTAAGAACGTGAGATTGTGCGTGAGATACACACACATACTAAATAGAAAGAAAATGAAATAGATGGTAATGGAGTGAATGGAATGAGAGTGAACTTCAATATGAATGAAAATTCTCAGAATGCCAAAAATGTCACTTGCTTATTGTCTATGGGTGATTTTCTTCAACTTGTATCTAAAAATCAGTGTCCGTGATGCTAGCGTACCCACGATCAATATACGATTTTTCGTTATACCATTAAATACTGCGTAAATAGTGCCAAATTAGTGTAAAAATAAAAAAAATAGTGCCTCTTTAATTTAAGAAATAAAGACCATTTTTACTGTGTACGCTACCATGACGTCAAGCTAGCGTACCCATGGCCCAAATGAATAGGTACTTTATTCAAAAGATATTTTATTTGAATTCGAATTCACCAATCATAAATTCATTTAAGAATTTCTACCTAGCTACTAAGTACCTTACTTACCATACCATACTACGAAAATATTATCACATCTGTACATGACTGTACTTCATATATAAAAATAATTTAATTGCTTTTTTTATATTGTTTTACTGCGAATTCACATAAAATACTTTTACTGTACTATTTGACACACTATTTATACATATCGAATTGATAACGCGAAAAGTTCATTTTCTATGATAACTATTATGGGTACGCCAGGTTGACGCCAGCTAAAAATGTTTAGTTCAATATCTTTGGTCCTTTAAGAGTATTGATTATGAAATTTTGTAAAGCCAGGGCACTATTTGAGCACTATTTTTTGTACCAATTTCGTTGCTTAAATATATGCCGTTCTTGGGGTCGGCCATGGGTACGCTAGCTTGACGTCATGGTAGCGGTGTCCGTGATGCTAGCGTACCCACGATCAATATACGGTTTTTCGTTATGCCATTAAATACTGCGTAAATAGTGCCAAATTAGTGTAAAAATCAAAAAAATAGTGCCTCTTTCAATTAAGAAATAAAGACCATTTTTACTGTGTACGCTACCATGACGTCAAGCTAGCGTACCCATGGCCGACCCCAAGAACGGCATATATTTAAGCAACGAAATTGGTACACAAAAATAGTGCTCAAATAGTGCCCTGGCTTTACAAAATTTCATAATCAATACTCTTAAAGGACCAAAGATATTGAACTAAACATTTTTAGCTGGCGTCAACCTGGCGTACCCATAATAGTTATCATAGAAAATGAACTTTTCGCGTTATCAATTCGATATGTATAAATAGTGTGTCAAATAGTACAGTAAAAGTATTTTATGTGAATTCGCAGTAAAACAATATAAAAAAAGCAATTAAATTATTTTTATATATGAAGTACAGTCATGTACAGATGTGATAATATTTTCGTAGTATGGTATGGTAAGTAAGGTACTTAGTAGCTAGGTAGAAATTCTTAAATGAATTTATGATTGGTGAATTCGAATTCAAATAAAATATCTTTTGAATAAAGTACCTATTCATTTGGGCCATGGGTACGCTAGCTTGACGTCATGGTAGCGTACACAGTAAAAATGGTCTTTATTTCTTAAATTAAAGAGGCACTATTTTTTTTATTTTTACACTAATTTGGCACTATTTACGCAGTATTTAATGGTATAACGAAAAATCGTATATTGATCGTGGGTACGCTAGCATCACGGACACCGGTCAGTGCAGATTGATAATCCATTATGAACGCTAAAATTGACGTCTCATGCTAAATGATTGTCTAGGAAAGGACACCTTTAAAAGCGATATAAATTACTGCCTGTAACCTATTCATATAAATATTTATTTTTGTTCTTTCAAATGTTTTTTTTTCTTTTTGTATCTTTTGACTTGCGAACTATCAATAGAATTAAAATTTAATTTAAACGTAGTAAAGCAAGATTTTGCAATTTTGGACCATAAACTATGATTGAATTTGGCAACACTTATGGTTGGCCTGATTGACATTTGTGTAGGGACACGATATCGAATAGAAAGTATCGATACTGTACTCATGAGTAGTATCGGTAAAAAAGTATCGTACTCGTAAAAGTATCGAAACAAAAGTATCGATACTTCAAAGTATCGAGTATATTTCATAGGGCCTTATCGGAGCCTCTGTGGCCTGATGAGCAACCCCCCCCCCCCCCCCTGTGTTAAAATTGAAAGAAAAACAATCGAATTTTATTATAGTACGCATAATCAAAAACAAAAAAAGGACATGTAAATTCACAAATTGCTATATTATATAATGAAAAGAAAATAGCTGTGATTTCTGACACTAAAAAACTGTTCATTAATATTCTTTTTTTCAGGTGGTTTCAAATAAGTATACACAGCACAGACAGAATAATAGTGTTACACTTGAATAAATCAAATACAGTCAAGCGAAAAGCACAATAAACGGCGAATCAATCACAGTTCCTAACAATATGGTCGCTAAATAAATAACTATGAAACAAAACAAAGCGCAAAATAAACACAGTCACAGATTGGAAAGAATTTGAATATGTCAGTTACTGACTTTATAACAACGCAATAGGTCATTTGACAGTAAAAATAAAGTGCCAAAATAACGAAAAAGATATTAGTTTTCTTATCTATTGTCACGTGATCCAAAACGCTTCGGATTGGCGGAGCCTAAAATGACGTCACAAGCAAGTAAACTTCCGGTCAAAGTGACATTACATTGTATCGTTTGACGTTTTAATAACAGTCGTGTGACGTCACACTCTAGTAAGACGCCATATTATCCAGAGAAACGTTTTCGCGGCAACTTGAAAATGGAGTTTTTGATTTGGTTATTTTTACTGAAATACACGACAGAATGATGAATATCCACTTTTTACGAACTCCATAAACATTAGTCAATAACGTGAGATCGTTGCCTAAAACTTGTCAAATACCCTATGGAACGTTTTAGAAGGTTTGCTATGATTTAACAAGATGGCGTTGCCATCAATATGAGGCGCTTATCCAATTTTTTAAAGGTATCGATACTTGCCAAAAAGTACTCATTTAGTAAAAGTATCGAATACAAAGTATCGAGTACAAAAGTATCGGTATCGAAAGGAAAAGTACTCGATACCACAAAGTATCGATACTTTTTTCGTGTCCCTACATTTGTGGTTGACATCCAATTCTAGAGCGAATTTTCATGAATTTATAAAATTTCACCGATCTATTTTAGGGCGAATGCGTGTCAAAAGATTTTATTATTTATTGAATATTTTTTCAAAAGTGTTCTATGTCAGATATTTGAAGAATTCACTATGAGATTTGTTCTATGAGTAGTGCAAGAGCTCGTTTCCGAAGGTGGAACTGTAAAGTTTAGTGCCTAATATGCAATGGAAATGCAAAAGCTGGCTTTGCGTGCTGTTGGCATTATTAGCCGTGCCACTGATCGTAGCCCAAAAGATAGGTGACCCGTATAAGATACTTGGCATACACCGCAGAGCCACCCTTCCAGAAATACGTAAGGCTTATAGGCAACTAGCAAAGGAATGGTATGTTATGTTGTGATTACTTTATACATAAATAGTAGTCTTATTTCATCCACATGCATGTGAAGACCTTTAAATCTCTGTGTACACATTAAGATATTTTTATATATATGTTTAAATGTATGTAAGATGTGAGTTAAAAATAATTATTCAACATTTGATTCATACATAGGCATCCTGATAAAAATGAAGACCCAAATGCAGAATCACGATTTGTGGAAATCAAGCAAGCCTATGAATTGCTGTCAGATACAGAACGGAGACAAGCTTATGACTTATATGGCATCACTAATGAGGATAACCACATGTACAAACAAAGACACGACTATAGTCAATATGCCAGATTCAGGTAGGAACTTTTTAATCTACTTTCAAAAAGGGCTACTTTAGAGCATGTTATTTATAAATATCTAGCATCCTCTTAACTGGGAAGAGTTAAGTATTTAGTTAATACCTAAGTATTATGTTATTGCAAGATTGGAAGAATACATCTATTCATAGAGTTCATAATAGCCATTCATACTAGTATTAAAAGTGTGTTTGTCTCTCACACTTAAACCACTGGACCGATTTATATGAAAAAATGAAGTTAGGAAAGGAGTCATAGTATATATATGCCAAATTTCATCTAAACTTGGGATTTTCCTCCTGGGACTCAATGGAAAAGAATTTTTTCTAGTCTAACTTCCTTTCTACATTTAGTACATTACAAATGGGATGTGATTCATGTTATTATTTACATTTTACAGCAATGATCCATTTGAAGAATTTTTTGGCACGCATTTTCGTACTCAAGATCAGGACATCACATTGTTCCATAAGTTATCAGTAACATCACGGTAAGACAGTTTTATCATATTACTATTAAGCAGTAGTTAGGAATTACATGTCAATTCTTAAAAATTAAAGGCTAAACACTATAGCAAAAGAACTTACTTCATATCTCTATAAATTCTTTAGCCATTTAAACATAAATTTGATATAATTTCATAGAGTTAAACTTTAATTTTGTTGACCCGAATAATGGTAACCAAACTTCTAACTTACTAAGTCAAGTCTTCTTAAAATAATTAAACATGTTTTTTATTATGTGGATAATATGAGTTTTACATATTATACATAATTATGTTGCTTCTGCACCACACCAGTGGTTGTCCAGGGTTCAGACTTCTCAGACAAGACAAGCTCAAATATACTATTTTATAAATAAACTATTTGAATGAATAGGAAAATTGGCTTTTTGTAAAAATTATGATGGTAATATTGTATTACATTATTAATTTCGATTTACCAGTAGTTCAAATGAGTTTTAGTTAGGGCATGCTGGGTTTTTCAATGAATATGAAGGTACTGTCACAAATTACACACTCATTTTGGAGGATATGATTACCTACACCTCAGTTATTATTTTACATGTGCCGGATCCCATATCCGTGACATTACCTAGTTAATCCTTCAGGCAGTGTCATTCTGCCCTATTACAAAACTTAAACTAAAGTTAAACCTGGACTAAAACTGATGTTGTCACTTTTGTTTGCTAAAAAGAAGACCGAGACAACATTAGGTTTAAACCAAGACTTACTTAAGTCCATGTTTTGGTATTCCAAAACAATCAATATCCAATAAGGCAGATTGAGTTTTGAAACTTAAGAGTATTTGTGAGCAGATTCCTATATTAACAGATTGTTTCGATACAGGCATCTTGTGCAAATAAAAAATGTCACTGTTTTGACTCGTACTGTTCAGTATTCTTTATATTATAATGCACACTAATCAACTTTGTAACAGTATCGCTTCGGAACAAGAACCACGCGGTGCGTATTCCCGTCCTCACGTGAACGTCTTCTCCCTCACGAATTCTCTACGGGGTGACGTATAGCTGTAAGACCAGTGTCACCTATCCGTACCCAAAAAGGACTGTAGGTGCTAATCCACTGCCTTTTTCGTGCTTGCGTGTTAATATTACAAGTATTGGGGTTTACATCAAGGCATCGTATATAGGTGATGTTGTAAACATTCGTTTTCAAATTTCGTACATTTTTTTTATCAATCCTGGAAGCAAGTAGAACAATCCTAGTCCCGTTGATGTTCTTCTATAAACTTCGCCAAATGATTCTCCAGTCTGGTTGAATTTCTCTACAATGCTGTCGGATTGCAGGTTGTGCGCGTCTTATTTATAGTCATCGTCGAGGCGTTATAGATACTGTAATATTAAAAAATAAAAAGTTTGAGAGAAATGGACAGGCCGAAATTAATTAAATAGAATACTCGGGCGCCAGACCTACCACATTATTATACCATATTAGCTGGGAAAGCATCGAACTATTAATCGCGAGGGGAGCCTAATGCAAATCCATGTTCATTTTGGGTTTGTAATTTATTTAAATTTACTGCAAGATGACTTACGTCCAAAAGGGTTACTGCTAAATTTAGAAACTATTCTACACTATGACTACCAAGAATTAAATGAAAATTTACCTTTAATATGGGTGCTGGTACAACCATAAATTTGAATATTGCCGACTTTGCTGCATCTTTGGAGTTATGTATGTCTGGTGTTGCAAATATGTAAGGGATGGCCGTTGTTACATCCCATGGGTTCACCCCCACATCACGGGAAACATCGTGATTTGGATACGATATCCAAATAAAATTCCAAATATAAAAAAAAACGCTTTTCGCATTAAAAAATAATTGACAATCTAATGAATTATCATGTGAAAAATTACGATTACGATTTTTACATGTTTCTCGTAAAAATTTTGCTCGTGAAGTGAAGTGACAGTTCTTTTCTTAAGTTTGTCTTGGCGGTAGGCAAAGAGAACAACGTCCATTCAGCCTACTGTTCGATAAAGTTAGCAACATAATTATTCAAAAGTGCACAGATTACAGAAAAAGGGCGCGAGACAAAAACGACCAGAGAGACAACCAAAAAAATCTTCTATCTCGCTCTTCGAGCGATGGAGATCCATGTGACGTTTTTAACACGTTACAATACGGCGAGTTCAAAAGAGAGTTTTCTTGTACACTAATGAGTTGTAAGCAAATTCGCAGGCCATTCATTCCATTTCAACCTTACGCCGTTACGTTAACAAATATGAGCCTTATAAAGCTCATGTTCATTCTAGGCACTTCAGGTCTGCTGCAATGATCTATATATTAAATTTAGTTACTATTAAATTCAATTTTTAATATAGGATAGGATAGATAGGATATTTTACTGAAAGAAGACATCATTTAAATTTTAATAATAAGTAGTACTGCATTCACAGATGTTTTAAAAATCACCTGCCACAACTGCGAATCAAGCTATGTGAAACAAGAAAAATTATAGTTTAAAAAACTAAAAGCGTGCTTTTACTTACGGCACTAAAAAGACAAAAATATACTCTCTATATTATGATAACCGTCGAAAGGGTTAATTAATTTTATTAAACTGAATCAAAGTTTCCAGATTTGTTTATTTTTTGAAAATATTTAATCGGAGCTGCATCTACTACGCTATCCATAAATATACAGAATTCATTTTGATATCTGGGCTAGTATTAAAGTTCCCTATGCAAATACATGTTAATCACTGAACGCAGAAAAAGTTTAGAAGGGTGTTCATGGACCGTTTGTACGGGAACCTATGTCGGCGGCTCGCCCCCGCTACACTACCACCTAATAGATAAATTCGATCAAACGACGCGACATCGAACAATCGAACCAATCAGCGCTCAAAGCCTGACGACCTCCATAGCCGAGTGGTTTGTACGCCGGGTTTCATGGCATTGCCGACTCGAGAGGTCCCGGGTTCGAATCCCGGGAGGATGTGTGATGAACACAAGCATTTGTACTCCAGTCATGGATGTTAAATATGTATTACTATATAAATATACTTATATATGTAAAGTATATGTATTCTATCCGTTATCCTAGTATCCCATAACTATATAACCCCTAGCCTTATAGTGCTTACTTTGGGGCTAAGCTAATTGGTGTGAGTGTAAAATAAAAAAATAAAAAAAAAAAGCCGAGAGCAACGACGCAATCAGAACCAAGTTTTGGTCCAGCTATGAGCATTTGCTTACACATAACTGTGGCGAACCTGCCCCGCCCACACCTTCTAACCTCATTCTGTGTTCCGTGATGTAAATAATATCTTTTTTTTTGTCGTTAATTTTGTTATATTGAAGAATTATATATATTCGTTTTTTATTGCGTATAGTTTCCAAGGCGCCACTAATAGTTAATAAATTTCTTTATTCATAACTTGTTTCAGTTTGTCATTCTGATTGTTATTTAATTAAAATCCGGTGCGTTTGTACTGTCTCTTAAGCATGATGTGGCTACCTTCAATAGAAATTTGCATTTTGTATGTATCACTGTAATGTTTACAAATAAGTATAAATGTAATATGTAATGGGTTCGAGTCCCGTCTGCTGCCTGATCCGCGTGAAATTTTTCTAGTTATATTTTCTTTAGATTTAAACATCAAGCAGTTACATGCTTTAAAAATAAAAACTATAACAATGTAACTTTCTCTGGTGGTCCTAATAAATAAATAAATATATATCAATACTTTGTTTTAGCCACTTCGAAAATAATATAGTCGAGAAGAGCATCCACACGCCTGCAATAGTTTTGTTCTATACGGACTGGTGTTTCGACTGCGTGCGTTCTGCGTCCGCGTGGAGGCGATTGGTGGATGCGTTGCAACCGCTGGGGGTGACGCTGGCGACTGTGCACGCGGGACATGAAGCGAGTCTCGCGAGACGGATGGGCGTTCATGGGGTGCCTTGCCTCACGCTAGTACTGGACAAGCACGTCTACATTTACAAGGAAGGCTTGTCGTCCATGCCGAAAATATTAGGTAAGATATTGAGTGGTTCGATGGCGCAAGTGGTTAGCGCGTTCGGCTGCGATCGTTGGAGTTAGGCAACTTTCGCAGCGGTCTGCGGTTCAGTTCGGACTTGTATATAAAAATCTCTGATTTTATGAGAATTAAGAACTTGTATTGCAGAAATTTTCATTAACAAAACTAATATAAATCTGTCTCCTAAAAGCAAGGCACTATAATGGGAAACAGCTTGATTAAAGGTCTAGTTTTCACAAAACCTAATATTTTTAATTCGTTTCTAATGTATGTTTGCAAAATGAGGTCCACTATTATTAAGTACTTTTTGTCCTTTAGAATTTATGCGCTGGAAGTTTCCGTACAAGCTCGTTCATAGTATTAACAATGGCAACGTAGAGGCTTTCGTGTCAGACTTCGAGGACAACAAAGTGAAGGCATTGATATTCGAAGAACGCCAAACAATCCGCCTTCGATACCTTATCGCTGCATACCACTACAGGGACAGAGTTGCTTTTGGGTAAGTATTTGTGGTACAGAATAATGCTAAGTGGTACATAATACGATGGTTATTTTATTTTGCAGTGGTCGGTCATTGGATGGGTGACTAAAAATTTACTATCTCGAGCTTGTCCGTGGTTCGGAAGGCACGTTAAGCCGTTGGTCCCGGCTACATCTGCTGTCGTTAGCATCCGCCAATCCGCACTGGACCCGCGTGGTGGTCATGGCCCAATCTCCCTATTCCATCCATAGGGAATGCCTGTGCCCGAGCAGTGGGGACATTAATAGGCTGATTATGATGATGACATATATCTATGTCCAAAATTTGCCTGAGTCATTGATTACTTGTCTTAATTGCGTTAATATTATATATCAATGAACTTCCACCACAGTTGATTGCACAATAGAGAAATCATGATTGATCCGGCTCGAAGGACCAAACATCTCACTTATTTTTACAATATTCTGTCGTACGTTGATCAGTGATGTGATAGGGAATGTAAAATGAGGTTATTTTGGTATTATTACAATTTATTTTTTCCTAAAGATTCGTGGATATGACGGCGCGCGACGCGTCTAACGTGACCGCTCGGTACAAGGTGCAGAGGCAAACTGACACGATGGTGCTGCTGAAAGAAGACAGCGAGGAACCCGTGGCCACCGTCAGCACCACGGAGATCCCCACGCAGACCCTGCACCAGCTCATCGAACCCAACCAGATGCTAATGTTGCCCAGGCTTTCCTCGCAGGTGACTATGAGAACTTTTATTGTGGGCATTCAGTTTTTTTATAATGATGACAAAAGTAAGGGATATTAGTAATTCTGTTGTGTATTTCAATAAAAAAACTAAATCAAAAATTCCATATTTGAAGTCGTTTGAATTTTACTCTTCGCCAATCCCAGGCGTTTTCAGTCACGTGACCAAAGACAAAAAGACATTTCTGTTTACTGTTTTTTTAGAACAGTTATTAATATAAGAAGAAGAATACTAAAATTGCTTCTCATATTCATATTGAATACCTGATGCCAACAAATGGTACTTTATTTTTCATACTGTCAAATAGTCAAATAGCCTATTGACATGTATTGACCGCCGATACTGTGCGTGGCGTTCAGACGTCGATCGGAACATTACGCTGAAGTAAGACGCAGCGTATAGCTTTTTAATAGGAGACCGTAGCCTAAATAAACGCGTGGTTTTCAGAGCGTGCTGGAGATGGTGTGCCCGGTGGAATGGCGCTCGGCGCGGCGGCGGCTGTGCTGCGTGCTGGTGGTCGACCCCGCCACCCCCGCCGGGGTCAACGCCCGCGCCGCCCTGCGAGCCCTCGCCGCGCGCCCCGCACCCGACCGCCTGCACTACGCCTACGTGTACGCGCACGCGCAGCCCGCCTTCCTACACGCGCTCGCGCACGGCTCAGGTACTGTACACCCCGCCACCCCGCCACCCCGCCGGGGTCAACGCCCGCGCCGCCCTGCGAGCCCTCGCCGCGCGCCCCGCGCCCGACCGCCTGCACTACGCCTACGTGTACGCGCACGCGCAGCCCGCCTTCCTACACGCGCTCGCGCACGGCTCAGGTACTGTACACCCCGCCACCCCGCCACCCCGCCGGGGTCAACGCCCGCGCCGCCCTGCGAGCCCTCGCCGCGCGCCCCGCGCCCGACCGCCTGCACTACGCCTACGTGTACGCGCACGCGCAGCCCGCCTTCCTACACGCGCTCGCGCACGGCTCAGGTACTGTACACCCCGCCACCCCGCCACCCCGCCGGGGTCAACGCCCGCGCCGCCCTGCGAGCCCTCGCCGCGCGCCCCGCGCCCGACCGCCTGCACTACGCCTACGTGTACGCGCACGCGCAGCCCGCCTTCCTACACGCGCTCGCGCACGGCTCAGGTACTGTACACCCCGCCACCCCGCCACCCCGCCGGGGTCAACGCCCGCGCCGCCCTGCGAGCCCTCGCCGCGCGCCCCGCGCCCGACCGCCTGCACTACGCCTACGTGTACGCGCACGCGCAGCCCGCCTTCCTACACGCGCTCGCGCACGGCTCAGGTACTGTACACCCCGCCACCCCGCCACCCCGCCGGGGTCAACGCCCGCGCCGCCCTGCGAGCCCTCGCCGCGCGCCCCGCGCCCGACCGCCTGCACTACGCCTACGTGTACGCGCACGCGCAGCCCGCCTTCCTACACGCGCTCGCGCACGGCTCAGGTACTGTACACCCCGCCACCCCGCCACCCCGCCGGGGTCAACGCCCGCGCCGCCCTGCGAGCCCTCGCCGCGCGCCCCGCGCCCGACCGCCTGCACTACGCCTACGTGTACGCGCACGCGCAGCCCGCCTTCCTACACGCGCTCGCGCACGGCTCAGGTACTGTACACCCCGCCACCCCGCCACCCCGCCGGGGTCAACGCCCGCGCCGCCCTGCGAGCCCTCGCCGCGCGCCCCGCGCCCGACCGCCTGCACTACGCCTACGTGTACGCGCACGCGCAGCCCGCCTTCCTACACGCGCTCGCGCACGGCTCAGGTACTGTACACCCCGCCACCCCGCCACCCCGCCGGGGTCAACGCCCGCGCCGCCCTGCGAGCCCTCGCCGCGCGCCCCGCGCCCGACCGCCTGCACTACGCCTACGTGTACGCGCACGCGCAGCCCGCCTTCCTACACGCGCTCGCGCACGGCTCAGGTACTGTACACCCCGCCACCCCGCCACCCCGCCGGGGTCAACGCCCGCGCCGCCCTGCGAGCCCTCGCCGCGCGCCCCGCGCCCGACCGCCTGCACTACGCCTACGTGTACGCGCACGCGCAGCCCGCCTTCCTACACGCGCTCGCGCACGGCTCAGGTACTGTACACCCCGCCACCCCGCCACCCCGCCGGGGTCAACGCCCGCGCCGCCCTGCGAGCCCTCGCCGCGCGCCCCGCGCCCGACCGCCTGCACTACGCCTACGTGTACGCGCACGCGCAGCCCGCCTTCCTACACGCGCTCGCGCACGGCTCAGGTACTGTACACCCCGCCACCCCGCCACCCCGCCGGGGTCAACGCCCGCGCCGCCCTGCGAGCCCTCGCCGCGCGCCCCGCGCCCGACCGCCTGCACTACGCCTACGTGTACGCGCACGCGCAGCCCGCCTTCCTACACGCGCTCGCGCACGGCTCAGGTACTGTACACCCCGCCACCCCGCCACCCCGCCGGGGTCAACGCCCGCGCCGCCCTGCGAGCCCTCGCCGCGCGCCCCGCGCCCGACCGCCTGCACTACGCCTACGTGTACGCGCACGCGCAGCCCGCCTTCCTACACGCGCTCGCGCACGGCTCAGGTACTGTACAAGTACGGTTTGCAAAAAAACACTTGGAGCCCTTTTTTAGCACTCCGCTAATTCCAATCGAAAGAATAAAAACCAAACATTTGTAAACAAACAATAACAAATATTGATAATTAATATCGGTTGATATTTTTTTTCACTTATTGAGCTTTGGTCATGAATGGTTGATATATATATTATCAACCATGATTGCGTGATTTAGTCGTCAACCAAATGTCACTTTAAGTTGCGTTCAGAAACTCGATTTCAAACTTTCGTGTACATAAAGGATGCATGTTCGTATGTGACCTAGTAATAGTGCATGATTATTCATAACTACTCCGGCGGTAATGCAGAGATGAGCGGAATAGAAGAGCTAGATTCTGATTAATGTTTTTTCTCAATCTTAGTAAATAAATGTTAAAAAAAAAACTGATGCTTTTTCTCACTTAATCTTAGTAAATAAGTTTTATTAAATAAAAAAATTTTTTTGCTCACTATTTGGTTTGCATTGATAGCTATGACAACACAATATGGCGCCCAGTCGGTAGGTAGCCAGTATAAGGCTTATCATTACTACATTCCATCATTTTGTTTTGTCCTTTGTTATAACATGGCGTTTGTTTTCCATGAATAATGAAATGAAATAAAGTAAATAAATGTATAAACTTCTATGAGCATGTGCTCTTAAGATAAACTCCGGATCACCTCGCCCACAAGCTGACCCTATGCAGATGACGAGTAGACTACGTGATAATAACTTGTACAACCAAAAGCTGTCATGCTAACAAGCGTTGCCCGCTTAGTCTAAGGGTGCGGCCAGAGTGCACTCAGATTCAGATTCAGATTCTGAAAACAAGCGCGAGAAATAAACAGTGTAGTCTAAGCAGGTTGCCTGCTTTTTCTCGCGCTTTGTTTTCTGAGTCTGAATCTGAATCAGGAGTGCACTCTGGCCGCACCCTATCGCTCGAGTCCCAAGTAGCGAATGACGCGATTTACATCCGTCGCTATGCGTGTTTGCTATTTGTAACCATAACATCAGTTTGTCCTTTTCATTCCTTGTGAAGAAATATTGTCATCATAAGAGAGAACTGCCGATATAAAACAAACACTTAAGTTTTATAAGCACTCAATGAAACTAATACATTAAAACGTTTATCTCGCAGGTAGCGATTCGTCAGAAATGGAACACCGTGTGGTGATAATATGGCGTCGCGAGAGCTCTCGCATACAATACGAGTGGTTGAACGAAACCTGGCCTGTGTGCGGTCATCAGCATTGTGTTAACGGCGAATATCCCGTAGATCCGACGCTTAAAGACGAGTTCATAAAGTACCAAGAGCGACTCAACGAGACAAAGAGAGCGCTGGAACAACTGATCAAGAGGCTGTTAAAACCGACCGAGGTGTTGGCTTACGAAGCTCAGGTGCAGGTATGTACAAGAGCATACGTGAAAATTACTATTTTTGTTTATTTCTTTTATTTGAAGTATTTAAATGCTAGATGTTTATATCTAAAGAAAATTCTACTAGAAAATAAATCCACGCGTAGCTGGCAGCAGACGCGACTCGAACCCGTACCATCCGCTATCCGGGTGGATGCACTGACCATTATGCTACCGGGGCCCTTATGTCCGTGTCGAATTTTTTTCTAGTGTTTGTGTGTGCTTATTGTGGTTTACCTTCAAAGCGAAGAGATGGCGCTGCCTTGCATCATAAGAAACAGTAGTGTTATTTTATAACATTATATACTCTACCTGTACGGGTTTAGCCGCACATTAAACTCATAATAAGTAGGTTAACGCGTCAGCAATATGACTCGCTGCGCGACTTGTTACTTTATAATTTATTAATTTCATTGTTTCGCAATAATAACATATTGAATCTATAATTAGTGTCTATCCGGTAGCCTTACCAACCGCGCGTACTCACTCTTACCTTTTCACCATAATAGGCTTTTTGTCCTTAACAAAGATCATATCCTTGCGCAGGAGTTGGTGGACGAGGCGAGCTTGGTTGGCGTTGGCGCTTGGGCGGCGCGCGCTCGTGAATGGGCCGAGCGGGCTCTATTAGCGCTCCGCACGCAGCACGCGCTCTCTGCGGCTTCCGTGCTGGCCACGTGCGCTCTCGTGCTGGCGGCCGGCTACCTCATGGCGTACCTCATGTGCGTACTGTGTCCGAGCGGCCGTTACTGGCGCTCCGCACGCGGCACGCGCTCTCTGCGGCTTCCGTGCTGGCCACGTGCGCTCTCGTGCTGGCGGCCGGCTACCTCATGGCGTACCTCATGTGCGTACTGTGTCCGAGCGGCCGTTACTGGCGCTCCGCACGCAGCACGCGCTCTCCGCGGCCTCCGTGCTGGCCACGTACGCGCTCGTGCTGGCGGCCGGCTACCTCATGGCGTACCTCATGTGCGTACTGTGTCCGAGCGGCCGTTACTGGCGCTCCGCACGCAGCACGCGCTCTCCGCGGCCTCCGTGCTGGCCACGTACGCGCTCGTGCTGGCGGCCGGCTACCTCATGGCGTACCTCATGTGCGTACTGTGTCCGAGCGGCCGTTACTGGCGCTCCGCACGCAGCACGCGCTCTCCGCGGCCTCCGTGCTGGCCACGTACGCGCTCGTGCTGGCGGCCGGCTACCTCATGGCGTACCTCATGTGCGTACTGTGTCCGAGCGGCCGTTACTGGCGCTCCGCACGCAGCACGCGCTCTCCGCGGCCTCCGTGCTGGCCACGTGCGCGCTCGTGCTGGCGGCCGGCTACCTCATGGCGTACCTCATGTGCGTACTGTGTCCGAGCGGCCGTTACTGGCGCTCCGCACGCAGCACGCGCTCTCCGCGGCCTCCGTGCTGGCCACGTGCGCGCTCGTGCTGGCGGCCGGCTACCTCATGGCGTACCTCATGTGCGTACTGTGTCCGAGCGGCCGTTACTGGCGCTCCGCACGCAGCACGCGGCCTCCGCGGCCTCCTTAGCCTGGAATTTTTGAGGGCGTCACCAAACTTACGATAGAATTAGTAAATATTTGGTCACTAATGTCGCACCGCTTATAGGAAAAAATTGCCTGATTTTCAGCAGTCTTAATATTTAGATAGAAACCATCGTCACAAACATTGGTGAATACATTGCGGCTAGGGGCAGAAGATATTTCAATTTGACGTGTGCGTTTGAGGGGGAGGCTGCCATTCCGCACTGGGCCCGCGTAGTGGGTCATGGCCCAATCTCCCTATTCCATCCATAGGGAAGGCCTGTGCCCCAGCAGTGGGGACATTAATAGGCTGATGATGATGAACGTGGTGGGAGTCAAGGGGAGATATGCCCCGAGCGGCAAAATATTATACTATTCAAAAAATACCCATTTTGAAATAGTCTTCGCTACGAATAGCTAATATATCCAGTACTCTCGCAGTAATATTATCGCAAGTGTATATACACTTAAATGGCTGTTTACTATTCATCAGACAGCCATCCATTATCAGTGGCGGCGCTAGACCACATGTGGACGTCGGCGACATCAAGTTCGCGAGGCCTATTTTAATTCGCAGTAAAAAACCGTTAAGTGAGCCAAATTATAAAATAACGTGTTAGTAAATGAGTTTTATTGTTGATAATCAAATGATGACAAAAAATAATTACAAACATAGAAATTTAATTACAAAAATAGTGTTGCCAGGCAGACGCTTCCATCACGCACGTGTTCGAAAATAATAAAAGTCATTATCATCTGCTTAGCATTATCCCCGAATTGTGCGGGGTCGGCTACCTAAGCCAGGCCAGGAGAAACGAAAATAAATAGGTAACTTGTAAAAAATTTTTGCGAGGCCCCCTCAGGCGCGAGGCCGTCGGCGGTGGCCGACGTCGCCGACGCCTAGCGCCGCCACTGTCCATTATGCTACATTGCCACCGTCTTACATTATAAAAATTTACTTAACAGACGAGTCGAGGAAGAGTCAGTGCGACGTCAGAAAGAGGAGCGCAGGAAGCAAAGTTTAAACGGCAAGAAGAACAACAACGAACCGCAGCCGGAAATGAGACTCCACGAACTGAGGGCGGAGAAATATAACGGACTTGTCAGGTAACTTATGATAATTTATTGTTTTAAACTTTCATGGTCACTAACATAGTGTATATATATATACAACTATTATTTATTAAGTCTATTTCCTATAACAGTAGTAATAAATTATTTTTATTTTAATTTTTATTGCACTTTCTGTTTCCCGCTAAGTTTTAAATCGCCGACACCACCTAGGTTGGCTGGAAGAGATCTCTTTTAGAGATAAGCCCACCTTTGCTTACTATGTATTTGACTATATGTTTTAAACTGTATGATGCAATAAAGAGTATAATAACATTATAGCTATTAACGGGATTGTTACCATGTACCTTGTTTTTTATGAGTCTCCGATATTTCGGCACTGTTGCAAGCGCCATGATCACGGAGTAACTGAAGTAATTGCGGGTAGATGTTATTGGCAGACATATCGGTCGGTGAATAGTGAGAATGTGACCAGTGGTAGGGGTATCGAGCGCAGTAAAAGACGACGTCAGAGGGTAGACCGATATGTCTGCCAATAACATCTACCCGCAATTACTTCAGTTACTCCGTGATCATGGCGCTTGCAACAGTGCCGAAATATCGGAGACTCATAAAAAACAAGGTACATGGTAACAATCCCGTTAATAGCTATAATTATGATAATTTGTTTGCAATAAATATCTGTTTCTTTACCTCCTTGGCCTAGTGGTTTGTGTGATGAATACGAGTATTTTTACTCAAAGGATGTTTAACATGTATCTATATATATAAAACTCAAAGATGACTGACTGACTGACTGACATAGTGATTTATCAACGCACAGCCCAAACCACTGGACGGATCAGACTAAACTTTGGCATGCAGTAGATGTTATGACGTAGGCATCCGCTAAGAAAGGATTTTGATCAATTCTACCCCCAAGGGGATAAAATAGGGAATGAAACTTTGTCAATTTTAAACCGATCGGACTGAGACTTTGCATCCAGGTATAAAAAGAATCATAGATGAATGTCATTGTGTATAATACAAGCCTGAGAACAAATACTGTAGTCTACACTTCAGCTCTACACTTTAGCGAAGCGAGGGCGGGCCGCTAGTTGCTATATAAATATACACTTATATATGTATAAGTATATGTATTCTATCCGTTACCCAGTATCCCATAACACAAGCCTACAGTGCTTACTTTGGGACTAGGCTAATCGGTGTGAGTGTTGGAAATATAATTATTAACATTCTCGCTCCAAGATTGATCCAATAAACTATTTTTATCATCAAAAGCCTTTTAATTTACCGAATAGAGAGGACTGATCGTGGCCCATTACACGGGCTCAGTATAATAATAATCACAATAAACATTATTCTGACGATGCAGACCTGAAAATACTGTGAAACGTCAATAAATAAATAAAGTTCGTGCATTAACCCGTTGAAAATAGTTTTATTTAATAATAATCATTTATTTCAGATAAACATCTATATACATAATTATTAATACAAGTTAGTAACAATGACGGGCTTATCCTATGTTAGTATTATTGGTATATTAATAAAGCATTCTTAAATTAAAAAAATATCCGCCAATAATATAATAATGCAAAATATGTATGTGTATATATTTGTGAAGGTACATATAGTATGTATATATTTATGTAGGTATATGTTATTTATTTGTTTATAATCTTTATAATATGTTCAAGAAAATATGTATATTTCTTTGTTTTATCTTGCTGACATACTGCAACTTCCTCTTCGTTTAGCTATCCTTTACCGCAAAGGTTGTCTGGAAGAGATCGCTTAAAGCGATAAACCCGCCTTTGCCCACATAATGTTTCTTTTTTTGTATTCTTTTGTGCGTGTGCAATAAAGAATTTATCTATCTATCTTATCCGCCATATTGATGATGATTATAATTATAATATGTATTAGTGAGTGCTAACAACAACAAATGCATTCTGGACAAACGGCTTGACAACTCTCAAAGCATGGAGTAACAATAACTAAGCTCAAAGCAATGGGGAAGAAAACTGCCAATTTATCGAATAGTGTCGAATATTACATAACAACAAAACGAGACAGCTGTCAAGATCACAAGGAAAACCGACACATCCTGATAGACTTCGGCTGCGTTCTAAATCTATGCTCCAGGTGCAACAAATGCCCAATTTGACAAAAAAATCTGTATTTAATGTCAACATTTTTCTTTATATATTTAATGTTCAAATAACGAAAACATGATCCAAAATATGTTAGTAAATACTTATATTACGTAGATTGGTGATGGTGTAATGGTACATGTACAATACAAAAATGGTACATTAATGTACATTGAAGCGTCAGGGTAAAAAGTTGCACTCAGAGCATAGGTTTAGAACGCAGCCTTGAAGTGTCAGGTTGCTTGTTACGGTCCAAACAGCCATAGCGCCATGTGCAAAATAACTGCGTCTTTTTCTGTATTAAATAATATTTATATCTTTGTATCTAGCTAGGGATATTGAACTGGAAATAGTTTTGAACAGATTTCTTTTCTACAAACAGATTATTGAAGCCGGGCTGTCGAACGATTGTTCTGCTCGTCGACATGCAGAGCCGCGTGCAACTGCTTTCCAAGTTTCACAAGATTGTGTGGCCGTATCGCAAGTGAGTACATTACATACCTACTTTAACATTTTAATTTATAAAAAAATATGTAGGCAAATTATTATATTTTAATTTACGCATTTGACTATTGAATGTTTAAATCTAAAGAAAAATAAATCCCAGCCAAAAAAGGTGCGGGTCCGTCTGAAACCGAATGGATTTTCTTATAGTAAAATTTTGTTTAGATCGAGGTAAAGTATATATAATATCTTCTACATTTATAAAAATCAAATTTCGCACTTATGACGAAGTATAACAAGAACTATAACTCGGTAAACGTAGTGTAGGACGCCCTGAGACAAGATGGGATGATGATATTCGTAGGATGGCTGGAGTGGGCTGGATGAGAGTAGCACAATCGAGAGCAGTGGCGTGCATTAGGGGAGACCTATGTCCAGCAGTGGACCAACATGGGTTGATGATGATAACAAGAACTTAATAAGCTCTGTAACGTGTGATTCTCGTCTCAATTTCGGTTATAAATTTGATTATATATGTGAAGCGACTAATGTTAGGCAACCGGATGGAGATTGAGAGTGATTCTTGGCCAAGAAAGCTCAAAGCTCTTCGCTTTTATAGTAGACGAGCAGCGCCATCTAGTCCCCTTCCTGTGAAAGCTGCGTAGAGGATTGATCGGAGTCGGATCGATATTTCAAAAATAATTTATGAAATAGTTTCATAAATTATGCACAGAAGTGCTTAGTTTGGTAATTTTATCAGAAGAAAGTATAATTTTGTTTTCTTTTCTAAAGATTTAAATAAAAAGTTGATTTTGATATGTTTTACTGTCTTTTTGTTACCACTTTTTATTACCAATACAATCCCGGGATTAACTGTAGATAATCTCGAAATCCCGGTATTAGAAAAATCGACTGAGATCGAATCCTCTAAAGCTGCGGCAATTATTGGTTTTGCCTGACAAATGTGATTCACTTTTCACGTCCAGTCGCTAGATGGAGCTCGTAGTTATGAACAAAATCAGTTTCACGTTTTCGAGTTTAGCAATCTAATGATTTGATTTGAAATAGGAACAAGAGCCTCCTATTCGCGTACCTGATGGTAGAACGCAACATCGAGTGGTTCCGGCGCGTGCTTCAACTGTCTCTGGGCGGGGGGGAGCTGCGGGTCAACGCCCGCAACTGTGTGGGCACCGTGCTTGCCCTCAACCCGCACCGCAAATACTTCTGCATCTACCACGCCAAGCATCCCGAGGGCACCAAGCCACACAAGGTGAATATTACTGTGAAATACTTTTATGTTAGATATTATTCGCGCGTCCTTCCTCGTCAAAACTATACTTGTGTAGAAGGAACTTCCCCTATGTATTAGAATGTCCGCTAGCCTTTCTTTAAGATTAAAGTACAATAATACAACACGTGACATAATGAAACATTAAATATGTTTATTTTCTTGTTCTTTGAAGCGACTTTCTTCAATAATATAATATTAATTAGACCTAACTTATATTCCCCTGCTGGAACCTATGGATGTAGTAGGGAGATTGTACCTTGTGAAGTAATAGGGAGATTGTACCATGACTCACTACGCAGGTTCCGTGTGGATTGGAGAATGCTAATAATTGTATATGCAGCCAGACAGGACAACGGCTTAATGTTCCGTACTTTTGGTCACCCATCGTATGACTGCCCATTACTAGGGTTGTTCAATATCCACAATCGTAGACAAAACGTCTTTCTTTCGATGAAATTTAAGCTAAATTCAGATTTTCATATGAACTCACTCTAATAGTAAAGAGCCGATAAAAATATTACAGGCATGATTTTATTTAAAATGTCAATGGTTCTATTTGTTTACTAACTGAACACATGTTTTGGTTGATGGCAGCGCATGTCTCGTATGACGCGGTCCCTGGGAGGGGCTGGGGAAGGCGCCGACCCCGAAGCGGGGGCCTTCATCGGCTTCCACACCGAGCCCGACTCCTCCTCCGACGAGGTCAACGACCCGCCCGTGCTGCTGCAAGGTGACCCCACACACTACACTATACTACAGCACACGGTCATCGGGCCCACACCGAGCCCGACTCCTCCTCCGACGAGGTCAACGACCCGCCCGTACTGCTGCAAGGTGACCCCACACACAACACTATACTACAGCACACGGTCATCGAGCCCACACCGAGCCCGACTCCTCCTCCGACGAGGTCAACGACCCGCCCGTACTGCTGCAAGGTGACCCCACACACTACATTATACTACAGCACACGGTCATCGGGCCCACACCGAGCCCGACTCCTCCTCCGACGAGGTCAACGACCCGCCCGTACTGCTGCAAGGTGACCCCACACACAACACTATACTACAGCACACGGTCATCGGGCCCACACCGAGCCCGACTCCTCCTCCGACGAGGTCAACGACCCGCCCGTACTGCTGCAAGGTGACCCCACACACAACACTATACTACAGCACACGGTCATCGGGCCCACACCGAGCCCGACTCCTCCTCCGACGAGGTCAACGACCCGCCCGTACTGCTGCAAGGTGACCCCACACACAACACTATACTACAGCACACGGTCATCGGGCCCACACCGAGCCCGACTCCTCCTCCGACGAGGTCAACGACCCGCCCGTACTGCTGCAAGGTGACCCCACACACTACACTATACTACAGCACACGGTCATCGGGCCCACACCGAGCCCGACTCCTCCTCCGACGAGGTCAACGACCCGCCCGTACTGCTGCAAGGTGACCCCACACACAACACTATACTACAGCACACGGTCATCGAGCCCACACCGAGCCCGACTCCTCCTCCGACGAGGTCAACGACCCGCCCGTACTGCTGCAAGTTGACCCCACACACTACACTATACTACAGCACACGGTCATCGGGCCCACACCGAGCCCGACTCCTCCTCCGACGAGGTCAACGACCCGCCCGTACTGCTGCAAGGTGACCCCACACACTACACTATACTACAGTACACGGTCACCGGGCCCACACCGAGCCCGACTGTACTCCGACGAGGTCAACGACCCGCCCGTGCTGCTGCAAGGTGACCCACACACCACACTATACCGCAGTTTTTTACACCCACGCCTTAATATTATTACCACTTTTTTTTTTAAAACATAACTAAAGACCTCATCTAATCTATGGGTCAGAACTGAAAATTAGCGATTTACTCTCGGAGTAAATGTTACGCTGAGTTTTCGCCCATTCGCATCGCTGCTGCACACGAAAATATCAGTATAGTTGTGTAAATATAATTTGTTGTATGTTTTAAAGGATTTATATAATTGTAGAATTTGTCTTTAATTTTGTATGTGTGCATGTTGGTGTGAATAAAGTTTTATCTTTCTATCTATCTAAATATCTAGACAAGGGGGGTCATGCTCGAAGACGTCAATTTACACTTAAGTTTAACTTGATGCTGTCGGTTTCTGTGTCTGATTTACAGTTCTTACCGCCCTACGCTAACTATGAATATGCGATCCCAGCTTTTCCCAGCAGATTTTGTAAAAGTAGTAATCATATAAAAAATAACCGTCAAATAAAAATAAAAACTTACAAACCCGGTATCGCGGATACAACACTACATAAAGAAAAGCCGGTATCATATTTGCAAACTTGACATTTGCATGTGTCATTTTTGTCTCAGAGATTAAAAAACAGACTATAGGTTATAGCTTTATTAGCCTGTGGGTAAATCAGGCCCTGGTCACTATTGGTGATAACATTTGTTAAAGCCAACATCTCTTATCTATTAGACAAGTCCGTCCGTCCGTCCGTCTGTCTGTGGTGCTGTTTCAGCGGCCAAACCGCACAAAATCTCCGAAGTTCTCAATTAATCAAATACATTTTTTTTTTAAATCGGGTTTTGGTGAACATTCGGTTCACTGGTTTGCGAGTTCTTTAAATTTTGTTGATGTCTTTGAGTGCTTTTTTCAATTCTGACTTGTTCCTCTATATTACAGAGAACCTTCTGGACGGCCTGGAGAACTGGCTGGACCGGTTGTTCGAAGGCAGCACGCATCGCTACTACGTGAACTACTGGCCCGACATGACCACCAAGTGAGTGAGTGAGTGAGACAGCACTATTACTGCGCGCGCTCTGGTAACCACTTCGAACTTACCCACTGGTCGGTTTTAGATCTTTCCGTGAACTCTTCAGTTTCAGAAAAAGATTGGTTCTCGAGGCTTGAGGCCTTTCTCTCGAGGCGAAGTGTTTCTAAAATTATTTTTCTGTGTAATAATTTAAGATATTGTACCTACTGCCCGTTTGTTGATGTTTGCGACCACAGGTTTTGATGTGATCGCTTCTACCTGTACCCTTAGCACGAACCGCTATCGATTTCGAACAGTTTGCGAGTGCCTAATGTCACTGTCAAATTTTGTATGGAAACTTGAACAGCAGCGCCACAACGGACGTAACCAGAACTAAATATCTGTAGACATTTGCCGTTTAACTAGATCGAATTTAATTTTCTAATTCGGTAATGGTTCGTTTTAAGGGTACTGTACTGTATTCTTGTTATGATTGCGGTCGAGTGAATGCAAATACTTAGGTTTGTCTAGTGAAAGATAAAGTTCCTTTAAAACTACCCGCATATTTTTACTTATTAATTTACTTTTATGATAAATAGTAGGGGAGCCCAAGCGGGGATTTTTGGATTTACTCGAGCGCGGCAGAATAACATATGGGGAGCAACCTTGCACGAAGTTAAGTACTCCCACTATACCTGAGCCATCTATGTAGGGCCGAACGTCTAGGGCAGCAAAAACAAAATTTCAACAAACGGCCATGACTTTTGGTCGGGTCCAAATCGTCAGTCTTTTGAATAGGAGCTACTGGACACGCAACATCCCTTCTCAATGTCTGACGCGCTCGGTTATTTTTTCCTATATTCTACCCCTTCGCACGGCCACCCTCATATCATGCAAACCGCGGCAGATCTATATTTTTTCCGTTCTTAGAAACGTTACATGAACCCTCTAGTAGCTTATATTCAAAAGACTGACGATTTGGGCGCGACCAAAAGTCATGACCGTTCGTTGAAATTTTTGTTTTTGCTGTTCTACCCGTTCGGCCCTACATAGAGGGCTCAGGTATGGTGAAAGTACTCAACTAGGTGCAAGGTTGCTCCCCATATGTTATTCTGCTGCGCTCGAGTAAATCCAAAAATCCCTGCTTGGGCTCCCCTACTAAAACGTATATGCAAAACCAAAGAGTAACAAAATAGATATAATTTAAAGAAAAAAAAATGCCAAATTGTTATATTAAATCGTACGTTTCGTCTGTTTAGTGTGTCTTTTATTTTACTTAAATTATAAAGTATGAAACTTTTGACATGTTAAGATCATGGCAATATGACATTTAGAACCCAAAACATAAAGCTGATCGTCATTTAAGCAGAAAATTAATCTAAAAAGTATTTTCAGTGCCTTTTAGATTAATTTTCTGGAACGGGCAAATATTAAAGAATTATAAACGTTTGTTCTAAATAAGTTCGTTGATTGTCATCAATATAATTTTTAAAGTGTCAATTTGTTTATTTACGTTTTCTTTCTAAACTGTTATAACAGTCAAAGTCATGATAGTAAACATGCATTGCTTAGAAGACTTGCTTTTGATGCTGATGTCATTGTGCTGTTTGTGTGGACAAGCCGTTGATCGACTTCGATTTGTATGTCTCAACTAGTGTTGCCAGGTCCGATTTGTTTTAAATCGGCACATGAGGTCAAAAAAATCGGGACTTCGGTTTGCAGATCGGGACAGTAAACAAAAAACAAGGGATTTTTAAGTCTGCGTTTAATTTATTGCGTTTTAAACTACTAGTGCAAGTAAAGTGTTATATTAATAAACTAAATTTCATCTAATGATTAATCGGGACATTTAGCCTCCCGATCAGGTACAAATCGAGACGCGTCCCCAGACCCCTGAAAATCGGGACGTCCCGCGCAAATCGGGACAACTGGCAACACTAGTATCAACCCTAAACGGTTTCTCGAAGCCTTATCCAACTATAAATGTATGGGACTTTATTGATATTTCAAGAAGCCGTTACGCCCTCTGAAGAACAATCGGGAGTAGCGCGAACAGGGTATCTATAGGTTCCTACCCGCATTTCGTCCAGTACAGAGCCGAGTCTGTCTGTGTACTGGATGAAATTTTGTATGCAAATTTGAACAGCAGCGCCACAATCGACGTAACAAGAACTAAAAATCAGTACATATTTAATTCTGAGGACCGCTGCTTTTCATCGCGTAACGCACGTCGGGAGTACGGACGATGAACACATACATAGCCTGAGTTGAACAGCCATTACCTTATTTAATAAAAAATATGTTACCTGCATTACTAATGTTACTATTTACGAATTACTTCCATATAATCAAGTTTGAAAGAAATAATCAATTGACTACGAGGTGTTTGAATTCAGCCATCACAACACGCAGGACATATTGGTTCACGTGACAAGCCTCATAGACGACAGGTGTTGACACAATGATAACGCATTGTGAATGTTGTTAACCAACTTAAATAAAGTTTTATTACTATTTTGACTTTGACAAGATATGTTGTTTCAAACTTTCACGTTCACCATCGTTTAGTTATTAAGCGGTTTGCGTAATAGGGTATTTGACAAGTTTTAGAAAACGATCTCACGGTATTGACTAATGTTTATAGAGTCCATAAAAAGTGGATATTCTTCATTATGTTGTGCATTTCGGTAAAAGAACTAAATCAAAAACTCTACTTTCAAGTTGCCTCGAAAAACGTATCTCTGCACAATATGGCGTCTCACTGGTGTGTGACGTCACACGACTATCATTGAAACGTCAAACCATACAATCTAATGTCACTTTAACCGGAAGTTTACTTGCGTGTGACGTCATTTTAGGCTCCACCAATCCCAAGCGTTTTGGGTCACGACAGAAGACAAGAATCTTTATCGTGGGTTTTTAGTAAAATTATGAATATTTTTTCTGTAAAAATAGTGAAAACTCCTGCCAATATTCATTCTAAATACAGATGATAACAATTGGCACTTTATTTTTAATACTGTCAAATACCCTATTTAAATAAAGTTTTTTTTACTATTTTGACTTTGACAAGATATGTTGTTTCAAACTTTCACGTTCACTATCGTTATAGTAATTAGCGGTTTGCGTAATTCTATTTGCTTCCATGTATAGGGTTGCGGCAAACTTCTTGAGCAAAACCACAGACACACTCGCAGTAGACGTTTTTGTATGTTAAACTGCTCATGCGCAGGCAGCCTTGTCTATGGTCGATACTCAAAGAGTTTGCCGGGGCGTTTACCTTATCTTTTGCGATTCCCGTTATTTAGACTTTAATATTCATGTTATCGACCAAAGGCGAACAGAAAAGACTAGCCAGTCTAATCGTTAAAGATGAGGTCAAAATTATCTGATCTAAATTCGAGTTGTGCCCATAACATGTGGGTACATAAAAATAACAAGACTTACCAATATTACCATCGTACACATCACGCGGTTAACAGATTTAGGCCTGATTTCTCGAACACTGGATAAAATTTATCTGTCTTATACGGACAAAATAAAGAGTTACGTTCATTGGTGCAATGTGACGGATGACATCTCTCTCTCTATTTATTTGAGTATTATTTTATTGAACAGTTAAGTTTTATCCGAGTTTTGAAAAATCGGTCCTTAAACCTATTTTTACGGCGCCTTTAGTACGGCAATGCAATAGCTACTGTCGATGATGAACGCTTATCTCACATAGCGGTCCGACTGAAGTTTACCCTGTATTGTGTAGCTAGTAATATAATATAGCGATGATGTAGCTTATGAAACGAAGATATTATCAGTAAATAAATTCGGCGAGCGGTGTAAATGTCTTTTTGCGACAGACTTAAAAGTGTCTACAGTGCCTCAGATAAGGCTAGGTACTCATTAGCTAGCTGTAACCGTAACCGTTGCATGCACTGGTGGTTTTCCAAATACAGAGCATTATGCGACTCAGTGGCGCACAATGCCGAATTATGCTGATGCTTAATTGGAACGTGAATTAGTTTTCAAATGCACCAGCAGAGTGCGCTAAGTTCAGTGTTGAAAAAAAAAGTCAATGTTTGTACCTTCATCCATATTTATATTTAATTTTTAACACAGTTTGAATTAACTTTGATTATTTAAAAAAAACTATAATGAAACGAAAGTTTTAATAATTTTTTCAACAATAAATAATATTACTAACGATAACATATAAATAAAACATTTCGATCAATGCCAACATAAAGAAAAAACACTTGTTAATTTTCTGTCTCTGAGTTGGTACGATTGCACGCATCACACGAAAGCATTACTTTTGAGAGTGCTCGATTGTGCGAAGCGTTGCTGTAGTTGAAACACTCAACGTTAAACATAATGCGCTATAATGCTGTAATTGGAAAGCTACCACTGTAACCGAAAAGCATAGTGTGTACGTGGTTCGCTAACCTGCTGCGAGCGGTACGCGTACAGTTTGCAGCGAGCCTACGTTTACAACTGAGCTACAAGCGTACACACTAGAACCTTGTACTGATGATAGTAGTAGTAGTAGATGTTTACACTGGCCATGTTTTTTATTATATAAATAAATTGTTTACATTTTTATAATTATAGAAATTAGCTGTATACTAGCGAATTTTCACGATGCATCACAATAAATAGAGTTAAATACGAATATAATCGTCAGTATTACGACACTGCGCACCTGATTAAAATTATGACAATATGCGATTATGTACTTTGATGGATGTCTTTAATAAAGTGATGATTACCTTTAGTGAGTGAAATATGTGGGGACTGTGTGCATCATAATTTGATTGGGATATACAGGGTGTAAAAAAACCTATAGCGAAGTTGAAGGCCACGTATTTTCTACATCATGACGATCATTTTTTTTTCTTCTGGACCATACCTGGGAAATTTATGGTTATGGAGATTTTGAAGGTCAAAGCCAAAATATGTTTTTCAAGATTTATACATTATATTATTATTTTATTTTCAAAACGATATTTAGAAACTTTTTTATCGACGCACTTACACACACGCACACTCATACACAAAGGAACATTCTTTGCGTAGCGCCACAGTGGCGCGCCGCGCTATACATTGCGTGCTGGAAAAAAGTGATTTTTTTTAACTTAAAAATACAATTTTTACCACCTATAATATTTTGTAATATGACATGTTTGGGTGTACAGAATGCGTAGTTTAAGTCTTTGTCATAGGTTTTTTTTACACCCTGTATGTAGTAGCAAACTTCTTGAGAAAAACCACAAATCAACATGCGCAGTAGACGTTTTTGTATGTAAAATTGCTACTGCGCAGGCTGCCTTGTCTATGGTCTTTGTTCAAGAAGTTTGCCGGGGTGTATACCTATCTAAGCTGCTGTTTGCTTTGTAAATATATCTTTTATTTATATTGATAACATTTCAAAGATTCATCCAGCAAAGTATATAATAAGTGTTTTATAAATTTAAACCTCTTTGTACCTACTTATATAGGTTTTAGTAATTCGGCTTGTTTATTATCGCCATACGCCATACTATATTATTAAGAGAAGTTTCAATGGAACAAATTATTATCAATAGTGATTATATCCGTGCCTATTTACAAATGTATTAATATTTTAATTTTGTCATAATACTATGCATGCATGACAGCGACAATGGTGTCGTTTCCGACACGATTCTTTAAACCTAATCTTAAATTTGACAACAGAGTATCCTTGTCTTTCTCTATACAGAATGAAAAGGAGAGACTGATGTTAAATTTAGTTGTAAGTTTAGAGAATCATGTCAGAATCTACACCAATGTTAGAACTCATTAATTTGTCTTATCAATTTTAATGTATTCAAATAAAATAATTTACGATTATTGTATTTTTTCATCACTGATGCTCTGAATGTTACTATTGTTTAACTCAAATGCGGGTTTGTAATTTTGATTTACCTCATAATGGGAATTAAAGATTGCGGCAGACTTCTTGAGCAAAAACGCAGCGAAATAAACTTACGCAGTAGACGTTTTTGTATGTAAAATTGCTACTGTGCAGGCTCCTTTGTCTATGGTCGTTGCTAAGAATTTTGTTGGGATGTATAAGAATCTGTGAAACTCGAACGAAGCATGCCCCGTGCCCCTGTCCCCGGCCCTCGCCCACAGATTACAGAGAAAAGTTTAAAATCAACTACGTCAAACGCCTTGGGGACGCCCCGAC